GCTCGTGTGTCTTCTTGGCATCTGCGATTCGCTGCGACTCTTCTTCCTTTGCGTCGTCGTGTGCTGAGAGTATGTCATCGAGCAGGGCCACCTTCTCCCCGACGTCTTCTGAAATGCCAGAAGCACGTGCCGACACGCGATTGCTCTTGCGGTGTGCCTCCGCGAGAGCGATGAACCGATTGTTGGCCTACTTCGCGTCGAAGTCGGGGCGGCCAAAGTCTTCGTTCGCCGCTAGAGTTTCCGCAATGGCCGCCCATTTGTCCATGATGAGTCCGCGTCGGGCAAGGAAGGGCATGTCGGCGGAGACTTGGCGAAGAAGCATAGTGTCTTCCTCTTCGGTGAAGTTGCGGCGCTTAGGTGGCGTCGACATGGTTGGTGGTCAGAGGGATGTATGGACAAAACGAAAATTCCACAGTCAACTCACACGGTGGACAAAACATTCATTTAAGGAGGTTCCAGAACTAGATTTAAGAGGTTGACTCTGGTTTTGTCATCATATGGTGGGGCGCCCCACTGGATAGGGACTGGAATTGCACCAAAACCTCTCTATTAGAGAGGTTTTGGTGCAATTCCAGTCCCTATAATAACTTGCGAAAAGTTCCACTGTAGCTTCGCGCCAAAATGTGTTATCCGGATAATTCACAAATTCCAAGGACTCCATGTCGAGCAGTGCTGGCCTGGTCAAGCCAAAGCCTCGAGCGGCGGCGACTCCTCGCGTCGTAAAGGACGAAGAGGAGCATGTTTCACCTACCGACGAGACCAAGAAGCGTGAGCGAAGTGACAGCGAGGACGAGGGCGCCGCAGTGAAAAAGTCCAAAGCAGACGACGAGGATGAGGTCGGCGCTGGTGAGAAACAATCGGACGGCAGCATTGTGTTTGATCTGTCCGCGAAGAAGCAAGTGTCGGTGCGTGCGTGGAAGAGTGCGATCTTGGTGGACATTCGGGAATACTACGATTCGAACGGAGAAAGGAAGCCTGGGAAGAAGGGGATTTCGTTGACGAGCGATCAATGGAAAGCAGTGACGAAACTCATCTCGGACATCGACGTCGCCGTCAAGTGGGTGCAGGATCCCGACACCCCTGCGGGTACTTATGAAGCCGACACGTTGAGCGATGTCGAAGACAATTCCGTCGCGTTTGCCGTACGTAGACCCCATTTTCGCTTCTTGGGTGGCTGACTGCTCGTAGATCTCAAGCAAGCGCCGCGCGTCCGTGCGCAAGTTCAAGTCGATGGTGTTGGTGGATTTCCGAGAGTATTACGACGCCAGCGGGACGCTGAAGCCTGGCCAAAAGGGCATTTCATTGACCAACGAGCAGTGGACCAAGCTAAAGCAGCGGGCCGACGCGATCAATGCCGCCATGAAGTCGTTCAAGTAGTTCAACAGTCCACGTGCTAAATCGTCCTATTATTCTGTACGAACCCAAGACACAGCAATACTCTTACACACTCAATATCAAATGGACATCTATGTTATATCGTGGTGATCTTCATACGCTTTGGATTGCTGCTGCTTCCTGACCGCCCTGCGTCACCGTGCCCTCGCTTGCCTCCGTCGTCGTCACCATTGTCGTCACCATTGTCGTCACCATCGCCGTCACCATCGCCGTCTCCTCCGCCGTGATGGTTGTCGCCTTCTTCGGCATACTGGTGGTGCTGGCTTGAAAACCCATTGTCAGGGTGGGGCATATACTGTTGCTGTGGATAGTGCTGAGGCTGTTGTTGTTGATGGTTGTGGTGGTGCAATGGGTGGTGGTGGTGATGCTGCGACGGCGAGTCATATGGACTGCCGCCGCCACCGCTTCCGTCGTGGGTCTGTCGATGCGGATTGAAGCCGAGGTTCTTTGCGTGACCAAAGTCGTTCGGGCCAAGGTTCAAGCCCAACCCACTACTCGACTTGTCAGCGTCCCCAGGCTCGCCAGTCATTCCTAAGTGCATACTCCCCCCGTCGGCATTTTGAGGACTAAACTCATGCCGAAGCAGCATGTTGGCCGCTACAACACGCCCACAAGTATAAGATGTAGTGGTATACACGATCTCTGGCATACTGGTCGGAGATGGGAGTATGCCGTGCAAGTTAGATGGACTCGAAAGCGCAGAGAGCATGTGGTTGCCGTGGACGGCGGACAACATGCCGAGCTACACCCGACAAACAAATGAGCGATCGACTGAAATGGATATGCCCACGCACGTACGCCGTGTTGGTAGAGGGGCAGCTGAGGAGGAACGTATTGCATGTCTTTCTTTTGAAGCAATTGCTGAAACCCTTTCGGGGCACGCTTCTTGGTCATGTTACGATGGTTGTTGGGGAGCATGTACTGATCAGGCTAGACATCGACGCAGGCGTCATGAGCTTGCCATCCACATACATGTAGGTAGCTATGGACGTACGTCGTTGGTGAGACCAAGAGACACGCCAGACACCCCCGCGCCAAGCATGCGATCGTTCGGTGTGGCCATGCTCGAATACGCGGGGGAACTCTCGTGCGACGAAAGTCCACCATACGGACTGCCTTCGTTGCTTTTCTTCTTGTTTTCACCAAACAGCGTGTCGTACTGCAAGGAAGGCATACATGCAGTGAGTCAAGGCATACTTCAGCATGCAACACATACGTCGGCATTGTCCTTGGTCTCGTACGGCTCGCCATATTCCGTGTACTTCAACAGGATTTGATCCACGCTCGTGCTGGAATACTGGTACAGTTTGTCGTTCGAGTCAAACACGATGAGCGCGATTTCACAGTCGCATAACTTGGACAGCTCCATGGCTTTCTTGAAAATGCCGGTTTTGCGCTTCGCAAACGTGACCTATACCGTTCACGTCAGATCGTACTCGTTCGCCATCTCGACAATGGACAGGGTAGCGAGTTACCTGTCGGTTGCGGTCGTCGTCGATTCTCTGGATCTTGATCTTCTTGCGTCCCATGACGGTGTGTATGTAGGTGGGTGGAAGCGGCGGTGGGGTCTGTGGTCACCTACGAATCGAGTCCCACTGTCACGTCGGAGCCAAATTCTAAAAATGGAACAGCCCCCCAAGAGGTATCCGGATACAAAGATCCGCAAAGACCGTTAGCCTTACCTGGTGAGTTAGGAAGGCGGCGCGGCAGAGGCGGCAACGACGGCGGTGTGGATGCAGCTAGAGAAAGGACGCTCCTTGTTGCGACGTCTCCTGGGAAGGCGAAGAGCTGACCCAAATGAGAAATAACACAGACGGGCTTGGATATTCCATGCATATGACGTTAACTTTCGAAATTGGAGTTGGTCAAAATGACAAATGTGGACGCGGTGCTTCGAACCCACGGCATACAAACTCCAAGTCAAAGGTGGTTGAACGCTTTTCATTGGCTATTGGACGTCCCTGTTTTTGTCATCATTGGGCCATCGCCACCCTTTTTTCGACGTGGCGGGGGTCCAAAAATAGAAACTTTTCGCTGGCTATATATACATTTCGCCATATATTTATGGAACGAAAGTTCCAGCGAGGGGACACCCCTAATCCGTTGAAAAGTACTTGGCGTTTGTATGTGGCGAAAAGGCAACGTTCTGAAACACCCAAGATATTTCGTTTTTTAATTTATTCCCCTTTGAAACTTTATACCATTACAAATTTTTCGCGTGAATGCGCGCCGCCGCGGCGCGGCAGAACAACTTGGCGTCCACGTACGGCTTCTGGCTGCGCAGCCAGTACTCAGCGTCTTCCATCGTGACTTGAACCTCATGCTTATTGCGACGTGCATTCGGGGCAATCGATGTGTTCACACGCCCTTCCAACATCACCGATCCTTCCTGCAACAACTTGAGCTTCAGGTCTTTGCGCGCTAATTCGTCGATGTCCATGTCTTCTTCGTCCTTATCGATCAGGTCCTTCTTCGATGCAGACGAGGAGGATGGTGCTGCCTTCGGGTTCGCTTTGCCTTTCCGCCGCTTGTTCTTGTCCTTGTCCGCCGACTCGTCCTTGCGTCCTTCCTCCAACAGGTCGGAGCGCAGCGCTTGGTCAGTCTGCATCTGCCTATTAAAGTGCTCGTCCGAGCTTAATCGTAGGATTTCCACGGCCGTCTAGGGAACACAGAAGTCACTTGAGCCATCTCGTAGTCCCAACATGCACACACCTTCGTCGGCTGGTTGGACGGCGGCGGCGGCTGCTTCCGTGGAATGCTGTTTGCGTACACGTCGTTGCGCTGCTTGGCCACCTCGACCATCTCCTCGAGGACTTGCTTGAGGTACTCGTGCAGCGCGAGCCCCATCACCTCGATCACGTCGTCCCCAACTTGGGCTTGCAACCCGCCGGCCACCAAAGCCTTGGCCATGGTTTGCTGCAGTCCATGGTGTTGGAACAGTTCACTCCACGTTTCTTTCTTGGGCGCCAACTGCTTGGCCCTTGGCGGCACCCCCGCCAGCATGATGCGCTTCTCCGCCTGGGGGTCGATGCTCGTGTGTGTGAGGACATCCGCTTCGAGGCGCAAGTCGTTTGCATTCGTCGGCGCCAACTCTTCCGTCAAGTCGTACGTCTCAATCGCCCCGGGGTGGGTTTGCTGCTGGAACGACATCGCCGTCGCTTTCTTGGCGGCCGACGTCGGCGTGGCGGTGGCCGGCGACGCTTTGGCCTTCTTGGCGGGACCGCCTTCACGAGGAGACCGCGGAGACGTCGCCGTGCTCGGCCGCTTCGTCAAGCCTACACACACACAGCATATGAGACTCACGCATTTTCTCGACGACATGTCCACTACTTGCCTGATGGCGACGGCGACGCCGCGGGCGTCGAAGCAGGGGTGGTCGTGGACGGCTGCGGAGCCGCCGCGAACGGCACTGGCTGCATGCCGACGCTGCACACGGGGCAAATGGCCTTGTTAGCGCACTGCTTGAAGTGGCCCATCACCTGCAGGAATGTTTTGGCCTTGATCATGGTCGTGCCGGGGTTCTGCGTCTCCCGCATCACATCTTTCGAGTCGGCACATCCAGGCACCCCACATCCCGACGACAACGTGCACTGTTGGCAATGGAGGATCATTTGCAAGATGTGGCCATAGTTGGTCGCCATGTGTGGCTGCTGCTGCTGCTGGGGTTGGGAGGTTGTCGTCGAGTGCGATACAGACACTATAAACGTCATCTCAGATCATCGCGAACGATTCATACTGTGGGGTCATGGGCTAGCTACCCGGCTGTTGGGATGGTACCGGGGGTTGCGCAGCGGCTGGTTGTTTCTTCATGGACTCCCCGTGGTCATCATGCAAGGCCCGAGGCGGCGACGTCGGTTGCTGCTCCTTGACAGGAACTTGCCGCTGCGGCGTGGCTACCGCGATTACTGGTTTGTCAGCGAGGTGATCATACATACGAGCTAGCTACTACAAGTACCGTTCAGTCGCATGTTGTCGCAAAAAGGGATGGGACATCGGTCCCGGGGCCCCACAGCGCAGTCGGTCGCGTGGAGTTTTACGAGGGTGCGCAACTGCTCGCAGTGGTTGCATTCGCGTCCGGCGGTGCATGTGACCGTGTGTTTGAAGAATCGCTTGATGTCTTCGCATTTGGCAAACGCCTAGAAAGATGAAAGCACACATTGCACACCACCAAGTAGGTAGGTATAAATATAGGTGCTGTACCTTGCATTCCCCAGAGTTTGAAGTACACGTGGCCGAGTGCGCCAACAGTTGGCGGGCAAATCGAATCTTGCCATTCGCCTCTGGAGTATTGGCCGGCGCCGCCACGACTGGAGTGGGCGCGCGCTGAGGCGGGGCCATCGGTCGGCTTGGCGCCGGGGCAGCTTGGTATGACACGGCTGTCGACTGCGAAAACGGAATCGTCGCCACAGGTTCCGCCTTCATGGTCGGCTGCGTGGGAAAGGTCCGTGACATGGTCGCCTAGAGAGGGAGGTGTTGAGGGACGACTTAAGATTACAAGGTCGTACTGGAGTATAAAACCCGCCGACTTCTTGACACAAGATGCCAAAGATGGTATCGCCCAATGCACGCTTCACCAGGTCCAACACAACGTTCAAGTCGTTCTGCATGGACATGTTAGAACACAACCACAATGCGAGGATGACAATACCTTGACGACCATTGGCCGATTGCGCACTTCGTCGTGCAATGGTTTGTACTTGTCAGGAAAGCGTTTGTGAATCAGCTGAAACAGATTCTTAATCTTCTCTTCGGGCGTCGTTGCGGGCGGTGGGCCGGTGGGAGATGGCGTGTATGCAATTGGAGTAGCCATGGCCGAGTGAGGCGGAGCTATTACCCCTACAGGCGGCTGCACTAGCATCTGCTGCGGGGCCAGGACCGCGCTCGGAGGCGCCAGCATCCCCATGGCCACGGGCTGTTGCGCAAGCCCGCCTGCCGCCATACCTGTATCTTCCATGGCTATAAAGGTGGTCAGTTCAATGTGAGAGCCTCGATGAGGAGTACAGATGTCGTCGTCATCGTCGTCGTCGTATAAGAGGTCATCAATGGGAGCGCTCATTTTGGTAAATGCACGACTTTCGGTGTTTTGAAAATGCCATGGCATCCACAAAGCACCAAAATAGCGACGAAGCAGGAATAATACAATAAACAAATCGAGCCCCATATTGAGATGAAGCTTACTTTTGTTTCGAATTTAAATTCGATCCTACAATATATATTTTTAACAAATTCGTTTTTTTGCTGACAATTTTTTACAACGTAATATCGTTACAATCCGGAAAATCATTATCCGGAGTAATGGCAAATGCTTCATAAAACACCGTTGACCGTAATTAGTGTGGATTCAGAATTAGGGTTCCTCGTCGTAGAATGCAGCTTATTCGTCTCTCAGGAGACTTCAGCTTAGCGTTCATTTACTCAATTTCCACTCAAGTCAAGGCAAAAAAAGTGGGACGGTTTATTATGGTACACGGTTTAAGCTTAAAATATGTATGCTGATTTTGCTTACTTCTGGGGACTTCATTTTTCTAGTGATTCGATTGGCTATTCCGAAAATCAAGCAATTCCATTGGCCAATATTTGACTGCACCTTAAACTGTCCTGTGAACCATAAACTGGCCATTTACGTTAACGTTACTCCGAGAAACTGATAAGCTCCTGCGCCATTCCTCGTGAGTACTACTCTTCAAAAGAGGTCCCTTGATTCGATCTCGTTGCATGAAGGGGCAAAGGGTTATGAGGTCGTTTATCCTCTAAGTACAGTAGTCCTCTTTGCAGTTTCAACCAATAATATTACTACCGGTAGAATGCAAAAACGGTCGGCGGTTACTTTACCATTGGACTGGCGTTGCATGTACGAACTTGGGACATTTGGTTTGTGTGAATCACGACAGAAGGTGAACTCAAGTCCTAAAGTAGTGAAGGTGATATCGAGCTCAGTTCGTTATATTCAATCGTTCCCGTGACTTTTATATGTGTTGTCACCCCGACTCGTGTGCTTTCCATGTGGCCGGTCGACCGAGGTCATTGGCACGTGTCGACTCGCCTGTGGGCGTCCGTCGGCTTTATAAATCTATGTCGATGTCGCACGACGGTTAAAGTTATCCGGACTTGGGTTTGGTTTCGATCTTGGGGGCAATGGGTGGACACAGCGACTGAGGCAGCGGCGGCGACGGCATCATGTGTTGGGGCACAGCGCTTTGCATGTATGGATTGAAGTTCATGCCAAAGCCATTGGGCATAGGGAAATGACCCCCCCCCTACCACCACAGCACAAACAATCACATCACTCATGACGTGCTGAAGAGACCAAGTACCGTCGGGCCAGTCGGAGGTACACCCCCAGGGTTGGGCATCTGGGTCATAGCCATGGCGTTGGCCGCCACCATGGACCCCATGTGCGAAAACTGGAGGCACGACGCGAGCTTGCTCACTTCTTGCTTCATACGATCCCGATCGAGGCGCAGTTCGTCGCGCTCTCGTGTCAGGAGCTGTACAACGCTTTGTGAATAAAGTGAAACAAAGTAACTTCGGAGGATTTGACTCACTTTGATGGACGTGATGGCTTCCTGCAGCACCGCGCTTTTCCGCACCTTGTCGTTCATGCCCAGCAGCATCGTCAGTTCGTCAAACTATCCAAGACATTGTTAGCAACAACCACAATATGTATATATATACTTAAATGGCGATATATACACACACACGTACGTACCTTGATATTGACTTCTTGCCTTCGCATTTTCTCCCGTGATTTTTTGCGGTACCCGCGGTCGTCTTCGTCGTCGAATCCACCGCCCTCGATGGAACCCCCGATGGTGCCACAGCTAGAGCTGTCGCATGACTGCATAACCCCAAACGGCCTAGAACGAGGTGATGACATGTCATTTGAACGGTAATAGTACCTTTTCATGCCCGACGGTGTGCTCGTGGATGATGGTGGTGGGATTGTGGCTACCGGCGGGTGCTGCAGTACTGGCTTTTGTGGTTGAGTCCATGATTGGACGGGCGGCGGCGGCGATATTTCCGACGCAACCTGGATGGTGGGACGCATGGCCGCAGGAGGTTTGACAGCTTTCTCTTCGAGGCTGAAGTCATTGAACTCGGACATGGCGGAATCAAGGGCTTGACGAGTGAGTAGTGGCAATACGCTGGGGAACGGGGAGTTCGGCAGGCTACTGGACATGAGACTGCTGTGGAATGGTGTTTGGGTCGTCGATGGACGACTTGACGACACCGCTTGCGGACTGGAGCCCTCCTCATCAGCGTACCCCAACGAGAATCCTTTCCAGTCTTCCGCCCCGGGCTCTGTTGCCATGTGCTCGCTGAGGAACCGACCTAAATCCTCGATTTGCAAGCTGTTCATGTCGTCGAAGTCCATCACTGGGGAGACGAATTGGTGGTCTCGTCTTCCCCTTGATACACCAGTGCGGAAGTGCCAAACAGGCTTTAACGTAATTGATTTTGACGCGTTGAATGTCCCAGTTCCACCACGTTTTTCTAAAACGTTAGCGTTTTTCCCCGATGCACCCAGAGTGTAGGTACGTTTTATGCAGATTTTAGCGACACGCCACCTGCATGCATCCGTGTAAATCAAGATGGCCCTTGCTTTATCGGCCCCCAATGAACGGCCTATACATGACGAATGTCAGTGTACATATATTCATGGGTAGGAGGAAGGAGCATGTGATTGGGTCCAGCAATGGGGCCATGATCCGAAGCTCAGTGCTCCCGTGCAATTCAGCCAATCACGACAACACAGACCACAGGAAAGCAACCAAACAAGCAGCTGCTGGTGTAACATTAGTGCTACTTTGGAATTGGTACAGTGAACCAGTTACTGGCGTTTATGAGGTCGCTGAGGACCTTAGAATGTCGTTGACACCGGCGTAGTATTTGTTGCGATCTTTGACTGATCGTATTTACAAGGGAATAATAGCCAATCATACTGCGTGGTGAAATAGATGAATCATTTAGCTATTCAATTAGAACAATCTACTTTACACTACTAGGTACATACAGTACGTAGGCACTGGAATTAGAATAATCTACTTTACATGTCACTGGAATGAACAATTTTTGCCACCGGAAGAAACGAAATATCCTCAATGCTTCGAAGAGTGTACTGAACTCGCTACTATCGTAGTATATCCCAGTGTGTGCTCCCATACCAGGGACTGATGCATTCCATCTTCCGCATTAACTGTAAGCAATACTACTATTATTAATAAAACGTAGTACTACTATTAATAATACTACCAGGTATAATAAATAGTCCTAACGTTAGTAGCTCTACTACGTAGTACTAGTACTTCGTATTAATAAGACTTACAAGACAGCATTCAATAATATTAACGTTAACATATATTATTTTAATAATATATGTTAAAATACGAAGTGCTACTATTAAAATAGTAGCACTTCGTATTTTTAATATTAAAAATAGGTATTGTGCTTTTCATGTAGTTTGCCCGTTGTTTAACTGCGTTAAACAACCAGACGTTTAAAATAATATAAGCCCGATTGAAGATAAAACAACGCTAAACACAAGTTCTGCATTTCAGCAGAATAAAACAACCCTTACTTTATTTCAGGTGCTACTAATCGAGTTGCAGCACCAGGCCAACTTAGGGCATCCCCAATGGTGCGACGGTAAACGCTATTTTACCGTTTTTGGGGACAAATATGCAGTTTTCGCAACCCCAACGGTGCGACGGTATCTACCGGATGCCAGAATGAAAACGGCAAACAACTTGTTTTACGAAAGTGCCAGTAAAACCACCTTCAACCAACCAATCATCGCAATAGATGAAGTAACTTTAAACAACGCACTCAACCGTTATTCAAGTTACTTTAGACATTATTTAAGCCTGAGAAATTTTTAAACAATGAATTTAACCCTGGAATTGCCAAAAAAGGTGCAAAGCACAAATACTATTAACAATTACTACGTAGTATTAATAGTACTATTAATACTGGTTACTCCGAGTAGTGTACTAATTAACGAACCCCAAATAATTTTGCCCCACAACTTTGGAATACATACCACGTACTAGGAGTACTCCGGAGTACTAACGTAAGGCGTCGTGCAACTGAACAACCGTAACGTTAGCCAAAATCATTGTTAACGTTAATTGAACTTCAGACTTTTCCTCGACTGGCCAGACATGTACTGCGTACTCTCGACACCAAAGAAGTCACTTTCTATTAACTGTAAAATGGCCTTGGAACCGTTCAAAACAACTGGACTATTTCGAAGGGAATGGCATTCCGACCAACCAGTAAACTCACACCATGATCGCTCGACTGTCAGCACCGCTGAGCAAGCTGCTTGGCTCAACGAAAGCTGACCAGCTACCATCTCGTATTCACCGACACCTATCCATCAAGTCGGCGGATGACTTCTTTCTGCCCAACCTCCATGCCACTCCCACGCTGACAACTGGTCCGCCTGCAACCAGCCACGTCGACGACGAAGGAGCAGCACAGGACGTTGCTGCCTACGAACGAGATATACAGCTACTTGACCACGGTGCGCCGTTAAATCAGCTCAACATGACACGATCTTTTGTAGAATTGGAGTCCTTGCTTGGACCATTGCAAACGAAGACCGAGACTGACGACGACACAACACCGCCAAATCACCTAAACACCCGCCATCCAACTACTGCTCCACCGGCCGCCAAGAATGTCATTCGCAACGAGGTGCAGCTGCCACATCATATGGCTTTACCAAAGCGCGAAACTGGTCATCCACATGTGCTCGTCATCAATGGGCCGTGTACGGTGGTGAATGGACAAACCATGGGGTATTGTACCACATTGCCTCACTTGTTTTTAATCTCACAAACGCGTCGCAGAATTCCGTGGGCGAGTCTCCAACAAGAGCTCGAACACGTGGCTACCACCGCGGGGTTGGTGCTGGACGTCAAAGCCTCCAACCACGAAGGCACCGTGATAGATTACCTCTTAAGCACATCGCCGAGCACAGCGGTGGTGCTCAATTGCGGCGGTACCCGACGCCCGTGACTTGGCCGTGGTTCATACATGTGTAGAGTTGCTGGCCGCCTACCCAGGCATCCAGCAAGCCCTCGCACTCACTCGAGCCCATAGCGTGGTTCTCTTGAATGAGCATCCGTTCTCATTCGCAATGACGGCTGCCGTCGGTTCGCGGCGTGTTCGACAGCTCACAGGTACATAGTACACACACAAACCAACCTTGCTTGAATAGTTTAACTCGTCGGTAGGGTTTGGCGCGTCGGGCTACAAACTTGCACTGGTGGCAACCCAGGATCTGTAATCGACTACGTATCTTGTATATTTCCACATGACGAGCTTGTTGCCACTGAGCTTGTTGCCACCACACACATATCACTTGGCCGCCGACAAACAATCGCCTTGGAACTTGACAACCCAATCATGCTAAGGGTGAGTCTGGATGTCAAAAACACTGGCCAAAATCTTCGATAGTTTGGCAATTTCTAAGAAATCGGCAAAAAATGAAAAATTGACTGTCTGGATCCAAAATTTGGAGAATTCAATATTTTGCGAAATATCGCGTTTTTCGCCAAAAAAAAGAGGTTTACAGTCAAGGTACTTGTTTACAGTCCACGAGACCATGAAGGGGTCTTTACGACATTTTTCATGAAAATTTTTAAGATTGGTTTTTCTGAAAGTAACTGAAAATCGTCAAGTTTCTTTTGAAATCAGTTTGATCCAAGACAGTTAACAATTTGGTCAAGAGGTCTATTGCCATTGGTCAAGAGGTATGTATGTGACAACTAAAAATTCTTCGAATTACGTTGAACCAAATTTCTGAAATATTAATTGGGCAAAATTTGGGGTAACTATCAAGACAATATATATATCCAGAAGTTGAGTCGTTGCATGGCTCGTTTAATGATTTGGGACGTACGGCAGCGACGATATAAGCTAAAACGACATGTTCTTGTGCTCCAACACGGTGGTTTCGTTGAACACGAGGTGCTTTTGCCCAAGGATGGCCGTGACCACCTTGAATTTAGCTCGAATCAATTGCAACTCCATCAAGATCTTCTCATCCAGGCTGTTCTAGTATTCACTGGGTTGGATGGAACACATGCCAACGTATGTCGCAAAATGCAGTACCTCCAATTTGTACAATTCGATCAGGTTCCCCAACGACTTGATGGATTTTTCAGCTCTACCACGGTTGAAAGTACACCAGCAGGGTAACGTTAGGGCTCGAACAACCCACGTACGTACCTCGCTGGCAGTTCGTTTGGTCTTGTTCGAATCATTTCACTCCACAGCATGTAGCACCCATAGTAGAACCCGACCTCGGACCCAATTTCATACCCTTTGACCTCGCTACAACGTCGATGACGACATCCCTTTTTCATTTGATTGCCAGGATGGCCTTACCCCAAGTCTTTGCCCTCGAGGAAGCCAAGACGGCGTCCTTCGGCCACACCTTCCTCGTGACCTTCTAAGACGAACTGCTCTTCGACCGTGTCAATCGCATCAAAGTCATCCATCATCATCCTCACGATGTCGTCGGAACTGTGGATATCCGGATAATTTGGCCGGATAAACCTTTTGAAATTCAATATGTGATGTCCAAGGTGGTCTCCGATTGGCCGATTCTGTCGGTGGCGTTGGTTGGTTTAGACGGCTGGAGAGTGACTGGTTATTGAGTTTCACGGCATCGCCGCAATACATTACAAAAGGGAATCACCACCGGATCATCAAACATGGGTACGTAGCTCAGTTGATGTGCCAGGAGACTCGACAGGGGCTAAGTGTATGCGGTGCATGAGTAGTTCAGATCAAGGCTCATGAATTGCGCACCAAGACCAAGTCGGAACTCCTCGGCGAACTTGATGACTTGCAGCAAGAATTGGCCCAGGTAAGCAGGTCATTTCTAGGGACATATACGTCGTGGACAGGCTCGACAGCAACCAGATTCACAGGCAGCTCAACTGAATGTTCGTGGCTGTAGCTCCGCGTGGCCAAGGTGACCGGCGGCGCTGCCTCCAAGCTGGCCAAGATCAAACTCGTCCGACGATCCATCGCGCGTGTGTTGACCGTGTACAACCAAACCCAAAAGGCTCGCCTCCGTGAAAAGTTGGGCCAAGGCAAGCATGTGCCCGTGGACCTTCGCGAAAAGAAGACCCGCGCCATCCGCCGTGCGTTGACCCCCGAGGAAAAGTCCATCAAGACGTTGAAGCAGCAAAAGAAGGACGCGTACTTCCCCAAGCGTCGTTTCGCTGTTAAGGCTTAAATTGATTGCTGTCTGTAACAAGCGCGGTCGTCCCGGTGGTCGAAGATGTGGTCAGGCCAATACACTAGTCTTTTTCCCTCATTTGTTTGTGTATCGTTGGATCATGGCAGGTCGTCGGAGCCACGAACGAGTTTGCATGTGAAGCGTAGCTGTGGTCAATGTAGAATGGTAGTATTGAGACCAAGCTGCTGCCGTTAAAGGTGCAGCACTGTCTCAGACAGTTGCAGTAGTTAGTGGCCTTGCACTTTTCAAAGTTCATGCGATACGGTGCAATGTGTTGTTCTCATAACATGTCGTTTGCGTATTCGTCGTGTGGACGTGGAATCATGTCATCGAAAGCAATCGAAAGCAGCGGTTGGATGCCATGTGTACAGTGATGATGGTGTGCCAGTGCTTGAGGCGCCAAATTAAGTGAACCGGACAAGAATACACTCCATGATTGTGTCGTAAATAATATCCATGTACTATTATTCACGTGGTCAGTGCATGGGTGGGCGGCGGTGGCATCGGCGGCAGGGTCGTGTACGCGAGTTCTTCGTCGGCGAACGGAATGGCCAAGCAGCCGTCGTTAAATTGACGTAAAATCCGAGTTCGTTCGTTCGACATGGCGTCCAGGATCGTCCGTTCATAGCACACGATGCCGACCGTGGCCTGCCATCGGTGGCATTTGATGAAGTCGCGGTAGGCACATAGGGCGATGTTGGCCGCGCGTTTCGGAGGGAAGCCAAGGGACCCCGTGGAGATGGAAGCAACGGCGACGCACGTCGCGCCGACTCGCCGGGCGCTGGCAAATGCATTCAAATACGTCTTGTACAAGTTTTCTTCGCAATCAGGGCGATGGGAAGATGGGCCTACGCAATGGATCAAGTAATCCACCCCTGCGTTGAACCCTGGCGTGACCACGGCATCGGTCGTGCGTCGGCGGATGTCTTGGTACGGATTGCTTCGCACGAGAGCCATCAACTCTGGGCCCGCTCGATTGAAGATCGCGCCTGCGGCCCCAATGCCAAAGTTAACCAAGGACGAGTTCGTTGGAAACACCAAGCAGTCAATGGGCTGGTCATTGATCAACGTGACATGTCCAATGTCCCCTGGAAACACCGACATCGACGCAAACAACGCATGCTCCATGGACGTCTCAAGGAATTCGCGGCATGGAAGAGATAGCTCGTCAGCTTGTCGGAGAACTGGTTCGTGCCATTGTGGGTTCCGGACCACTTGCGGCAGCTCTACAAACGGAGACAATGGATCGAAATGGCGCACGCAACCGAAGTGTAAGGCCGTTAGCTGCTCCCACATTTGTGGCTGTTGAGCTCCGTACCCACGGTGTTGCCGACTCGCCAGCAACACAAAGCACAGCTCCCGTGCTGAACTCACGTCGCACATCTCCAGCACCCTGAAGCAGATGTCGGGGTTCCCTACGATCTCCATGAGATCTCGACGAAGTCCTGGGAAGTTGCGTGTGAAGGAGTTAAGAGAAAAGGCCTAATCCGGAAATAGTGTTGGTCAAAGAGTTTTGTCCGGATACGATGTTGACCTGATGACTACTATTAATAGTACTTCGAAGTACGTATTTTAATACTATTAATATTAAGATTTATAAGCATTAATACCTGGTACTACTACGTAGTATTACAGTAGTAGTACGTATATTATTAATACTATTATGATTAATAAGCACCTCCTCTATTAATACCAGTACTAGTATTAATACATAGTACATAATAGTTTTAATAGTACTGCGCGTCTAAAGATATTGGCCTTCACGAGCTCCCTCAAAGAGCAGTTGGAAGGCGTAGCCGGATCCCCCTGTGAACGTATCAGCCCACACCATCCAAGACAAGTTGGAAACCGTGGGTGACGACCCATCGGTACTACCCCCCTCCCACAGCCGCTTCGTGGACCGATCGTCCGCAAGGCGGAGGTCGTTGCAGTAAAGGAGCAAAGTATCCTCGGCCGGGACACTGAAGTGAGTGGGGGAGCGATGCTTTCGAGGAAAAATTCGTCAAGGACTTGGATAAGTCGTCGTCAAGCCACCCCCCTCGTACCAAAATCGTACCCGACCACCAAAGCGCCGTGATTCTTCAGGCTCAGCGTGGGCCTCGGCCTCTCGGCTTCGACCCCCATGCTGGAACCCCCAAGCCGCGCGTGGTTCCCCCCTCACGCACCAACTTCAGGCGCCAACTCCCCCTCGTCAAGCGCCTTTCTACCATCATAAGCGCCCATCTTCACGCTCTGCCCCGCCCGTTGAGCGGGCGCCCTTCGAGCGGGGCCTACGGCTGGATGGCGCTTCGCGCAAAACGCACTATGGTGCGAGCGTAGAGATGTGACCATGCGGACGAACGAGCTGCCATCAAGCGTAAGCCTGTGGGAGTCACTGGGTCGGACAGTATTTCGACCGCATCTTGGGCCATTCTGCTTATGTAAGCTTAGATTAATCTATTATGTATTCTTCATGGAAAGCAACGTACCATTCTTTACGATACCGATGGATGATCGACATGAGCTCAAGCGAATTAAATTCAGCGAAGTCGGGCGGAGGTGGTATGCTGCATGGGTAACTTTTGAAGGGAACAAGGTGAGTCCAAGAAGCGCATGGTGCTGAGTAAATACTAGCGAAATGGAGATTCGACCGACGCGCAATGGAAGGAGTGGCTTGGGTCGGGGGAGGTGCAGACGATTCCCCTCCCTTGGGCGGGGTGGTGGATGCTTCATACGTCGTCTGACTGTACTATGCGTCTGCTTAACGACCCCAGTGTCCTTGATTTCCGCTAACGTTAGTGCATATGCTCGTGGCAACGACTCCTGGCCCCTCGCGGGGGGGTGTGATCGCCACAATCGCAAAAATTCGGAGCTCAAGTAGGAGAATGAGGAAAGTAAAACGTGTGTGGAGGTGCAGTACATCATAGATCTTTTGATTACACGTTGATTGTATATGTCGATGAAGCGCCGGCCGCCTAGCTGGCAACGTTATGACGATCACACGGCGACGGAGATGATGATGATGAGTGACACCATAGGCATAGTCGTCAGCTCCCCACTGTTCGCCATCCTTGGCCCCTTGCAATGGCTTGCTTTGTGCAGCCGTCGCGAGGCCACGTTATGTGTCGGATCCGCCATAGCCTTCGCCGCAAAGATCACAATCGTTGTCGACTTCATGGCCGTAGTAATATCGAGGAATGAGGCCCGACATGGTGGTTGTGGAGATGGGACCAATAGTCGTGAATAAAGTTGGACCAACTGGTTAAGTCTGCGAACGGTGGCTGCATCGGACGAAGTAGCGATTCGAACAACCTTTTGTCAATGGGGTGGCTGTAGTAAACAGGGGCGCGGGGTGTACTTGCACAGACCGGGTAGTACGCTCGTCGTCTTGGTTGAGTGGACATCATTGCCGCACAAGGAAGGACATTTGTACGTCCAGCATCCACCCATCATCGGAAATGACATGCGAGAGTACTTGCCATCGTACGAATACTACCTGGCGCTGGGTAGAACAACCCCACTGGCTGGTCATCAGGTAGCTGCATTGTCTGCAGCTGTGTAAGAATGTTTGGTCAGAGGCTTCATCGCATGCTTCAACATCGTCATGCACCGCTTGGCGCGAGAGAGTGCTCAATATGTCAGTGCACTGGCGCAATGCAATTTGGCGATGGCGGTAATATTTACATGCCTACAAATCAAGGGAGACAAAATGAAATAAAGTACGCGTACACTACGTACATTTTTTTTCAAAACTTTAATTGGACGGCAATATTTTATTCCAGTGCCAGAACTGTGGCTGGAGCAAACAAAATGCAGAGCTCCACCGCGTCCACCGCCACGGGAGGTGGCAGCCAAACCCAGACCAAAGTCCTCAAGAAGAGTGCGAGCGAAAGGTTAGGACTGTCGCTCATATCCCTCAACCCCGGAGCCACAGGAAACATATACGTGTCGTCCGTCGCGCCACACTCGACGGCGCACCGGAAAAAAGTCGGCGTCGGTAGGGCAAACGTTCCCGCCGTTGGCAACTCTAACGGTGGGCTCTTTAGGTTGGGAGTTACTGGTTGTCAACGGCAAGAATGTTGAAAACATGACCGTCGACGACATCGCACGACTCGCTGGAGGCACGTCATGCAAGCAAGTACGTACACGAGCAGCGAATCCTCTCGTACGATGTTGTGCATGTCTGATGGTCGTACAGGTTGAGATTACGTTCGAAACGACGATGGCCGAGCGATTTGTCAAGTGGAAAGCCGATTCAGGTGTCAAAGCCACTCCTGCCGCGAAACCTCCGACCAAATCCAAGGCCAAGGCGCCACCTGCCACCAATTCTACACACAAGGCCACTGCCTCATCGCCTCCGCCACCAGACAAGGCCAAGCCGGCAAAAGCAGGCAAGCGGGGTATTTCCATTGCCGCAGCACAGCAGCAGGAGCCACACAACGATACCGACGGTGTAGACAACGACGACGACTCTCTTCGAGCAGGCGGTGGCACGTCCAAGAAGAAACGAGGCGCGCCGCAAAATACCATCCAACGCTTTCTACAAAGTAAGGCTCTTGTAAAATTTCCATCGATGACGACTCATGGGGGTGTGATGGACGCAGGCAGCCGGTCCACGGATCCGTCGAATACTGTCCAGCACCCCCTCCAGGAACTGTCTCGCGCAGAGAAGTCGCGGCAGGCCATGGTTGTGGACAAGCTCACGTACATGGGCTTCTCCCGCGCGGACGCGCTACTGAGCTGTGAAAAGTGCGGCAGCGACCACATCGACACCAACATGATTTGGCTCGTGTCGATGGTCGAAGAGCGGCGGTTCCAGGACGAGCTCAACAAGGCCCAGATCGAGTCGGAGCTCCAAAAGCGGGACGAAGACACCCAGCACAAACGAGTAACCACCCACACCGTTGTTAATTACCATAACTATTCCCCCATTTTGAATTCGTAGAAAGAGCTCCAAGTGCTCGAGACCACGTCATCCTTGCGTGCCCTCTTCCCCGAAGTACGTCCCCATCCTGTAAAGTGCTAGATCGCTCAATGTGATGTGTTGTCTAGTCGGTTGCGTTTGACCCAGATACGCACGCCCCGCTCGTGATTGACTTGATCGACACGTTCCTTCTCAACATGGACGACCCCGCGACATCCCCGCTGCGCCAGGCGGTGGCCGACATCCTCACGCATGAAACCAAGGCGCGGCGATGGTACCCCCGTCCGTCCAAGTGCTACGTGGCGGACCTCGTCCAGCGCGTTAATGGGACGCTGGCAACGCACCCGCCCACCGCCGCCTGCTGCGGCCAGCGAATCCCCTCGAAAAGGGAGTGCCCGTTGCTCACGCTGGTCCAAGCAGAGCTCGCGACGCTCAAGGCGCACCTGTACATGTCCACGTCCAACGTCGGCGGCGTCCCCCAAGCGTTTCTAGATGCCGACGACGCGAACCGGTTCAGTCTGGCCGCCGACGGCTTTGAAGTGTGCAATGTCCAAGACCTCGTCTCAGATGACGATGATTAACACGAAAATAGTCTTGACTTTGCTGCGATACCGTGAGAAGGTCCGACGGAACGTTTTTGTAAGCATGCAAGCAATACACGACAAGAGCTGGGGACAAAACTGTGAATTCACGCAATTGAAGCAGCTCCATCCTCGTAGCAATCGCCTCTGCAACTCATTCGACACCAAGGCCAATATTGCACGAGGATCTGGGGCGTCTGGGGGCATACATAGCAGTGGCGGCCACGATGACTTCGGAGGCCAGCAACAACTGGTCAGTTTTTAGCGTGCGTGGTCTGTATGTAGCCCAAGCACAAGGCACTGAGCATCACCGAACACTTGGAATGACTGGGGACATCATGTCAATCAAGTCCGCCGACCTTGTATGTGACAGCGTTCTGAATGTCCATTATGAGCTCACATACTTGTCACAGCCGCCGACGAAACGCTGTCCCATAACACGTTTAACATGACGAACGATGGAAATGGAAGTGGTGGCCTTGATCAACGGGATTCATATATTGTTCGAGGTTCCATTAATGTTGTTAGTCGGAGCCGCCCATGTAAATGCCTTCGCCAGCAAACCACAGCGCCTTGGCATCCCCCGACGGTCCGGCGTTCACTTCTTGCTGGCCGATGATTGGACAGCGAGGGCAGTTGGACTGGTCGAACCGGACGCCGTGGTCCGTGCGCAGGTACTTGCCGCTCACGAGATGGCGCAACCGCACGAGTTCGTCGCGCCCCCACGACGGAATGCCGCTGGTGTGGCAGTCCTTGTCGCTGGCTTGGCACTGCTGCGCATTGTCGCACTCGACGGTCCACGAGTCGCCGCCATCGCCGTCGCCGGCCACCCCAAAGCCGCTCACTTCGGCAAAGCGACCGCTCGACAAGGGCGATGCAAAGTCGTGCGAATGCAAGTTCCGTCGCGAGTTGACGTGCTCCAGACGAATAGTGGACCCGCAGATGATCTTTGCACCTGGCACAAGGAAGTGTCAACATGACGCAATATGGGATGGATACAAAGGATCGATGGTATACCAAGGGCGCAAGGTGTGGCGCCGTCGCCTTCCTTGACAAGCCAGTAACTGTTAAAGTCGTCGCGAGAGCCATGCGCCGTCACAGATTGTTGCCCGCTGCCCGTGCCGTAGTTGACTTCGTGCGAATGCAACCGGAACCGACTTTCGTCGTGAACCAACTTGATCGTGCTGCCGCATGTGACGTACTCCAAGCCAGCAGGGTAATGGAGTTCGGAGGAGGCATCCTTCTTACACGCGTCTTCGCACGTGAAAGAGTGGTGATCGCAGCCCACCTCGCGCACGCGGCGGCGATTTTCACACTCGCAGAACCCCGAACTTCCATGCCCAATGGTGGTGCTGCAGGATGCATCATACCAACTGTCCCGGGGTCCTTGGGGGTCACAGCTAGATGTGGCGCGCCATTTGACGCAGCGGGGTTCTTCCGCACCAGCGGACATTACCTGCAGGGTGCATTGGACTGCAAAGAGCGATACAGCAGCGGAGACACGCATCGGATTTCCAAAAAGCTGGGGTGTTCAATTATGCAAAATCCACGCCATGTTGCAATTATTTACCATCCTGAACTCCCGATACAAATATACTGTGCAATCTCAAATTTTAAAACACAATCAATCAACCAATGAACGCTCGCCATTTGTTGTCGCGAGTTTGGTTAAAAATAACAATCTTGGAAAAATATTGACGATCTTGGTGACCTTTCGACTGGGAATTCTACGCGGACAACGTTAGCGCTGTGAAATCAAAGACGGATGAACGAGGTTACCGCAGGCAAATAAGTAAGTATTATTAAGTGTATTATTGTACGGTGTATTCTACATGTGTAGGGTGTCCCCATACGTCCAAGTGCAGCGTTAAAGGATGATGGGCTTGAGGTGGCGCTTGCCATCCGCGTAGCCAAGACACACGACGGCGGCAATACCGGGGATCGCGCCTTCCATAAATTCAAACGTTTGGTTCTTTTTCATCCTCCTCTGAGCCCAAAGTTGTTTGATTTCAGGAAGGTAGTGCTGCAGCACAGGCGACACGTCATCGTCGTGCTCCCACATGCTTGGGGGGCGGAGGCTGATGTATTGGCTGAGGCAAATGGCCACGTACATGGTACCCGCGCGTACAGCCCTCACGAACGTTTCCATGGAGCAGTCTTCTTCAGCGTCGCCCAACGTGTTGGCCACATCGGAAAACACTTCTGGAAACGGCGACTCGACGTATTGGCTGGGCAGAAGCGATAAGATGGAATGCTCCAGCTGGCTGGCCCATCTAAATTGGACATCCAATGGATAATTCCATTAATTGTTCAGCACTTTGCACGTACTCTTCCCAGTTGATGTCTTCGCCTTGCTCGCGTTTGCTCGCGACAATCAACCTCAACATGTCTTGGACATCGTCTCGAACGCTATCTTCGCCAGAATAGTATGCGCCGACATAGTCAAAGTCGTTGTCGGAAGTGTTCGGCTTCGTTGCAGATTTGGCTTTGGACGATGGAGTCCGTGCCTTCTCCATCTCTTCCACCGCTGCCGCGGTCAGCGGCTGATCGGTCTTGACAAACCGACCTTTAACCCTCGGCCGTGCGTTGGCCAAGGTTTTTCGCACCCGGTATCGCACTTTCTTGCGCGATAGCCGCTGCAAAATATACAACATCAAAGCAAACACTGGGGGCATGATCCAAGTAGTACCTTGGTGCGCTTCTCCATGTACTTCTCCAAGAGCTCTCGACGCGAGCGTGGTGAGTAGATGCCGATGCGCTTTTTTGGCAATGGGAGTAACGTGTTGAGATTCAGCGCGGGCAAGTGTTTGGAAGGGGGAATGCTGTGGATTTTGGGCAAGCTGTCGTAAGACGAATATTCTGTGACGCTCACTTCGACAACATAAATCGAATGTCAATCGTACTTGGTAGGACTGGGGTCGTGGTCCATCGGGGGTTTGGCGGGCTTTGCATTGCGTGTGAAGTTCATGAGCCGCGTGGCAGCTCCGCCTTCGTGGTCTGACCCTTCCGAGGACTCGAACGATGACGTGTACACCTGCTCCGATGGAGCGGACGAGTCTCCGTGGACAGACGTGTCGGTGGACTCGTGCTGCTGCCAGTCCAGCACAACGCTCAAAAACAGTTCCTGGGACTTGAGCAAGTCGTGCGCCTCCTGCGTGCAGTGTCATGCGGTGAAAAACATTGTGGGATTCTCTACCTTGGTAGCGTCGTGCATCGAGTGGGAGTCTTTCCGATTATTGGCAGCCGTGGCATGGGTGGCTTGAGGTGGAGACGCCACCCGCATGCCATCAAACAGCACTCGGCTCGGCCCGTCCAGCACGCCTTTGCGAGCGGCGATGTTCATCGAGCGTCACAGGGCAGAGGATTTCAAATTTCGGACTCGTCCAGGGTCGGAGGCAAAATGATCACCACGTTGTTGCTTGCGCCGACTGCGTGTGGAGGAAAAGAACACAAATCAGAGGTCCGAAGCACTGAACACCTCCAGCCACACTTGGAGAATGCTCGTGTTACATCGTGCCCCCATTGGCTGCTTGGGGATAGGGATGAAGATCTTGTCCGAGCCTATCTATAACGTCGTCGACATGTTGAATTTCTTTTTGCAGTTATCTATCGCAACTTGCCATTGGTGCAAACTCATGCCACACGCTAAAAATAGACTTGCTGGCTCGATTCAGCTCCATTTTACGTGACATGGATGTTTCGTCGTTATCCGTACGCATACTCCATCACAAATACAAAAAACAAAAACATCCGGATAAATTCAAAATATTGTAGTCACGGGAATTTCGACATGACGCTTTGGAACTCTTCATCATACAGTACATTGTGTCCACTCCATGGCATTGACGACTGATGCTGCAGTCGAATGTACTGTTCTGCATGCGTACCTATATGACAGACCTTCCAGGGCAGCACTATATTAAATTATTACCGCCACATATTCGTCGAGAGTCTACAGTAACGTTATGGACGATGTGATCACAAGTGTTTGAGTGCATTCAAATGGTCTAGGTAGCAGTCCGTGAGGTGGGCACAGCAGAAGGCCACGACTTGGTCTGGTGTCGAGCAACCTTCGCAGAAGAAATCGCTCGGCGACTGGCAACTGGCACACAGTTTGGATCGTCCGCCATCATCACCAGTGGCCAGTTGCTGGCGAATGCGATGCTTGCGTGTTGTTGGTGGTGGTTGCACGGATGTAAAATCGATCACGAGGGTGTTGGACTTGGTTTCATGCTGGATGCAAGTCACCTACTCACGACATTGATAGACGGTAGCTAACACTTCAGTTGGTTACGTTGGCCATGTCGAGTAGTCTCCGCGACGCCACAAATGTCCACCTACTCAACCTGATCAGTTTACCGCCGCCGTCGTGTAGGATGATGTCAGATAGAGTACGCAGTCTCACTCGGTCTTGTACTTGTCGGAGGAGTAAATAACCTTGGTGATACCACTCTAGTGCCACGGACGTGAGTGTGTTGGAGCATGGTGTGAGTTGGACCTGAATGATGAGCTTGGCGCATTCATTGCAAGGAAAGAGGGCCACGTAGATCTATAACAAGGTAAACTAGGCGCGTATTCCCTATATATACCGTACTACAATGACATACTGAACAGCCTTTGACACTGGTGGCATTCTTGTTGAGGATCGCATTCATTTCGGCGTGACAGACGTACTACAACACGACTATCGTCGAGTGCTTGCCACGAGATTTAAGACGAACGTACGGGGTATTTCGTGTCGAGAGGAGACTCGGCTTGTCGAGCCCAAGGCAACACGTCGTCGTCGCATCCGTTGGGAAATCCATTGTACCCGATGCCGACAATCTTCTTCTCGGCGTTGACAATGCTATTATGTTCATACATGTGTGGACGTTCACAAACAAGGCGACATCCAACAAGTAGAGAGGTACGTGACGAGTACCATGCCCCAACTTGGGTGGATGGATCTACACAGCACAACTTTGTAAGAGCGATGTGGGTGTCTGTGTCTGCGTGGTGATCAAGGAGACCACTTGCCTTTGGAGCGCATGGAACTGAGGAAGGCCACGGACATGAAGTAATCGTCCCAAGACAGGTAGTCCTTACGCTTGTGCACTTTTGCAGACCGAGATGGAGTAGGGCTGCTGTCGTGCGGCTCATTCATGGCGATCTCCATGTCGCGCTTGCGCTTGGCTGGCGTGGTCTCGGCCATCGCAACAGCTTTTTGGTTGTCAATATCCCTTTTAAGTGCGAAAGTGGTAGACTTATTAGGGTAATTTTAAGAAAAGTAATATTCCATTTTCTCGCAATATGGGATTAACGAAAATGCCATTTTCAATATGGAGGTAAAAGGTCCATTTTGTAATATGGGGTTTTGGACCTCTTCAACGAGTAAATCCCATGTGGAAGTATTGGATTTGGGTTAAAACTCTTCACAGTCAAGCAAGGCAAGTTTCAATTAATATCAGATTTATTGAATACTACCCGTAGTACTAGTATGGCGTTTTGAGCCTGAATATTGTCATATTTCGGGTTACCAGACGCACCCTCAACCTTAAAAGTTCTTGATCTGCAGTACCACTGTATTTACCCAAATGGTAACTTTGTGACCATCTCAAGGATTTAGTGTAGTACCACTATTTTTCGCCCCAAGGGGATTGTGTGTTGCAAGTAGTTAGCGACAGCTACTGTAACCATTGGCTACTAGTTAATAAACCCCGAAACAAAGCATCACACGTGGTCACTTCGAGGTGGGACGAAGTCCCGGGGGAGAGGGCCAAGCCCTTGAAAAGTTATGTTTCGGAGGAGATTTGCACTTGGAACTAAGCTGTGACAAAAGTATGTAAATTACCTTATATCAATACACGTGATGATGTGTGTGACCTGAAAGAAAGAGGGTCACATCAGATTTATAGAAAGTGTGCGTTCACAGATTTGCACGACAATGCCCATGTCGGCACGATCTCCGACAAAACCAGGGTATCCCATCGGAAAGGTGGCCTTCATTGAAGGCTACAGGAACGTGAATGGTCGCATCCATGGACCAAGAAGCCCTGCAGCAGATGCTGCGTACAGCACGTCGCATCGGTTTCCACCTGGCCAGCACGTTCAAGGAGGCGACGATGCCGACACCAAGCATCTTTCGACCGTGGCCTCTGCATCAGGCATCGACCCACGACTTGTACGTCTGTACAGCGAGATTGAAACATGCGTGAGAGAAATTGAAGCTATTCGGCAGCACTTGGCCTCTGTGCCCGTGGACGACCATGCTTCAGAGGTGCCGTAAGATAATTATCGCGTCCTTGTTCAAATCTGCGGGATTGTTGCTGACGGCTAGAAACCCGGAAGCATGTAGGTCGAACTCGTCCGTCAATCTTAACTCCCCTAAGACCAAAACGGAAACATACGTGTTAAATTGAGCTGTGTATATTTACAGTTAGTTGCTTGTACTCTCGGTGCTAGACAATGCTACGATTCCATCAACAGTTAGAACAGTTAGTTGGCCCTCTCAACTCTTGATCTCAACACTTTGACCACCTAAAGCTCGTAGTACACTCACTACCAACCAACCATCATGTTTACATGGCAATTTTTTGAACGGGTTAGTATGTACTAGTAGTAAATACTAACACATCGAAGGTCGACTTGGTGACGGCTCGAGTAGTCAACTGGATGTGTCCGACACACGGTGTCACATCATAACCCAATAAGTAGTCGTACAGAAATTGACGACTTGCTACCACGGACAAAGGATGTCTACGCAGAATACGATATGTATCATTCCCTACATGCAACTACATGCAGCTTCGATCAAGTTCACGTTGCAATACCTATCAGTATGAGGATGCAGCGCGGAAGGACACTTACATTGAACGCATGACTTGACTCTTCCGGCAACCGATTGATCTACTTGGTGATGATGGCTTCAATGGTTGGTAGTACGGCCGTCGCGGTAAGACACATATGACGTAGAGATAGATACACACGATAAACTCATATCTCAAGTGTGAGTGCTTCATGGGAAGTCAGGCCTTCTCAAAATAATCATCGTTTGATTCCATCGTTTGGTGCGGGGGATGTTGGCGCAATGTGGGTGCTCGGCGAGCAAGCTGGCTCAAAAAACATATATACCTTCGAAGAAATTTCAACATGGAGCAGCGTGCGACACGCACACATCCGCCCTCAAAGAGGCCTTCTGATGTCATCATGGACAGAAAATATAGCTCAAGCACACGCATGCACGCAACACTGCGGTCTGCCACACAGCACCACCCCCAGACGTCTTTCGCTGGGTTTCTGACATGCCCAGCAAATTCGCTAAACCTTAAACCCCTCGAGTAATGGTGCGTCACGCGATCGCCATGGCGGCAACCATCAGACTTTGGCTTGTTGATGTCATCGCAACGTCCAGTGGCGGTGGGTCGACCGAGAGACCTTCGCCTCGCGCCTTCTCCACTCATCTACAACTACTTCCTACACATGCATCAACTACACATACACAGCGGAGACACACGAACAAAGGCCACACCGACAACCATACAGCATTCACACACAAGCCCCACACACCAAAGTCGGAATGACGTTCGTGACCTCCCAGCTTTATCCGGATACGGATAATGTCGCTGCAGTGGATATTTGAACGCAGTGAAAGTGCCAGTACGTATTTCACCTGCTCAACACTCCAAGTAAAGTTACTTCAAGCAAAGCTCCGAGGGGGCCTACATAGCCCACAACTACATGTACCAGAAATACCCATTCGCAACGGCGTCACACTATCTGAACTAAGCTGTGTAAACTGGACGTTTGATTACATGTAGCCCTTATTCACATCCCAGGACGCGACTGGCAGATCATCGTCGTGCTCCAACTTCGCCACCAGCACAACTCGCAAAAACTTGTTTTTCTTCACGGCGTTGGCCAAGTCGTCGCGTTCGTCTCTCGGGGGCTCCTCTGGGACGTCTTTCGTCAATGATTTGGGTTTACCTCGATGCACTCTTGCTGTTCGATGCACAACCAAGACGATCTCTCCAAGGGGCCCGCTATGGTGGTAGCGTCGACCTTGAGGGATTGATTGCTGGCAACGCTCGACATATTGACCATCCTTGCTCGAGGTGGCGGTCGACGCATGATTGCCTTCGACGTCCAATGCAAAAATGCACGACGAAAACGGTCCAGCGTTTCACGGCGACAATGAAAGCTAAAGGTCGTCAAAAGTTGTAACTGCTTACCAGTCCTACCTACTACAAAAGGTTGTTTGTTGGGATGCGAATACACTATATATATCGCCAATTACACAAATCGTGAATAGCTGCAGTACAGGTAACGTTACTGTAGTAACGGTATCAACTTTGGCGAAGTGTACAGTACGTACGAGCCATGGAATCGACCAAATTAAGTGGTTCACGCCGTAGTAGTGGCAGTACTTTACAGTTAGCTCAGCTATAATAGTCAATCACAAATTGTACTATGGTAGTCATTTCAACACCGAATGTATAGAGCTGTCAGTCACGTTTTCAGATAAGAATACATCAACACGCTTCACGCGACGTTGCTCTTGTCTTGGCTCTGTTAAGACCACTACCGTTATTTTTAGTAACTAACTGCAAGCAAAGCAGCACAATTCACGCAAGGATCCGCCGTCGTCACTTGGGCGTCGAGCCCACGACCTTGTCAAGATACCCGCCTTCATGGCAAAGCTCGTAGAAAATGCCGGTGCCCGCTTCAATCAGCGCCGCGGGGGCATCGCACTGCACCAGCCGGCCGTAGTCAAACACAAAAATCCGGTCGGAATCCAGCACAGTGTCGAGACGATGGGCGATCGTGAGCACTGTGGACGACGCAAACTCGGTGCGAATCACATGCTGCAGCGCTTGGTCCGTGTTGTGGTCGATGGCCGCCGTGGCTTCGTCCATCACGACGATGCGCGCTTGGCGGAGCAGTGCGCGGCCCATGCACAGCATCTGCCGCTCGCCGACGCTAAAGTTCTCTCCGTTTTCTTCCACGGGGCTATCGAGTCCGCCAGCGACGGCACCGATGCGACCGCCGAGCCGGACGTGGGCGAGGGCATCCCAAAGGTCCGCGTCCGAGAATTCGTCGAACGGGTCCAAGTAGTTTCGCAGTGAACCTTTGAAGAGCACGGGGTTTTGGGGGATGATGGCGATGGCAGATCTTAGCGTCTTGACGCCCACGGTCGCAATGTCCACGCCGTCGACACGAATGACCCCGCTCGCTACATCGTTGATGCGGAACAGCGCCATGGTCAGACTCGACTTGCCGGCGCCCGTGCGCCCCACAATGCCGATCTTTTCACCCGACCGGATATGGGCCACAACGTCTTGGAGCACGAGGGGGTCGTGGGGTTTGTACCGGAACGACACGTGTTCAAACCGGATGTCGCCGGAGGACGGCCACGACGCGGGCACGGCGCCCGACACGACTCGCGGCGGCTCGCTCGCTAGGTGGGCGTACTCGGACACACGTTCTGGACCGACCATGAACGTTTCAAACGACGACCAGAGGTTCACGATGATTTCAAACCACGGCAAGATCGTAAACAAGTAGCTAAACACGAGTCCGATGAGCCCGGGGGACAACACGTCCCGAAGAAACACGAGCGAGAGGGAGATCACGAGCAGCAGCACCGTGCTGAGCAGCTGAATGCGCAGCGAGAACCACTGGTTGACCACTTGCGCCGCCACGTACGCTTGGTTGTTGGTGTCGACGTTGCGGTGATGCATTCGATGGAAGCGGCGCACTTGGTTGGACCCGAACGCACGCACAACCAGCGCGCCTTCGATCGCTTCGGAAATGAGGTTCAACATGGGCGACTTAGTCGTTTTATTGACACGCTCGATGGCGCGGGCGGGGTGGACGAAGAACGCCGCCATGCGCAGGTACATGTACAGCAGCGGCACGATCACGAGACCCATGTACCGAATCACGACAAGGGTCGTACCAAGCTGGAACAGTGTCATAAACACGAGCGCGAGCATCCCACTCAGCAGCAGCGGCAACTGCGTGTCGACGGTGTTCATGTCGTTGCTGAACCGGTTCAGGAGACGGCCGAGGGGGTTGGTGTCGAAGAAACGCATGGGTGCACGAAGCAACGCCTTGTTCATCGCGTCAAAGAGGCGACGGGACGCCCGCAGACAAGACATCAAGATCGTGTACGTCCGCAAGACTGTCATGACGACGCCAGACGCCGACAGCGCCGCGTACACGCAGAGGTAGTACGTCGAGGTCCCCGCCACCGCCGCGTCGTCGTCGTCCTCTGCCGCAGAGGATGCTGCAACGCTGGTCCACCGGCTGAGCCACAAGTCGCTCGAAACGATGAGCAGTTGCCACGACGAGAGCAAAAGCACCCAAGTGGCAACCACCGGCCAGCCCCCGATGGCGTCCAAGTACCCTTGAAACACGGCCGACGATACCCGCCCTTCGGATCGTTCTTCGTCGAAAATGAGTTTGCCGTGGTGGTCTTCAAACGTTGCCGACGATATCAAGTCCACGGGGGTAAACACGGCGCCGTCGTATTGCAGCGGAAACGGCGACGACGCGGTGGGGGTGACGAACAGGTCGTGGTTGTGGATCCGGGTTGATGCTGCCACGTCGTCATCATTACCATCGTCCAGCCCGTTGTCGTCGTCGCTCCACTCGTGGCTACGGGATGCCCGGAGCGGGGGGACCAACGGCGGCGGCAGGCGGTCATCCTCAGAGGACGAATCACGAGGAGTCTTGTGCTTTTCGATCACAAGAAGGTTGCCGTCAACAATCTCAATCAATCGATCGACGTGGGGCGACGCAATGATTTCGGGCGAGTGCGTCACAAGCAGCACTGTTTTATGTCGAAGTAGTCCGAGAAAACACTTGGTGAAAATCTCGTTTTGCACGATGGCATCCACGGCCGACAGCGGCGAGTCCAAGATGAAAATATCTGCGTCACTGTAGCACGCGCGGGCCAAACTGATGCGCGCCTTCTGCCCCCCAGACACATTAACGCCTTTCTGGCCGATCTCAGTCCGGTCGCCCGCGGGGAACGCCGCCAAGTCTTTCGTCAACGCGCACGCTTCAATCACGTTGTGGTACTTGACGCGGTCATAGGGCTTGCCAAAGAGAATGTTCTCCCGCACAGTGAGGTTTTGAATCCACGGCTGCTGCGAAAAATACCCAACAGACCCCCCCACGTACACTGCCCCGTCGACTTTGATCATTTCGCCAAGCAAGGCGCTACAGAGAGACGACTTGCCTTGGCCCACGTGACCGTGCACGACGGCTAGCTCCCCCCGCTTGACAGTCAGGTTCCAATGAAAGTAGATCGGGCATTGGGGGGCCCAGCCAAAGCTGGCGTTGTCAATGTGCACGTGAACGCTGTTGGCGTGGTACAGCCCCAACTGACTGGAAGAGACCGTGTGGGGGGTCAGCACGACCGTCGAGTCGTGTTCGTCCATGTTTAAAAAGTCCATGAACCGTTGAATGGCCACGAGCGCTTGCAGCAAACTCGCGACCACCTGGGGAAGCGCCGAGAGGGGGTACCGCAGCAGCGCAAACAACGACAGCGCCGTGAACATCTTGGACGCGCTGAGGGTTTCATGCATGACCAACGTGTACGTGGCGAACGACGTGATGGTCACGGCCACTGGGGCGATGTACATGATTGCCATCTGGGTGGCTTGCAGCGCAAACAAGTTCCAGACTTGGTCGAGCTCGAGTGCCCGCTGGCCGTGGATTTTCGCCTCGAACTTCTCTTCCCATGCGTTGAACTTGATCACTTGCATTGCCCCAAACACTTCGTTGACAGACTTCATGCGGTCGTCTTTGAGCTCCATGAGCGCTTGCAATATGCGTTTCTGTGCCATGGCTAAAAAGTGGTTGCCCACAAGTACAACGAAGATCGTGGCTGAGCCCAGCAACGACGCCCACCCAAGCAAGTTGTACAGCAACACCAGCGTCACGGCCACTTGCAGAGGCAGGAGCCACACTTGGTTTGACGAAATCGCAAACCCAATGATCCACTGGATGTCAGACGAGAACAAGTTGGCCACTTCGCCCGTGCTTTTGTCCCGACGACACGATGATGCCAACCGCAGGGCCTTTTGGAACAGCAGGTGCTGCAGTGCCGACGTGATGCGCACCATAACCAGTTGATTCTTCAAGTTGGAATGGGTGGACGCCAGCGCTTGCACGAGTTTTGCCGCCACAAGGGCAAACACATACCACAAAACAGCCTGCAAATCGAAACCCGTCGAACTCTCGAGCTGCTGCAGGATTTCCTTGAGCACCACCGGTGCAAACAGAGTGCCACCCAAGGAGATTGCCTGTAACAACGCCACAAGGAAGAGATCGAGGCGATGGGTCGAGAAAATCGCCCACAGGATGGACCGAGACGCACGGAATTTGGGCTCGAATATTGCGCTCACAGACACGCACTTGTTGTCGGATTGCAGAGGCCACATGTCAGCTGGATCCAATCGACGCTCGTGGCCAAGAGTGAGCAGCGGACCTGCCCAGGAGAAGAAGAGCTTTGAGAAGAAACCGACCCCATGAAGAGGGTGGTTATGCGTGGCGCTTGTGGCGGCTGCCGCGACCGCCTGGTATGACTTCGACGATCCCGGGCCAGCTACTGTCATCGATTGAGGTAATTTCGAAAGTGATCCATGACATTCCATCATCGAACAACGTTACATCAATTTGCAAATCATGTGGTCTCAAAACACTCTCAGCTCACTCTCATTGATATCTTGTTTATTTTAACAACACAGTTCGTACATACTATATATATATGTAGACAGCATTCAGACTATGAATAGAATAAACTATCTACTCTCCTCACATCACACTCGTTGATCCAAGGTTGGATTGTGTACGAATAGATCCAGCGGCAACCATTCAAATGCCACTTCAAGCCCACGTGGCGAATTGACGCAACATCACATGTAAAGTTCGATGCCGCTTGGAGTACAACAAACATGCATGAGCAATGCAATTCAATAACCACTGGTGATTAACGAGGTACAATCCTCGTCTTCACGTAACAACAGGTTGCACCCGTCGAGCTTAGCCGTTTGCCCTTGACGTTTGGGCGAAAGCGCTTCCTCGAATTTGAAGGAGCCTATTCCTCCGCCAATTCGAAACATTATTAACTATGGAATAGCCCAGTACATCCACGACAATGTCCTGCGTGTACTGGGCTAGGTTGCATACCAAGGTCTGGAGTATTGCTTGAGGAGTAAGTAGCTTGCTTCATTTTGCAATGCAGCATAGATATCATGATTTAACCGAAAACGAATTTCGACTGTATTATTTTTCTTGTTCTGGTTGGACTAACAGTGGTACCGGCATACCAAAGTGATATATTAAAGCTCAACACTGCTGTCTGCATTGCTAAGGTCGTGAAAGGCGCCGTGACCTTTGGCTAACAAAGCGTCGGGGGCATCACATTGCACAACATGGCCCTTCTCAAACACCATGATGCGGTCACAGTGCCGCACAGACGCCAGCCGATGCGCAATGATCAGCACCGTCGAATGTTCAAATTCCGTGCGGATCAGCTGCTGCAGGTGGCGGTCGGTGGCGGCATCTGTGGCCGCCGTGGCTTCGTCCAGCACAACCACCCTCGCTTGACGAAGCAAGGCGCGGGCCAGACACAGGATCTGCCGCTCGCCGACGCTAAAGTTGGCGCCGCATTCGTCCACGGCCCACTCCAGCTTTTTGCCTCCGTTGAATCGGTGGGCCAACTGCACTTTATGCAGACTCGCCCACAGTTGGTCGTCCGTGAACTCGTCGTTCGGGTCCAAATACATTCTCAGCGTGCCTTGAAAAAGCACGGGGGACTGAGGGATGATGGCCAGTCGGCTGCGAAGGGTGTGCACCCCCACGGACGTAATGTCGACGCCGTCGATTCGAATACACCCCCCTGCCACACCGTGCATGTGGAACAGCGCCATGGTCAGACTCGACTTGCCAGCGCCCGTGCGCCCCACAAGTCCGACCTTTTCGCCCCCCTTAATATGCACGGATACGTTCTTGAGCACCAACGGATCGGTAGCTTTGTACCGGAAGCTCACGTTTTCAAACACAATGTCCCCGCTAGACGGCCACAATTGCGAGACGGCCCCCGGCACCACGCGCATGGGTTCACTGGGGAGAGCCATGTACTCGACAATGCGCTCGGGGGCGACCATTTGGGTCTCTAGAATGGACCAGATAAACACCACCATCTCCAAAACGGGGAAGATCTGGAAGCTGTAGTTGAGGATGAGGCCCACGACCCCTGGGCTCAAGTACCCCCGCATGACCACGAGCGCGAGCCCGAGGAACAGCATCATGCACGCGCTGAAGAGCTGTGTGCGCAGAATGAACCATTGGTTGGCCACCTTGGCCGTGTAGAACGACTGGTTGTTGCGGTCAACGTTGGCGTGATGCAACCGCACAAGTCGTTCGACGTGGTGGGGGCCAAAGGCGCGGACGACGTGGGCGCCGTCGATGATTTCCGCCGTCAAGTTCAACAGGGGGGATTTGGTCACTGTGTTAACGCGCTCGATGGCGCGGGCGGACTGGAGGTAGAACGACGCCATCCGGTAGTAGTACACGAGCAGGGGCACGATGAGCAGCGCCATGCTCTTCATAGCCCACACCATCGTGCCCACCGCGAATGCACTGCTGACCGTCAGCGTCAAGAACGCGCCGGCGAGACTTGGGATGCGCGTATCAATAGCCGTCATGTCGTTACCATATCGATTCAAGACCCGCCCGACGGGATTCGTGTCGAAGAACGCCATTGGCACCCGGAACAACGCCGCCGTCATCCGGTCAAACAACACTCGCGACGCCGCGAGTCCGGCGGCCCAGGACAACGCAGCGCGACCGACGGCGACCCCACACCCCGTGAGAACGAGCAGGCTGTACACGGTCAAGTAGTAGCTGGACTCGGCCAGAAACGTCTCAGGCGACACCTTGGACGCCGTGTTGCTCCATCGGCTGAGCCACAAATCGCTCGCGACTTGCACCCCCGAGTACGACAGCAAAAGGGAACCGAGCACGACCAGCAGAGGCCACCCCCCACAAGCTTGCGCATACGTCCAAAACACGGCGCCGCTCACCCGTCCTTCGCTTCTGGATTCCTCGACAATCAATTTGCCAGAGAGAATGCGTTGCTCATCGACGTCGGCTTGGTGATCGTCGATGTCTCCGACGAAGAGAGGAGTGTTGGGCGGCATGGGCACTGGAGATCGGAGCAAATTGAGGCCTTCCAGGGCCGCGGTGTCGGTGCGGGCGTTGTAATCGTCTTCCGCTTCATGCATCAACGCAGACGGCGGCGACGAAAGCGTTGGTTCGAATTCTGGCTCCATGTGTTTTGGAGACACGACAGTCTGCACCACCGTGCCATTGTCCACGAGTTCCATCGTTTGGTTCACGGCGGGTGACGTGATCACGTCAACGTTGTGCGATACGAGAAGTACCGTCTTGTGCGCGAGAAGGCCGAGAATGCACTTGGAAAACACTTGGCGCTGCACGGACGCATCGAGCGCGGCAAGGGGCGCGTCCAAAATGAAAATTTCCGCGTCACTGTAACACGCCCGCGCCAAACTGATACGCGCCTGCTGCCCCCCCGACAAATTCACACCCTTTTGACCGATTTCCATGCGGTCGCCCGCCGGGAACGACGCGAAGTCACTCGTGAGCGCACACGCGTCGACCACTCGGTGATACTTGACGCGGTCATAGGGCTGACCAAACAAAATGTTGTCGCGGATGGTCATGTGCTGGATCCACGGTTGCTGCGGTACGTACGCGACGGACCCGCGAAGCGCGACGGCCCCCGACTGGGTGACCATTTCGCCCAGAAGGGCCGCGCACAGGGACGACTTGCCTTGGCTCACAGCACCATGCAGCACGACGAGCTCCCCCCGCCCAATCCGAAGCGACAACCTGCGAAACACACTTGTCTTCGCATCCCAGCCAAACGTTGCGTCGGTCACTTGAATCGCCGGTTGCGAGCTGCCGGTGATAGGGGCGGTAGCTGACACTGGCTTGTCATCATAATTAAGGAATTCCTCCATGCGGTCTACGGCCACCAGCGCTTGCATGAGCGCGACGATGGCTTGGGGCAGCCCCATCATGGGGTACTTGAGCAGCGAGAACAGCGACATGGCCGTGAAGATCTTGCTCACGCTCAGGGTTTCCTGCATCACTATCGTGTATGTATAGAACGACACGAGCGTGACCAGTACCGGCGTGGTGAAGAGCAACGCGGTTTGCGTTGCTTCTGCCAGCACATACGTACCCAGCGTCTGCATCTCCGCGTGACGCAACGCCGTCACCTTGGCTTCCAACCGCACTTCTTCGGCTTGCAACTTGACCACCTTCATGTTGCCAAAGATCTCGGCGACCGCCTTCATCCGGCCGTCCTTCTTGGCCATGTACGTGGCCAAAATGCGACGCTGTACAATCGTGATGCCGTGGTTTATCGCAAACGCCAACGCCAGAGCTCCCGAACCGACGAACGCGGCCCAACCGATCACGTTGTACAGCATCAAGAGCGTCACAACCACCCGCACCGGCGCAGTCCACACCTGGTTGACCGTGGTCGCAAACGCAGTGATCCATTGCATGTCGGACGAAAAGAGGTTCGCAATGTCCCCAGCGGTCTTTTCGCGGCGCCGCGTGGCATCGAGGCGCAATGTCTTGAGGAACAGCAAGTGTTGCAATGCCGACGTGGTTCGAAGCACCATGCGCTGGGTGATCAAGTCGGCATGGGCGGTCACAAAGGCTGACACGATTTTAGATGCCACGAGCATGACAAGAGCCTGCACAACCACCATCATGTGGAAGTCCGACCCTTCGATCGCTTGGAGGATCTGCTTGACGGCTATCGGCCCGACATACGTCATGGAAATGACCACCACTTGCATGGCCCCCACCACGGCCACCGCGACTCCATGAGACGACAGGAACGCGGACAGGACCGAACGAGATTGCACAAAGCATATTTCGAACGCAGAGCTCACGGTCACGCTCTGATTCGACGCCTCGAGCGGCCACAAGTCTTGGATGTCCAACCGACGCAAGCTCCCGGCGTGCAGCAGTGGACTGGCCCACGCTAGGAATGCTTTGGACACGAAACCAGCGCGTTCAGCTGGGTGACGGCTTACTATCTCGGGAGGCGGCTTCACGTGTTGCACGGAGTTATACTTCGTCGTCGGTGGTGGCGCCATGGTACACTGAGCAAAGACCTGCCAATGAAAAAATTACCTGTCAATGACAAGTGTCTGCAACTTCAATTTCGGCCGCTAGGCCGTTCCAAAATGTCTCAATTTTCTGTATTTTGCACCCCCCCCCACCCAGTTCTCCAGTACAAATGACTTTATTTATATGACCCCCCCGGACGATGTCAAGTCGAACGGCTAAAAGTCACATGTGGAAATCGTTCCGAGGTTTTTGATATCAGAAGTTCACTAGACGTCATTAGGCTGAGACGGAGTAATTCCCTCATTAAAACAGTTCAACTGTTGTTTTGACCCGAAATACTGTTTCACATGCTTGTCAATGAGGGAATTATTACATCCGGATACACCTTTTCACCAGTAGCCCTGTAACCTGGGCCTCCGTCCTACCCCCGGTGAGTACATACGATGCTAAATCTCCGGGGTTAACTGCATCACTTAACCCCTAGTAAGAGATGTGGGGGTCTGAGCATATGTCACGTCAAACAGCTAACAGCGCCTGTCACATTTGGAAATCGTTCCGAGGTGATTGACATCAGAAGTTCACTAGACGTCATTAGGCTGAGAACGGAGTAATTCCCTGATTAACTGTAAAACAGTTTCACTGTTGTTTTGACCTGAAATACTGTTTCACATGCTTGTCAATGAGGGAAATATTACATCCGGATACACCTTTTCATCCCTGTAACCTGGGCCTCCGTCCTACCCCCGGTGAATACGTACGATGCTAAATCTCCGGCGTTACCGGTAACGTAGATTTCCAATTTAAGAGACATGGGACAACTTAAGGGATTCAGCCAATCACCCACTTTGAAAGTTGTGTAGAAATACCTCTTTAAATAAATGTTCCTCTTGATCCGATGTGTTTTATTTAAAGCAATTAACCAATTGGCTCTATAAATGCATAACCTGTTGAGGTTATATGTACCTGACAGAATATTACCAGTATGCCCTAACCACAAACACTATATGCATGGATCAATACTACGAATGGGACATTAGGACATGATAGATACTGTGAAAATAGATGTTTCAGTACTCCTGTTCAATTATCAGTTTTCAGAAGTCGAAACCCATTGCTGCTTCATGGCACACGAAAAAAATCTCTTAGGGCCAGTCTGGATGCCCAATAAATATTATTTCAAAATTTAATATCCAGGAATCTGCATTTTCCGTGAAATATCATATTTTTATGTTCAACAAATTGTTTTGCCCTGTCTGGACGGCACTGATATTCTGCGAAATTATTTTGAGCAGAACTAGGACGGTCAGATTGAACAGCCCATTCTGAATTTGCGCGCGATACCCACAATCACAAAGACCATGGACGACACGCGTGCAAGCTGGAACGACGAAAAAGGCGCTACGTGGCTCACCGAAATGATACATCAAGCGCATGTTCTGGGAAAGAGCGCACACAGCGGGTTCAAGCGCGAGGCGTGGCTCGCTACCCTAGCAAAAAGCTCAACGCCACGCACAAGCTCAAGTACAACGTACAACAACTGAAAGGAAGACATGCGGAACTCAAGAAGCAGTACTCTGTTGCATCCCAAATGGTCAAGCCGTCGGGAATCGGCTTCGAAGCAGTGACGTGTCGCTTTGTGTGTACGGAGGGCTCGTGGGCCCATTTCCTTCGCGATAAGCCAAAGAAATGGGCACTGTGGGAGACTAAGCGTTTCCCTCAGTACCCGCTGTGTCAAGCGCTGTACGACGGCACTTTGGCGACTGGCGAGTTCGAATCTTCATCGACTCAAGCTGCGAATCATCGTCATCACCACGAAGACGACTCAAGCGACGAATTCGGTGACGACCCACCATCCTTTGTGATGCCAAGTGTGGAAGAGAAAGAAGAAGATGACACAGGCAACGCATCGGACGACAACAACCGAGGTCGTCGGTCAGTTCAGACGCCGAACCAAAAGCCTGCGAAGCGCGTACGGCAATCCTTGGCTTCTGTAATGGTGGCCGAGATGCGTGCATTTCGCGAAAATGGCAAGGAAGAGCTGGATGTCATGAAGAAGGGTTTGGGCTCCATTGACGAAGAAAACAAGGCAACGTCCCCAGTTGAAGCGGCGATGGATGCCCTCCACGATGAGTTCGAGTACTTGCTGGGGGCTGCCGACCTGTCGTTCGCCTACGAAGTCCTTGAGAATCCAGCGAAGGCAGCCCAATTTGTGCGCATGCGTGGCGAAGCACGTGAAGTCTGGTTGCGGCGTCATATTCAAACGAAAGCTCGTGAACACGAACGCATTTTTGGGGGAGGTCAGGAGTAGGTAGTTAAATCAACTAACGTAGATGGCCAATTTATGGTGCACTTAAAAGAGACGTCGTCGTAGAATGCACCTTATCAAGGCAAAATAGGTGGGACGGTTTATGGTGCACGGTTTAAGCTTAAAATATGTATGCTGTTTTTGCTTATTTTTTGGTGATGTCATTTTTCTAGTGATTCGATTGGCTATTCCAAAAATCAAGTAATTGCATTGGCCATTTTAAGTACACCTTAAACTGTCGCGTGCACCATAAACTGGCCATCTACGTTACCTCTAAGCTGATTCTCGTCGACGGCGGTTTCTCAATGTTGCCATGTACTGGTCCCACATGCGCCTGGCAATGTCGTCGCGCCAACGTTTCGCTTCTTCCCTTTCCAGCTCCACACATTCTGGTCTTCAGGCAGAAGTGGCTGCTCGATTTGGGCTTGAAGGTCGGCATCTGCTTGACGTTCAAAATCGTCTTGGACATTTTGAAGTCGAATGAAGTTGTGCAAAGTACACAGGGACATCACCAGGTCAACCTGGAACTGGTAGTCGTATTCCACTGGGTATGACATGACAGGGAACCGCTTCTTGAGGATGCCGAAGATTCTTTCGACGACGTTGCGGAGCTGTGCGTGACGAAGGTTGAACAGTTCTTCCTTGTTCCGAGGGCGTTGTGAACCTTTGCCATACTCCTTCAGGTGGTAGTGGGTGCCTCGGTAAGGTGTCAAACACGACTTCGTCAGGCCGAAACCAGCGTCCAAGATATCGTACGCGTTGGCCGGCACCGTGAGACCCGATCGAAGAGCTGCCTCATACAGCTTGCCGTCACCAGCCGTGCCCTCCCACCCCGCAAGCACAAATGTGAACTGCAGATCGAAGTCGCATGCGGCTAGGACGTTCATTGTAACGCCCTTGCGACTCTGGAACCGCGCAACAACATCTGCAGGGACTGAGACTGGAATGTGTGTACCATCTATGGCCATGCGGCAGTGCTCGAAAAAGGGGAAGAATTTGGGGTTCCCCAAAATTCGTCGATGGACAGGCAGGCCGACAGTTGGTAGCTTGATGTATGTGGCGCTCATTCGACGGACTGCTTCGAGGACAGCGCGCAAGTGACGCGTGATCGTTTCGCCAGATCTTTGGAATCGACACTGCAGCGCTCGACTTGAAGCATGATGCCCGCAAAAGCACAGAAACATCGCCAACTGCTCGTTGACAGAGACCTCTTAAGTGGACCGCAGCTTGCCAATGTCAACAATTGCGTGAGCAAGCCGTTGGAACACAACGCGCGGCATCCGTAGCATCTCCACGACGTTATGTGGGTTGCCAGTGAGGACCTCGTCGACCCACATCGGTCCGCTGAGGATGGAGGTGTGCTTAGGTGTCTTGTACACAAAGGCCGAGAAGTAGTAGGCAAGCATCTTGACGAAGAGCTCGCGGCGTCTACGACGCAGTTGGTACCATTGCTTGATGAACCTGATCGTGATGTCTTTGCGCATGCTTGTTTGTTTGGTGCGGAAGGTGCAACAACACGAAATACGTGAAAATATACGACTTGGAGTCGTATACTATTTATCTATATATTTGATAAAATATCTCAGAATAACGTCATGTTGAAGTGGCGTCCAGACACGTCTTAACGTCGATTCTAAAATTCGTCGGAAACGTCCAAATTATTTCGAATTTAAGTGATTTTGGGTGGCATCCAGACGGGCGCTTAACGTTAAATTGGAAATCGACGTAAACTGCATCGCTAGTGGTTAGCTATGTGCATCTCAGTGGTTAGCGATAGCTAACCATTGAGATGCACTTAACCCCTTGTAAGAGATGAGGGGGTCTGAGCATACAAAGTTCCATATAAAGACTCATTGAAACAGTACTTTCGGGTCAAAACAACAGTGCAACTGTTTAAATGGGGGAATTGTACGGCTGAGGTGATTTGAAAGTTGACATGGATCATGTGCCTCGGCCCAACGAGCGCTTTATCGTTGTTGAATCCACTTACTCATGGTCAACCAAACTTGAGGTTTACTGGGTCGACTTCATCAGCCAACTAACTACCAACAATCGAAGAGACAACTCAACAATACCTAGCCCAGAACGATGTTCGGCGAACACTACTGTACTGTACAGTACCAAATCTGTACTAAAGTAGCTGGAGGAATGGGAGCATCCGCGACTTCGCGGATTGTCTACTCCTCAAACAACCTCTGAAATATCAACCAAACTAGGACGACCGTGTAAATCTAAATTTAGCAAAATTTGCAGTAAGGTACCATGGCCATCGAGGCCGCCGTCGGCAACCCGCTGGCGTCCAGGACGACTCGCCTATCGACAGAAGAACGCTCAGTGGTCCTAGCCAAGAACCTTATCTTTGGAGACACCCTCACGAAGAAGGACGTGCGATCCCCAACCACGGGACCGCATCGACAACGGATTCGGCACGCCAATGTCTGTCGTGGCAAAGTCGTGTTGGCGGCTTCTACTGGCGATACTACCGTATCCTCTCCACCAGGCAGTCGTGTGCCCTCCAGTCGACAACACCGACTCAAACCATCGTCCCCCAGAATTGAACATGTTCCCGAGTCCCCCCCACCAGCTGCCTCCCCCCTCGAAGCAGCCCTGTCTTCACAAGCACGACAAACCCATCCCATCCACGTCACGATTGTAGACAACATTCGCCCCCGAAAGCGCACGTCTGGGTTGCGAACTGCCCAACCTACTAGCCCACAAAACGTAACAACACCAGCTAGTCGTGTCCAAGTTTAACGATGCACTAGGGGCTGTTGTGCGGCCACGAAGAAACCTTGACCATCGACGACATGTGTTCCGATCCCCTGGAAGACACTGTGAGCCCCCACGCAGACCTCACTCCTCTGGTCTCCCCCAAAAACCCTACGTGCTACTCGCAAACCCAGCGGGCTAGTTGGAGCGGCAAAGTTCCCGCCGCCCGTCGACGTAGCCAGTCGAATACGGCTACGTCCGTGGACGTGTCGAACACGTCGCTTTCGAGTTACTCAGGGGACGTATCGGCTGACAATGTAGTAGCTGAAATCGACACCATCAAGACGATTTTGATCCGCGAACAGTTGATGGAACGGCTCGGCCGCGCCGCCGCCGTGATCGATCGAAGTGTGTTGGACCTGCATGCCCTTACAAAGCCCGCCCGGAGAAAGAGCGCGGGCTCTGCAACCTCTCGAAACGGCGACAACAACGAAGGAGACGAGAGGCCGACCGCAGCCCAGAAGAAACAAATGGACGCCACGGTCGCGTCACTCGAACGTCGCATCGTAGCCTCCACGCACGATTTGCTGGACATCGGGCCAGAGCTCCGACAAATCACAGTGAAAGTCGTGGACGCGATCGAAGGTTGGCGCCATACTCTGGATGGCACGGCCACTCGGACGAACCGTCCTCCCACTGTGCGCACATTTTTGTTTCAAGGCGAGAATTACCTCGAGAAAATGAGCCAAGACCTGTGTCCAGCATACGACGGCGTCGCCCTCGCAGCAGTGTTCAAAGGCCCCTCTCACCCATTTCTCCTGCCCCACGACGTCGCCGACCAACTCCATGCCGCGTTGGGGCTGCCCCCTGTACCTGCCTTATCTACAGCTCCTTGCACGACCTTTGTCACGACCTCTGCTCTCGTTGCCGATACACTCTCGGAAATCGTCTCGACGCTTATCCGTAAACGCATTCCGTCGTCGTTTGGGCCTCAAAACAACGAGTCGACATCGTTGATCACAGCGGAAGTTCGTCGAGCCACCGCCGCCATCTTCCGCGAGCGTCATCGTGTGCAAGCCGACGCCCCGCGTAGCGTCGAACCTGCCGCCTACGACCCCTTCGACACCATTCGACAGTACCCAGTACGTTGATCCTTCAACAAAACTCACTACTTCTTGGCCAATGTAATCGGCTGATATGAATCATGGACTCGTTAGACTGTCGCGGACGCGTTCGACCGAATTTGTCGGAGTAACCGAGATGCGATGGACGACACACGTGAGGTATTGCGGCTTCGACAGCAAGACACGACTCGTGCCCGGAACCAAACATTACGCGCTGTGCAGAAACCACTGACCATTAATCATGCGGCCGTGGAGGCGTTGGTGGCCAAGAAAGTGGCGGCGGAGAGCGCCTCGATCATGCCATCCAAAGGGGCTGCTGCTGGTTCTACATGTCGCCTTGCTGGTCACGTTTTAATCCGCAAGAAACCCAGTCGAGGCGATCCGGTCCTGCGCAGCGTCCTGAAGATTCAGGCACAATTCAGGCGCCACCATTCTCGGCTGGAACTGCTCTTGTCGTTGAAAGCGATGACTCATCGGCTGCACATGGCGGCGACCCAAATTCAGGTATGTCACGCAATCATCTTGGAAAGTGGTGTGGTCCTGCCACACAATCATCGTGACGTGATCATTTATGTAGCGCATTTATCGAGGCCATCGCGCCAAAGCCATGGTGGGCCAAGTTCAAAGGTCGTTGTGGGTAGACGAGCGTTTTTTCCATTTGAACGCCCGACGTGTGCAGCGATGGCTACGGCATCGGCGGTTGGAGCGGGTGGAAGCCGCCAAGCGGCAGGTGGCGGCCGCCGTCGTGGTCCCCGCCGAGCTCCCTGTGGTGCCTGTAGGCCCCAGTCTAACCGACGTGTACCGAGAAGCAGGGCGTAAGCGTCGCATGGAGCGCGACCGCGTGACCGCAGAAAAGCGATCGCAAGCGGCGCTCTTGATCGAGAAGAAGCACCAAGGGTGCCACGTCATTCAAGGCGCGTTTCGGCACTACAACAAGCGCAAGACAATGCGTATGCTACAGCTCGCACGACGCATGTCGCAAGAGTCCAACGCTGCGACGCATATTCAGTCGTTCGTGCGGTGTACGCTGGCCAAGAAGTACGCGCGGCAGCTGCACGCGAGGCGGGAGTTGGACACGGTGCACCACAGCTCGACCCTGATCCAAGCGACGTACCGCGGACATCGCGTGCGCCAACGCATGTCCTTGGCGGCGACGATGGCGGCCACGAAGGAGGTCGCTGGCTCCCCGACCAAGACGAGGCTGCCGTCGGTGGTCCTCAAGCCGGCGGTGCTCAAGCCACATCCCACACGCCCGTCGCGCCACCGAACCGCGGTGACTGTCCCCAAACCACTGCAGAGTCCTCGAGACAGGCTGCCCAGCCTCGTTCAACAAGGCCGCCGCAAGCCTGGAGTGTCGTGGGAAGAGCTCAAGCTCAAGGAACCTCGCATTGGCGACCAATTGTAACAACCATGCTATTTGTTCCCCAAAAAACGTGTTTGCATGGCGCGTTTGCCCGAGTGAGGACCAGCGATCGATTCGTGGTTGAGGAGATTATGCAGCCATCCGCTTTTGACCTTCGTAGCTACGTACAACTTCACACCGCTACCGGCAGCATCACATCGACAGGACGTGTACATGGATTCATTTTAGTTTTCTGTATGGCTACAAATGGTACGTGACTATGCTTGGCTTGTGACGTGCATAACGCTTAGGAGCCCAACTCCACAGAAAAGCAACTCATATCAAGTGTATTGCGCTTCATGAAATCATTCAGCGAATTGATTTGAATCATCGTTGCTTCTCCATGGGTCCTGGACATGATGGCGACGCCTTGCGCCGACACACGGCTCAAAATACGTGTATACCTTCGAAGAAATATCAGCATGGGGCGTGGTTTCCGAAGGAACCAGCCCTAAAAGAGGCCTTCTGAAGTCATCCTCGCCAACATTGCCTCGCGAAACGCCACCACCACGCGGTCATGCCACCCATCCCTCTGCCGCCACCAACGACATCTCCACCCAACGACTTGCGTCACGGGGGGAAACAGCTCGACATCAACCTCTCGCATTGGTTTTGATCATGTGCGACCCAAGGTATGGGTCTCGCATCAGACTTGGCTAAGCAAACGTCATCGCACACGTCGATGGCAGAAGGATCGTCCTTGCCGAGTAGCACCCTCATCCCATCACTACAATCTACACTACAACATCTACTTCGAACCTATGAACATGTAAGGGGGGAAAGACGAGGGCACTGCCGCGGCAATCGCACATCGCGGAACAGGTCGAATACCAGGAAGCACCGATGGAAATGAGAGGACACAGCACAGTTTGAAAATCATCCGGATATAGAGATACAGGATTGGACAAAAACCAACCAATCAAATTGTAGTAGGCTACCGATCTTTCCACAAATTCGCGCTGCGACGTCATGGCGACCTCCATGAAGCGATTGACGACGGCAGACATTGTACGTGGCCCAACGTGAATAGAGGATAGCTAACGAAAGAGCGCTGTAGACACAAGCCACGGGAGAGGATGACCACCATCGCGTTGTGGAAATCGAGATCATCTTCGGGTCCTTCCACGAAATCGATGCCCTCGAATCATGCCCAAACCTGTGCAACTTTACACGTACTACATCGTCGCTCAGTAGCTGTGGCTAATCCATCACCATCATATTTGCGTAGTGATGAACACGAGATTGCAGCGAATATGTCGTCTGGAGCCTGTTGCCCACACACTAACACGCCTGTGCCTCGCTGACCAAGAATTGACCAAACTTGAAGCGCTGTGCCTCCCCCACTTGAGGCAATTGCTCTTACAAAACAACCGCATCGAGATCATTGAAAACCTTGACGGGTTCGTGGACTACTTAGACGTTTTCTCTGGAAAACGACTCACGAATTGACGTAAGCAGCGTTCCAAAGCTCCAAAAGCTGTGGCTGAGCGGCAATCGCGTTCAAGTGATACAAAACCTCCACTTTTGCACCGACCTGCGTGAGCTGTGGCTTCAGGTAAACCGTATCCTCCTTCACACTATTTAAGCACAACATTTGTTATGTCAGGACAATGCCATCGAGGCCATCACTGGCCTCGATCAACTCACAAACCTGCACAACTTGGCACTAGCCAAGAACCGAATAGCCCATTTTGAAGAGCTGTCGGTGGGCCCACCGTCTCGTCGTTGACCATCGGTTCTCATATACGACGAGTAGAAATTAGCGAATTTGCCAAACTTGTGCAGCCTGTCGCTGGCCGACGAACATTATGGCATCAACCCCATCACTGCGGAAACCGGGTACAAGATCTTTGTGGTCAACCAGCTCAAGCAAGTTCGTATATGACAGACACCCCGTCCCTTGCATGCTTCCCACGTGTGGACGTAGGTGCGGATCTTGGATGGGCTGGAGATTCAATCCACGGACCAGCGATTCGCCGAAGACGAGTACATGCAGCGCGTACACTTGCTCTTTACGTTCGATGATACGGCGCTCATGTTTTATGTTGCATTGTCGAATGGTGGCAGGTGCTGGCCTTCAACGACAAGATCGACAATGTCCAGCGAAGCCATGACCAAGAGATGCTTCGCATTGACTCGCGGCGGAATCGTAGCAACACCCACGCCGACCTGCTTCAAGAGGTTGGTTCATGTGTTGTTGCCAGAACTAGAATGGTACGCTATACGATTGGGTGGGTAGGAGCTGCTGGGATCGTTTCGGGCGCTGGAAGATGTGGTCACGAAGGGACGCAAGGCGATGGCGGACGAACATGCGCGGCACCAACTCATGCGAGAAAAGCACACGACGGCGCTGCACCACAAACTGCAGAGTTTGCAGCAAGATTACCTCGCCCAGCTCGACTCGTTGATCACACAAAGTGTCTTGGCCATGGAACACCAAGTAATCCTATATACGATGTATACTCCATGGATGTTGTACAAAACCAACGGGATATATGTGCCAAGGACGCGCTGTTTGAACTGCTCGAGCGGCGCGCCGTGGCGGAGGAAGAGCAGGCGTTGGCGGTCGCCCAGCTACAGACGTCTGCGACGACGTTCCACCACGTCGCCGATTCCTCGCCCGACTTTCGGTACATTGCCAGTCTGTTCGTCGGTCGCGACCCCAGTGTACGACACGCCCAGTCTTTATTGTTTCATATTGAAACATCGTGTACCAGGAGGCCAGACATAGGACCGACGACGACGTCGATTGGAAGGTCCTACAGCTGTACAAGTGCCACACTTCCCTACGGCAGCAGCCCTTCTCCCCCGACGGCAAGCCAAGTCCGTCGGTGCCGCTCTTTCTGGCCGGCCAAGCCGCGCTCGTCCACTCGTTTTTCACAGACAATGTCCTGCCGCCATCCTCGTGGCTCGCCTCCGACCCCGCGATCGCCACCATCGGCCACGCTGACCACTGTCACATGCTGGTGTGCCATGTTGCGTCGACTGTTCAGGTGCATGAAGTGCACGTGGAAGGGGGAGCGTGGGACGAACAGCTTCTCGTGCACACGGAGCGTCATGCGACGCTGTGGACAAAAGTACGGGATACACTGTGTCCCAATGTGTAGTGGCGCCGACACATGATGTGTTGTAGGTCCATTTTCATATGCACAGTCGAGTCACATCGGTTGTATACCTTCCGCCAGCGGCGCCGTCAACGTCATGTCCTTCTACCGTGGACGTTATTCCTGTGTACTATGCCGTGTGCGCTGCGACACCGTGCACAGTCGACGAAGCCGAGCTACAGAGATTGCTGCACGACGCAGGCCATCCCCCGTCGGTCGGTGGAGCAGCATGTGGGACTGACAAAGACACGGCCGACGCCTTGCTTCAGCAATGCCAAGCAAGGATGCGGAAAGAGGTCGAAGCATACCAGCGCCACCTCTGGGACGACTTGCAGCCCGACCGAATACGCGTTCCCGAGGACGTCCAGTCGTTGCAGCAAGCTCTCGATCACTTGCGTAGCCACATTCAGGAAGAGCAAGACACACAGGTATGCACGCATTTGATCTTCGTCCATGCACTGACGGCCCTGACGGAACTGCCTTAGAAATCCATGTTGCGGCAGATGAACGTACAGAAGCAACGGAAGGGACCGCCGCAGCTACCTTAACACGTTTTATAACTCAACCACAATCCGTTCTTTGTTCATTGGTTATCCGGATGATATACGGATAGAGTTCAACGGGGAATCAATCACAACTGTCATCACAACAACAAACGCCCCGAAGGACATGTTGCACCATGCGGGAAACTTTCTGCCTGGAGCGACGAAGGTGCCACTGGCACCGTTGACCAAGGAGGACGTGGAGTTTGCAGAGTACAAGGAAGACGTCGCTGGCCCAAACAACACGGGCGGGTTCATCATGTTCGATGACATCGACAAGTTCCAGCCGTTTGTCGAGTCGGAGAAATGTCCGCTTCACGACGCGATTAAGATCGAAGCCATGGTCAAAGAGCTGCCCAGGGTGCTGGCCGAGAAGTCGTACGAGCTCGGTGTGTGCTTCATGATCGATGTCGTCAAGGAATTCAATCCGCGACCGTTCGACGTTGTGAAGTGGCGAGCGATCAAGGGCAAGCGCGTGAATGACAAGCGACCACTCGAGTACATTCGAGTGGGATTGAAACACCCGAGCGAAACCTTCATCGAGTACGTGGGGGTGTACTGCCACATGTTCTTTTCCAACCGACAGCGCATGCCTCGAACCTACTTGGACATGCGGGTGGCGTTGGAGAACTTTGCCGAGCACCGCAACACCCAGCCTCGAATGGATGGCGCCACTGTGGGTCAACTGGCATGGGCATATCGGACGAAGCAGGCGTATCCGCGACAGCAGGTAATGACCACCGCATTGCTCCCCATTGAAAACCAGTTTTATGGAATGCATGGCGCTGGTGGTATTCAATAGGCCACCACCCCATTCATCACGCCACTGGAAGTCAAGGTGCCGCCAACTCAAAACGATGAGAAGCCGCTTTTTCCTTCGACAAGTCTAGACGACAAGAAGCCGCCGCCATCCCGACATCGGGACCATTCCCATGAACGGCCACCATCCCGACATCGGGACCATTCCGAGGACAGGCCGCCCTCGCGACATCGGGACCATTCTGAGGACAGGCCGGCAAAGCGCCGTCGATCCCGCGATCGAGAACCAACACGACATGCAAAGTCACCAAGGAAGGCACGCTCGATCGAACGCGAGTCGAAGTCTTCGCCTCGTCGATCCCGCCACCGATGGCCTGAGATCCCATCACCACCACGTCCACGACGACGACGGTCCCGATCACGCGATCACGACGAGAGTGGCGGCGCACGTAGTTTGGCACGAAGCAACCCACGACCAGCACCAGGACAAGGCTCCCCCTATCGAGATGGCACGGACAGCTCGTCGGATTCGTTATGCACTCGACAAGACACACGCTCCAAGTCACCAGAACGCCCTGTGACTCGACCACAACCACCCCCGGCTGAAACAGATCGGACACCCCACCACACCGAACCATCCGCCGCCGTGTCTTCGTTCGTGGCCAACCGTCATCGCACCCCCAGCAACTTGGCGCCACAACCATCGCACCCCATAAATCTCCCCCGCGATCGGATGGCTGCAGGGCCAGACAAAGTGCCGCCTGCACCAGTTGTGGTGATAGAAACACCCCCGCCTCCCGTCGCCGCCACCACTGCACATGACGTCGAGGTTGAGTCTTCCCCCAGACAAGACAGCCCCACGAATCCGGCCCCTCATAACCCTCGCACACCGGACAGTCGCCAGGCCGAGGTTCCCCCGCTACCCGCTTCAACGACGCCACCACCGTCCAACCCACCGCCGCGAAAAACTCCACCAAGTGACAGCCAGACACAGCCAAGTCCGACAATGCAAGTGGCGATCGCCCAGACAGTAGAGTCGTTGGACGCTTTGGCCGAAGTCAAGCACGAACAGCGCGTCCCCGATGCTGCAGCTGTTGTAGCATCGCTACGCCCCACGCCCGTGCGACCGTCAAGTATGCCCATGGGATGGCCACAGCCTAGTGCCGCCTCTCAAAGAGCTCACGCCCCTGCGGCAGCACCGTCACCGCCAAGTTCGGTCCCGATGGGGCCAACGGTCAAGCTGGAACGAGCACCTCCCCCCAACACCCCTTTGCCGCCGACAAGCCCATCACCAAAAGTCAAACTCGAGCGGATGTCCTCCACTACTACCCCCTTGCCGCCAGCACGTCCATCAGCATTCGGCAATGCCAAGGCGACGCGACCCGCTGCGGTCGTACCGAATGTAGTAGTTCAACCAGTCCCTGCTACTACGATGATGGGAACGCGTGTGAAGCAAGAGCCAGTTCGCGCCAGCAACGAAAGGGCCCCACCGCCACCACACATCCCTCAGTCCGCAGCCGACCTGGTGCGAAGAACATCCTCCTCCAACGTCCCCGCGCCATTAGCCCCGACGACGTCAGGTACCGGACATGGCACACATTCACGAACAGCCGCTGCCGTGGCAAAGGGTACAGTCGACATGCGTGCCAGCACACGATTCCAAGGGCATACAAACTCGGTCGTCCCTGCTACGGTGGTGGAAGTGCGAGTGAAGCAAGAAATGATGGACGCCACCAACACAACGCTGCAGGTTCAAGTCGTTTCGAATCCCCCGGCTGCCCCTCCAATTGCTGATGCGACGTGGGCAGCTCAATTTACAGGGCCACCAGCCAACGCCCACCCAAGTCGTCGTCATTGTGAACGCCACGTCATTGCCGGCCAAACGATTGGATTGACCCCCGAAGTGACTGTGAAACCTGAACCGGAGCACGATACAGACCAGTTGGCGGGGCCATCGAATGGACCCCTCAAGGGCGCCAACAGTCGACGCGTGTCTCCCTCGATGGGACACCAGTCTCATCAGACAACTTCACGGGTCGCTGGCCCCCACAGCGTCGCAGCTACAGCATCAGCAGTGGTTCCAACGGCAGAAGTGTTTGTGAAGTCGGAGCCAGGGCTTGCAACGACGGCTTCCCCATCACCTGCCCCACGACAGTCAAATAGAAATGAACGTTTCTTGAGTGACAACCTCAACGCGCATGGCCAGAGCGCATTGCAACGAACGGACCCCCCAGTTGTGACCAGCGTAGCAGAACCACCGGCCGTGAAGAATGTGGCGCAGCACGTGGACGAACTTCGCGAGTGGCTGCAACATTGGCAAGCGTCACAGGGTGGACTGTTCCGGCAGCAGCAGCCTTCGCATGAAACTGCACAAGTGGCCTACCGCGACTTGATGCCCACGTTGGATGCCAAGGTCAAGGCGCTGCAACAGCAAAGAATGGAGTTGAGTCAGGTACGAGTTGGTTATCAAGACCACGCATGTTTGTTTAGCTCCCTAACGTTTCCTTTTATAACAGATCAATCAAGCGGCGCCAGCACCCGCGGCGGAAGCGTCGACTGGTGCCGAAGACGCCAAGGGGATCGTGGCATGGGGTGTGGGTCCTGGAGGCACGCAGTGGCCCGTGCTCTGGTCTGGGACGGAGCTGATGTACCTATTTGGAACGCACGAGTGGTCAGTAGTGAATACGTTGAAAACTGGCGCTGATGATTTCCATATTGTACCCAGGCGAACGGTGGATGTCGACGCATTGCAAGAGTGGAATGGCCCCCACCACGATGCGTTGTCTACTGGCCCTGTCAAGGTCGCCTTGCGGCAATTGTTTCAAGACGCCATGACGGAAGCTACGGTATGAAGCGTTTGTTGTACACAACAAGGGTAACAGTTGATGGTGATTTGTAGGACTTTGCCTCTGCCATACGACCGTTGGCTGTGTGATTGATTGTAACTTTTGAGTATCAAGGGGTTGAAATCTAACACAAAAAACTACAATCTATATGTGCGACGTACAGCGGACACTTTGCGTAAGTGTTGCCTGGCTAAGACGAGCAAACATAGAACCATGTTGAACTAGCTAGTACCCTACTTTGTGGTGGTATGACCATTATTCATATGAAGTGGCAAGAAATCGACATCACGATTTGATCCACCAAAAGATGATCTTACCTGTGGCTACGACCCATTGTATTTTATTAAAAATATTTATATGTTCTTACAGTTTTCATTTTAATGAAACATTCTTTTACACTTAAATTTTGTATCTGATTTGACCATCTTAAATCATTGTGTAACCGTTACAACTCAAGGTTACAATATATAATATTATGCGAGGTTTTCATGCGACATTTGAAAGGTATTTGTATATGTATTGTGCGACAGGTGATATTTCACAACCAGCCGACACTCGTTCTCAAAATTGTGTTAATCCATTGCGTCATACAAATTTGAAGTATATTTAACATGTTCACAAGTAAATATCAGTTATTATTTAATACAAGAAAACTATCAGTTATTACATGAGTCGCAATAGATTAATCCGTCGCAATACATATACACTATACGGTACTCGAAAAGTCAAGTGAATCATATTTTAATGCCAGAATCGAATTCACTGAGGAAAACTACGTATGCCTACTGAATTTCATATATTTTTTCCAAGAATCTCAAATACAAGCACAAAAAGGGTCGTGGATGCTCTCGACCACTTTTAATTCAGCCAATCCAACAGTGTTTCGCTGAGTCGCTTCGGAGATTAACTGTAAGGGCCCGTCGGGATACCACTTTTATTGAGAAATATCGCGATAATTTTGCAAAATATTCAAGAATCTCAGCGACTTCAATTTGGCGTGTCTGGATGCCATTTCTTGATCAAGTTATATTCCATAATTTTATCAGAAATATCGTGAAAACCACAAGAAATAATATTCTACTCATGAGTAGAATATTTTGACGATATTGACAGTGCGCGTTGAATTGACAGGGAATGAGAAAGGCCATCGTGATTGCCTTCCTACGTCGATGGCTCATCCGCCGCCGCCTGGCCAAGGAACTCTTCGCCAAGACAGATGGAGTACCACTACCTCACCTTCGTCCACAAGACACCAAAGTGGACGTCCATCCTCCGTGGTCCTCTGCGGCTCTGCGCTATCCTCTGATTGGCTGTTCATTTCCGAACTTTCTTTTATCCAGACACACCACCCAAAATCATTCTTGGATCTTGAAACCCAAGAATTTCCTGCAATGTCGAAAAATGTTTTTTATTCAATTTTCCAATATCCCATAATATTGATGGGTGGCATCCAGACGGGCCCTATAAACAACAACGTCGTTGTGTGATTCAAGAAGTCGATTTGCACAACAGTTCTCGTTTTAGGCACATACATGCGTCTCAGGGGCATAATAACGTTTATATCATGGAGTGTGGTAGGACGGCAAAGACGGCATCAATGACGCTCGCCTCGGGGCATTTACGGGTAGAGAACGTCATCGCAGGCGAACAGACGACAGCTGCAAACGAGAACTTCGCCAAACGACAAGAATCGACAATGCGGTTATTTTATAACTTAATCTTTTAATCTGACTTGAATTTGTAAGCCAATGCGTTACTATTTGAATTGCACCAACACAATAAAACTCAAGTGGGAAGATGTTTGACGCAATCCATACGCGACTGGGCAGCCTCCCTCACGAACCTACACGCTCCACACTTCCACAAACAGTGGTTCTCCGCCCACTGGGCTACCCTCCGCCTACACTGGCACACCACAAATGTGGACAAAATACGCTCCGCCGGGGACTTCCCCCACCTCACAGAGGCTAATTCGGCTCAAACGCCAACACCACGACACCACCCCAACGGGCCATGATCGCTGCATACGCACCCGCCGTGCCCACCTGCAGGCCGAGACACGACTATGGTACTCCCGCCGCTGCTCCGCACTACCACCGACCAGATAGGTTTTTTCAAGTAGTTAAGTCCGCTAGCTACAAACGCAGCCGAGGCCATAAAATGCCCGCTGAGTGACGTTAACATTACAGCGCAATATGAATATCATGTGAGAAGATGTTGGGGTGCAGTGCTCGATTTTCGAGTCCCGTGGTCATGTTGGCCGCACACTTTTCATTCGACGACCAAGACTCGGAGGACTTAATTGTAGTCTTCGTCGTGGCAATAGGAAGAAAACAAAGGGCTAACAGATTTCAACAACGAAGCGATCGACGACTACAAGCAGCAGTGGGAAGCCACGCCACAGGTGCTTCTACTCGAGCTGGCCCCGTCCCTCCGATGCTTGTATCCGTGCTAGTGGTCGTCGCAGAGATCAGCGTGACGACAAGTTCAAGACGAGTCATATGCTGCAACGGCCATCGTCGTTCGCGACGGTGCTGTCTTCTTCGACCTCCAGGCGGCAGCTCCCGACATTTTGATGGAGATCGCGAGGATGCATACCTTATGGACAGACCAGCAGGCCTTCTTCCAAAAACTACCTTATCGACGTACAGTTTTCTACACTACTGGGTCTAATCATTGGTGTCGTTGCCACGTCATCGATTTCGCACCATGGACACAGCATATGGAATTCGACACAGCTACTGAAGAATTGCATGCTGGGCCCAGTAGTGCACGGAGCGAAGGTACGCGTCGCGGTCGCAGGGAACACCCGACCCACCCTCTTCCTTGCCCAACGCATTCCGCATGATCGTGATGGGGTCCATGGGCAATTCATAGTCGACGTCTTGCGCCTTGACGTAGATGATTCCCCACGGAGCAGTCTCGTCATGCACACCACCTTTCCCCGTCGCTGCATTTTCGAGCTGAATTTGGGCTCGACTGTACAGAATCACGTCCAGGTGGGAGGCCACCTGAGGATGCACCTTTTCCACGGGAAAGTATCGAACCAAACTACGTCAAGTGTGAGATCTTCAATCGAAGGTGCCTTACACTGGGAGCTCCGTGGACGTGCGCGCGACATATTGTGTTACCAAGTGGCCTCGGTTCGAGTCCGTGATCGCAGCCGTGCTCAGTTTCGCACCCACAAAGTTGGGAATGAACAAATGCTTGCAAAAGGGAGCGTATCTATGTGAAGACTGGAGAAAGGATGCACGTGTTCAGTCGCTCTCTTATTACCCGTCGACAAGATGGCATTCGTTGTTGTCATACATGCGGTTGATGGTAGCTACGAAGTCGGCCTTGTCCCAGACGAGCCGAGTCCCTTGATGTGCGGGGTCATCGAACTGATCCAAGCAGAACGAGTCTACCCACCGACAGCGCTCATTCCATCGCCTTCGTCATTGTTGAGCCGACGTACCCAGGACAAACGTTGGCGGCATGACAAAGTTAAAAATGGCCTTTCCGATCACTGGATTGGCTTAATGTCAAATTATTTTAGCGAATCATATCACACTTTTTCGTTTAACACTGCAGAATTGGCTTTATTTCAATCTCATTTTAGCCAATTCAATCTCCCTTGATTCCCAATTGACAGTGAAGCATTACTCGTAGTAATATACTTGAACAATATATTCTCACTTAAACATAATATACTTGAACGATATATTTTCGTTCCAAATCAATATCATATTTCGTCGGGATAATATCATTGTCTGACGCAACGTTTGATGAAGCAAAACAAAGAAACTGACCCACAGACAATCGAACATCGTAATTTCGAGCTCACGTTAGAGCTCACAATACTACGTTTGAACCATGAGCTGACCGTTTGTCATTGAATGGAGCACGAAAATCGATCTTGTTGGCCATCGGAAGGTCGACGTAGCCACGAATACCGTCGTGGGTTTTGTATCAGTTCAGACTTAGCGCCTTCAGCCTTGCCCCCAAAGATGCGACGTACTCGACTTCCTCGAGGGCAGCCACGTCCTTCTGGGAGCATAACCTTCGTCGCTGGAACACTGTTTTTTCTGCAGCCCTCAACATTCACATCGATCTCGCTAGTTGGCAGCACACGGCGCCGCATCCATTGAACAATGTCAGCATGGCCATTGGACGTGGCCGTTGCTAGCGCCTCGTGCAGCGGGTTGTTGCGACTATAATTTCTTCCTTGCCCAACTAGCTGGGCATGGAGCCACTTCAAAGTGTCCAGGTGTCCCATCGACGCTGCGATTACGATTGCGTTTTCAAACCAAAAAGTACGCGCCCGATTGCCCACCGCTAGCCATTGCAGCGCTTCCAAATGACCGTGACGAGTAGCCCCATGAACTGCTTCAACGGTGCATCCTTCGGCGCGATGGAGGTGAAGCCACTCAAGAACATGCGTATGATTGTGGGTGGCAGCAATATCCATGGCCCAAGTCGTACATCGTGCTGTTTCGCTCGAGACCTTGTGCACAAATTGGATGACGTGGAGGTGGCCACCATACGCTGCCCAATCGATGACGCTCGCCTCAGAGCATTTGTGGGTTGTGTTTTCAATCAGCAGTCGCACGGCTGGAAGGTGGCCCACATAGGCTGCGTAGGCGGCGAGAATGGAGTGTCGGTACTTGTCGGTCGAGCGAAGAAATGTCAGCATGCGGGATGGTGTGAAGATAGCAAGCCAGGGCGAAAGCAGTGCGTCGACGGCTTGCATGTGGTCCGTAGAGAGTGGCGGGGTGGCCAAGGTATAGTATCCCAAACGTCGAAGGGGGTGGTGGCTGTTGTACACGCCACCCTGGAAGTCTAAGATGAGGAGCATGAGATCTAACGATGTCAGGACTTCGAACGCGCCGACGGTACGAGGTCTATGCGTAGGCTTGGTGGAGAGGGCAATGCGCATGAGGAGTCGGTGGTTATGCGGTGGTTCAATCAAGGACGGTGCCATGTATGTGTCGTCCACTGGACTTGTTGTGTTCTGCCGAACATGTCAAAGCGCCCATGCATGCCAAAGGAGCCACTGCGGGGTGACATATCTGGCGACTTATGCTACCCATTCCCGATTACATGCTCCGATCACCCGGCTTGAGATTGTATCGTATCTTATCTGTCACAACTATGTGGCGCTAACAATCTAACTCTACTGAATAATATAGATAAGTATCGTGTGATTGGCTAAATATCAATAGAAATACCCAATGGCATCGCCGTTAGGTGAATAGTTTCCGACATATCTGAACCCACCAATTAAATTCACCATCAATCACAAGAAATGTTCTTGAAAATACCAACCCAAGCGTGGAACGAATCGCAGTCCAAAGATACACACAGTGCTTCGGAGCGTCGCAAGAAGCTCTACCGCATCAACAGCTCGACTAAGTCGACACAAATTTTGCGCGGCGTGAGGGTGGTGAACAATACGAGCCCCGATGTACGGTATACGTACAGAAGCATACGTCGGGCTCAAGCCTACGCGTTGTCGCAAAGGGGCAAATTGAGACCATCGACCGACTCTGTCAAGCTAGGGAGCGCCAACTGTTTGTTGCGAACGGGCGATACAGATCACGTCCAAACAGAGTGCGATGTGCTAATCGAGATCGCGTACATGTCAGCACTCGCAAGAAGTAGCCGAGTTAATCTACCACATTCACATGGTCACGTCTAACAATGAATACGCATGTAGACCACATGACTAGGCGACTTAAGTGACCTGTTGTGAAGTTTCAAGTTCGATGGCGATATTTTTATTGTAACGTTAACGTTAGGACTATACGTATGTATGTATGGGCATGGTTCCGTGACACTTTTCCATGGAGGGGTTCCTTTACTCCAAATTGCTATTACCATTCGGGATGCCCAATGATGAGACGGTATAATCAGACTGTATTTTTGCGATTACTATGTACCGTCACTGTATTTTATACGTAAATCAGTCAAATTTGCCTATTTTTGGGGATTGTTGAAATCGCCAACTCATTGAGCAAAGGAGTATGATTGGCTATAAGGAATGAAGATTGCAATATGATTGGCTAAAAATATTAATTGCTGCATTGCAGTCACAAGGATACCTCGTCACTCAGATTTACATGAAATTTCGAAGGTCCGGCGATTGTTCGGCGGTTGATTCAACAAATTATGAGTAAAACACACAATACTTGAAGTACTTTTTTGCATCCCAACGGTGAAAACGGCAATTAATTAACAGGCTCGTCCGGATATGGTGACTTGGCTGATGGTACATAGACAACGAATTGGGCCCTACGCTCAAGTAATCCCGACGCACAATTGTGACACTGACTACAGTTCATGTTGATGAGGACAAAACTGCGAATTTCAAGCTGCATGGAGGGTCAATTTGCCCACGAGTTGACCTCGAAAGGTACAAAAAATGCTCAAGAGCAGTGTCGCTTAACCCAGTCAGTTGGGTAGTCAATGGAGGCAACTCCAATTTCGATTGCGCTTCATGTGCTCCAACCAACCGTGCTTCTGAGAGCATCTTCACCAACGAGAAATCCATGCTTGCAATTGATTGGTGAAGATACTTCAAAAAGTAGTCAATGATTGGCTCCTGTATTTTTCCGTTCGGTCTTCACAAAACGGTAAAAATGGCCGATTTGCCGTCTCGCGGTAAAAATATGCCGTTTCCGGTATATACCGTCGCACCGTTGGGGTTGCCAAAACTGCATATTTGACCCAAAAACGGTAAAATAGCGTTTACCGTCGCACCATTGGGGATACCCTAATACTGTAGTGTTTATAGTAGTGTTTCTTAAAGAGGAGAATTAATGCAGTTTATATCATGTCGAAATTCGTATCAGTATTAATTGGAAATGAGCTAAAAGAGTGAAAATATCTAAACGTTAGGCTGAAAACAGTTTCGAACCACTTGATTTTGCCCAACCTGTCAAAAATTACAAGCGATTGGTTGAAAATTTCAGAGTGATTTTTTTCTACCAATGATGGATCGCCAAGTTGTCACACGAAAAACAACACACATACTGTACAGTCCGAAAAGAAATTATAGACGCACCCTAAATTTTTCCAGTTTGAAAGGAGTACCGTACTATTTTGTGGATCACTATCTCTCAGTTCACTTGAAACTGTTACAAATATTGGCCCGCAAAAGGATTTGGGCACAGTCTCAATCATTCTCAAGAAATCTACAATTTTCAAAATATTGACTGAAAATAAATTATAGACGCACTTTTTGATTAACATCTATTTATCAATTGATTGTCCACGACAAAGGATAACATCTATTTATCAATTGATTGTCCACGACAAAGGATAACTTGGGCCATTCTTATAGGCGTCCAATGGCCCTTGCAATCCAACGCAACGATTTATTGACATCCAAATAGGCTTTAACTTGGCCTTTCTCGACATCGGTGATGTTTTTGCCGCGCGGCATGGTGAATGGATGGTTTTACTGTTGCTGATGATATGGGTGTGTAACACCAGTGTACGTAAGCAATTCGATTATGATTGAGACCTCTGATTGGCTTTAAATTGACAATATTTCATCGAATCAAAAAGTGCGTCTATAATTTCTTTTCAGTCAATATTTTGAAAATTGTAGATTTCTTGAGAATGATTGAGACTGTGTCCAAATCCTTTTGCAGGCCAAGATTTGTAACAGTTTCAAGTGAACTGAGAGATAGTGATCCACAAAATAGTACGGTATTCCTTTCAAACTGGAAAAATTTAGGGTGCGCCTATAATTTCTTTTCGGACTGTACGTATAAACGAGCTGTAAAGTTACAAGAGTTCCGCCGACTTTACCATCAAAATAACGTTAACGTTACTACATACTAGTATGTATTAATAATATGCTCGAGCAAAAAGGAACCACGACTGCCAAGTGACAGCGAGTATAAATAGGTTTGCAATTGATTTGCTCACCCTGTGTGAAAATGATGCAGACACCAACGCTTGCGCCGCACACACACGACAGCTGGCATCGACAAGTGAACGAGAGCAATGGGCAAGCTGTGAACGAGCAAGTCTTAAAGCGAGCGTTGTGCAATACTGCACTGGTAACGTTAATACACTGCACGAAAGGGCAGCGTACGAGTGCCCCGTGGTGCCATTCGATATTGCAGTAAACAACTGCTCTTGTTTAATGACGTCCTGATGATATTTCGTGTAGACAATAGAGAGGTTTAGCAACTCAACTTTATCATCACCCTCAGCTGTGTCTGCCAAAACTGGAAGAACCTGTAAAAGCTAATTAAAGATACTGAAAAACTTTAGGATCAATCATTGGAATTGGCCAATTGTGAAGACAATGATGATTGTCCTCACAGGTCGCTTTAGGCTGAGCCGCCACCTTCGTGAGGGGATGGTTGTGCTGTCTAACATATTCCTTGCCGCGAACGCCTCTCCTTGGCGCCTGTGATCTCCAAGCCCCTCGAAATCGTCAAGACCCGCATGCATTTGCAGGACGAGGTCTTCGACTGACATGGGCACACGACTGGCCTAGTCAAGCACCGGCCCGTCTTCGTAGCGACACTTCGTGAAGAGTCTTCGCTGAAGACTGTTCACCAAGTGTCGGTACAAATGGTGCTCCAGGCTCGACGGGGCCACTTCATAGAGCTACAGGTATACTGTTACAGTATACATGCATGTAGGTGGATTGAACCTTGCAGTGTTTCTAAACGACCCACCACCAACAACAAATCGCATTGTTATCGCGTTACTAGTATTCGCTTGTTCTTACAGTAAACGCTCACTCGAACCCCTGTAGATAAGTAGCCTGGGGCCTGAACCCATAGCGGCAACGTCAGCTGTGGCAATTGTCACGTCGAGCTATGTACAGGACATCACTAATGGGAGGTCGTCGAAGGACATCTGAGCAAAAGAGCAGGTGAAAATTCCCAAGCGCGCGGGTCCTAGCATGGGACACAAGCAGCGTAAGGTATGTCTGCATGATTGACGATGAGCCACTGAGCACAGCATGCATCCGAATAACTTATTTAACCGGACGCAATGCATTGACACGTTCTTTTGTCATTGTCCTGAAAACGACATTTGTCGAGATTGTGATGATGAGGGTAATGTAAAGATGAGTTGCTAAACCTCTCTAATAGTGACATTCATTGCCGCGCAGAATGGTTTTGACCATGCCTTGACGCAAGTGGCCGAATAAAGAGTTGCCGTACGAGTACAGTACTAGTAGCAATTACACTTACTCCGAGGGAATTTGCTCGCTTCAACTTGGCAACCCTGATGCCCAATTTTGTGCTGACCTACATCAACAGTTATCCAATCAGCACAGTCAGTTTTCAATTAATGTCCAATCAAATAGATATGCCTGTATTTCTGAGCAAATACGAAGTAAATATGAAGTGGTTATTTGTCGTTATTTCGATGAGCGAGTTAAACGTGTATTTTGTGGCGTTTAATTGGTCTGTGAATTGGTTGTTATCTAGTTTAGCGTCTAACGCGTGCCTACAGTTAATTTGCTTTTTCGTCTGCCAACGGGGCCAAGCCATCGACCGAGCCATGGTCCTTCCGCCATACAACACCGTCGCGTGGGGGCTGCTCAAAGGATATCCGTGGTGGCCCGTGTACGTGTTCGACCCCAAGAAACTCCGCCCAGATCTGTATCATCTTGGTAATCCCTCTTTTTCCACGCCGATGTTTGTCGTCCTTTCTCATCCCGCGTTCACACTAGGGTCGGCACACGCACAGATTCTGAAGCGGGCACAGGAGGAACCCCAGAAATGGCGCATTGTGTACTACTTTGCCTCCTACGACTTGTACGTATGACGATCTCGTTGTCGCGATCTCTCATTCGTCACGTAGTGGACTCCATTCGACGACGATGCTGAAGTCGTGGAACGGCAAAGACCACAACACTCTCAAAGCTGGATACCCTGAGACGTCTTGCATTGAAGGAAAGGTGGTCGAGTTGTTTATGAATGCGCTGCGCGAAGTCGAGGTTCGATTGTCATTCTCGTGGCGTCCCTGACTGATGGCGTAGGATTACTTGAGCACGGCCGCGACGCAGCGCACGTTGCCCTACATCATCCCGTCGGATTTGGATCCGAAACTCAGTCCCCCTCGTCCCGATATCATTGACTTGGTGGATTCCGACGACGAAGGCGTTCAACCTGCTGGCCACCCCTCGTCTCTTGCGAGCCCGGCACCGCCACGACCCATGCGCGACGATACAGTGTCGAATGTACCGTACAACTCTCTTGCATGGGTCCGCCCCCAAGGCTTTCCGTGGTGGCCGGTGTATGTGTGTGACCCGACGGAGCTTCGCGACGACTTGCACCACTTGGGTACGTGCGATGAAGTACTTTCCATGATGTGTATGCTGAAACTGATCACGGGTGTAGGTCGCAACCACGTCACGCTGCTGATGCGAGCTCGAAACGAGCCAAACGACCACCGATTGGTGTATTACTTTGGACGCTACGTGTTGTACGTGTATAGCGTTGTTTGTCGCTATGTGTTTTCATCATGTGACGCCGTGTCTGACGTAGCGGCCTGCTCAAAACCAAGTTAAAGCCTTGGAAATGCGCCGAGCACGACATGTATGCGATCGGCAGTCCCAGCGACATGTTTGACAAGCGTGTCGAGTTGATTGAGGAATTCACGACGGCGTTGGCAGAAGCCAATGTACCACACACTCGCATGCCCTTGTAGCTTGTTTGGTTGATTTCGTGGTGTATAGGCTTGCTTTCAACCTGGGCGCCCGATGATGCCGCCGACGATCCCGTACTTGGAGCCGTCGGACCTGCACAAATCCCTTCCCGCCCCGCCACCCCTCGTGGTCCCGTTCCTATCATTGGGGTGGACGTCCAAAGACGGGTACACATGGCTGCCAGTGTACGTGTTGGACCCGTACACTGTGAATCCGGTGCTGCATCACTTGGGTATGGCCATCGTTCGTCGAACCTCTTCGATGATATTTATATTTATTTGCAGGAAACAAGCATGCCAAAGGGCTGCACGAGGTATTATCCAACCCAGACAACCTCCGACTCGTGTACATCTTTGGCTGCCACGAAATGTACGTTCGTTGGCTTGGATGAGACCAGGAGACCGACATTTATGTAGCGAATCGCGACCGAACGACGCCGTCAAGCCGTGGCAAGGCCCTGAACACGCGGCGTTCGTGAAGGGGTTTCCCAAAGCAGTGAAGAAACCCATCGCTTTGGACATGTTGACCCAAGCCCTCAACGAAGCCAAGGTATGTCAAAAGTTCGCTTACGAACATGCAATCATGAACAACCACCCCCGTAGAACTTCGACAGCACCAACAAAGCGTCGCGACGACTGCCGTTTATGAACAAGGAAGATATCCAGTACCGTGGAAACCCAAGACCTCCCGTGGCCACGTCGTCGATAAAGTCGAAGGCGGCGACACGTCGCGCTGGAATCCAAGACTCTGCCGAACAAAGGGGCAAGCGTGCGGAAAGCTTGTTCTGGATCAAACCTGCGAATCAAGCGTGGTGGCCAGTCTATGTGTGCGACGCGCGAACATTTCCGTCTAACCTGCACCTCTTGGGTACTTAGTTGCACCGTGGATTCTTCATGTTGATGATAGACACGAATGGTAGGCAAGAGCCATGCCCACCACTTGGCCAATACCAAAGCCAAGATGAAGCAGCATCGCTTGGTGTATTACTTGGGCCGCCACGTCTTGTACGATATTGATGTGTGTCGTTGAAATAAACTGTGTCTATTTGTAGTTGGATGCACAAGGCGACGGAGCTGACGGCGTGGGACTGCCCCCACCAGGTCGACTACCTGAGCGCGCCGCCGATTCCTGGAAACTCGGACGAAGAATGCAGCGAATTCACCAATGCCATCTCCGAAGCACTGGTACATCATCCGTCAGTCCTAGATTGCGAACAACACTGAGTACTTTGAGCAGCGATTTCTCGAGTCCGGCGAGCTGCCATATTTAACACGTCACGACTTGGACCCGTCGTTGCCGTCGCCCGAGAAGGCTGTGATCCCATACAATTCGTTGGCGTGGGTATTGCGTGATGGATACCCGTGGATGCCAGTGTATGTGTGCGACCCGGCCATTTTAAAGCCGACGTTGACCAATCTGGGTACGCGTGTCATCTACACCTGTCTTTCAATGTTTGAAGCCTCTCATTCATGCGATGACTTAGGGAATGCCCATGCGCAATATCTGGAAACCGCGACACAACGGGCGACCAACTTTCGCCTCGTGTATTACTTTGGCAAGCACGAATTGTACGTGATCCAACACTGTGGATAAATAATCTAATAGATCCATGTTGTAGCGGCTTGCACCGAGCCAAGGGTGTGTTTCGGACATGGCTCGGCCCTGACCACGACTACCTCGTGAAAGGGCTGCCCCGCTCCATCTTTATCAACAAGCACGGCCGCCAATGGCGATCCAGAAACGACTTTATGTTCAACATTTTCGACGCCGCCATGCTCGAAGTCAAGGTGCGCGTTTTCAACGACAACCCTAACACATTTGTAGGAATTTATCAACCAACCCGAGTCGCACCGCATGCTGCCGCAGTTGGTGGCGTCGGATTTCACGACATCGCGCGTGCCGTTGACCATCTTGCCAACAAGGCGGTCGAACAACAACGATGACGACGTTGATGCCCCGGCCAGACAAAGCCACAGCGACGACGATTCGTACTCGAACGAGTCGGCGAGTGACCAAGGCGTGGACGTCGACTCGGACGACCAACAAGACGTGGCAAACCACGGATCGATGTATGGAGTGATGGCGTGGTCGCAGCGGTCGCCAACGTTGTGGATGCCTGCCTACGTGTGCGATCCGTTCAAGCTGCGATCGACGTTGGAGTTGTTGGGTACAGTGTGTAGTTGTCGATATGAGCTTTGTGGTTGATTTTCGTGGGGTTGTGTGCATAGGGACTGGTCATGTCGAGACGCTCCGCAGAGTTCGCGAATCCCCCCACGACTCGCGAATTGTGTACTTTTTCGGCGACCACTGCTTGTACGTCGTCGTCGTTGGAACTCTAAATGTTCCCTTGCTGGAATGGATGGATGATATGAACTCTAAATGTTCCCTTGCTGGAATGGATGGATGATATGATCATGTCGTTGTAGTGGCGCGCGCCGAGCCTGGGACATGGTCAAGCCGTGGAATTGCGCTGAACATGACGAGTTTATGCGAATCGTGCTGAACGTCAAGCCTGTCGCTTGGGAAGAAGTGGAGGTACGTGACCTTGATGCAATTATGATGGATTTGGCCTTGAAAATGATGTATATTGAATCAACAATAAATGTATCGTGTTGCATGGGTAGACTTACCTTTCAGAAGAAGCCTCAACGCGCCTGCCGCCTGGGTTTACCCCGTCGGACATGCGTTTGGTGGCGAGGGATCCACAGGCTTCGTCCGACGATGAAGGCGCCACGTCGGCAGCAGCACACACGACTGCTGTTGCCCCCAAGGCGGCCCGATCGCTGGACGTGGACACTCGAAGCAGCCGGTCTCCAAAACGGAGAAAATCCACTCGAAACCACCTCCCCGCGTCGCCGCCTCCAGTAACAACCAAACCTCGAACCGTTCCCAGCCAGTCCAGGCCTCCCCCTCCGGCTAAAAAGCGAGCGCGGTCGCCTTCGCCCACGGAGAACAACTCGAATCAACCAACACGGGCCTCGTTTGACCCGAAAGATAGCGCTGTGGCCATCGGGCCTGGGTTCACCCAACCGATGCGACATGGAGGTGTGATGCAAACCTCGAACAGCTATGTCCGCCACACTCCGCCATCCAAACGGCCAACCGAGCCCTACCGACCTGCTCCAGTCGCACCAGCAGTCAAGGAAGTCCGCATCACCGAAACCGCGATTAAAGACATTCCGCTGGATTCTATGGCGTGGGCGCGACGCAGTGACACGTTGTCCGCGTCGTCGCCGTGGTGGCCCGTGTACGTATGCGACCCCGAGCGCTTGCAGCCGACGCTTGAACATTTGGGTGCGTCAATCAAAACAACCATCGAGGGTGGTCGGTACCTAACAAACATCATTTTATATCCATGCAGGCAACCGGCACCAAAAACTATTGGTCACTGCCAAGCAATACCCCAACAGCCTCCGCCTCGTGTACTTGTTTGGGGGAACCCCGTCGTTGTAAGCAACTTTGTGGACCCGTGGATGACTCATCTTTTATTCATGGTCTTTGCCTCACGAATGTGCTGTAGCGACGTGTGTGCCAAGAACATGGCGCGATGGCGCGGCCCAGACCACGACCTCCTCTTGAAAGGGCATCCAGCTCACGCAATGACTGGGCGCGTGGTGCGCGAGTTCGCCCGAGCAGTACGGGATGCTACGGTACGTCAAAGAACTAACCTTGGGGTGTTGACATGTGTATGCAGAAGTATGCTGCGACGGACGCGTATACCCGGCTTCTGCCGGACATGGCCGAGTCCGACATGGTGCCCCGCTACATCCCCCCTCAAGTGCCGCCCTACTCGGTGGCGTGGGCTAAGTCGGGCGGCGACGACGCCCCGTGGCTCCCAGTGTACATTTGCGACCACAACGCCCTCGACCCGTCGAAACACGACCTGGGTGGGGAGAGGCCATGCATTTGTCATGATGAGTCTCATGTGTTGATGATTAGGTCGAGTGAACGACCGGCTCATGAGCATTGTCAAGGCCAATCCTGAGCATTATCGCATCGCGTACTTTTTTGGCACGCGTCACTTGTACGAGCATATCCTGCATGTGATCCAGAAGACCCTGATGGGGGGCTGTTGTGTAGTGGGGTGCTCAAGCCAAAGTGCCTGGTGCAGTGGTGGAATTGCCCCAACCACGCCCAATACGTCCAAAGTCATTCAAATGACGTCGCTGGAGATGACGACGATGACGACGATCTGTCTCTTGCCGTCGACGACACTTATGTACAACCCCCAACACATTGCATTTGATGGTTCAACGACTTAATCGATTTGTACAGGCTTTTCTGGCCTCCGATCATCTCGCCAGACCGTTCCCGTACGACCTAGACTCGGAGCGCGATCGACTGGATCAGTACCTGGCGCCGCAGTCGGCGCAGCCAACCCCAAACCATCCGCCGCCAACACCTGCTGTCAAAACGACACATGAAGCAACCCCTGCTTCCAAGGCGCCGTCGGCCGATAAACCATCGCTTCCAAAACCTCGTCGCGGCCGACCCCCAAAGGATCCGTCTCCCCCAACCGATGCCGCAGTGATCGCAGCAGCCAGCGTGCCAAGGGTGGACCCCGACGTGTGGACGACGAACGCGTGCGTTGCATGGGCCAAACACAAGGGGTGTCCGTGGTGGCCTAGCTACCTGTGTGATCCGACGTTTCTACGCGACGACCTCGTGCTTTTGGGTCAGAAAGAAGGCGATCATCCAACGCCGTGTTTTGATTGGTCGTGTAGGCAGTAGCCATCGACCAGACTTGGAGCGAGCCAAGCGAGAGCCGACCAAGTATAAACTCGTCTATTACTTTGGCTCGAACAATTTGTACGTCCTATTCTCAACGTTTGTGTTGTGGTTGATGTGTGCTGGTTTGTGTGTGTGACACAGCGGGTTGCACACGGTGGATGCTTCCAAACCAAACATGAAACCGTGGAACCACGCCGACCACAAGCTATTTTGCTCGGGGTACCCGATCAAGATGAACGCCGATGCCAAGAAAATCCTGGACGAATTCAAAGACGCGTTGAACGAGGCCGAGGTGGCGTCTATCTTGGTGCCTCCATGTTCCCACGGTCGGTTGGTTGTAGGCGTTCTTGAAGCGGGATCCGCGCCAGCGGTTGCTTCCGTATATGGTCCCCACGGACATGAACTTGGCGCTGCCGGCCCCGGAAAAGTACGCGATTCCCCTCAACCAAATGGTGTGGGCGCTGTCGGACGCGTATCCGTGGCTACCAGCGTTTGTCTGCGACCCAGAACACTTGCCTTGCGACTTGCGCGCGTTGGGTGCGTATGGCGATGAAGTACCGTGTCAGAATGAAATATATATTTTTATCATAGGGATCGATGCCCGCAAGATGCTGGCCAAAGCCCAGGCCAAACCCGACGAGTGCTGGCTGGTGTACTACTTTGGAAGCCGAACGTTGTACGTTGTCGCGGTGGTTCAATCTTGTATGGATGGCGTGATATACACTACTATTAGCGCTCTGCATAAAACGCGGGGATCCATCAAGTTGTGGGAGTGCAGCGAGTACGAGGCTTTGATCAAGGGACATGCCGAGTCGATGGTGTTGGCCGACGATGCCTGGGACGAGTTCGCCAAGGCCATGTCGAATGCGGCGGTAGAATGAATGCGCATGAAGCATAGCATCGTTGAATATGGACAATGGTAGGATTTCATGGCCAACGACCCAGCCGACCGGGTGCTTCCGGGCTTTGAGCCGACCAACACGTCTCGGACGGATGAACCGGATGCGATTGACCTGACGTCGTCGCCCGAGGCGACCCCACCGTCGGGCCGGCGCCGCGAAGTGGCGTCTGGCAAACGACATGCTTGTCGTCCGCGTCAGGATGAAAGCGCCCCAAGTGATCGTAGTGGTAGTCGTTGTTGAATACGCCTGTATTTAGCTGGCACGATCATTTTACGATACATGGCTAGGCGACGACACTGCCACAGATCAAGAGCTCGAGGGGGAACTGTCCGTCAACTCCAAGGTCATGCGGAACAAGCGGTCGATTAGTCAACACGCTGAAACGAAAAAAGCGGCCGACGACTTCAAGTACAACCCCACCCAGCGTCAAGTGTTGCAAGGTCTGTGTATGATCGAATGGCATGGACTTAGTTGTTCGTGCGTTCGGTAGCGATTGAACTCAAAGAGGAAGTGGCCCCTGACAAGATTGAAGGCTTGTTGCCACTTGGTCGTGCGAAGCGACACTCAGGAACAAGCGACGCCACACATGAAAATGCTGCCGACAACATGCAGCACTCGTCCGACACGTCAGAGGTAGCCGAAACTCGACTTTGATGATGTTGAAGGCCACGTGTGGATAGATTGTCGAGACAGATCCAACCTTTATGAAGTATGATCTCGAGGACGGCATGCAGGACCTCTTGACACCCGTCGACCCGGAACCACCTGTGGTACGATCTCTTGATCTGAATTTGAAACTTGACAAACGACTGCTCCATTGCCACTACTTTTGCTTGCTCATCGCTGACTTGTGTGGCCCTCAGACGGACGGTGGAACCCCACAGAAGTCCACTGCGAACGACAATGCTGCATCACATTCCACGAAGCTTGCAGGTACACTCGTTGAACAATGATAAGCGAACGATTGGGCCTAATCTGCCCTTGTAGGTATTATGCCTACGATGCCAGAAGGGGCAAAGCTGAATGAACAAGATGGCGCGGTCATTGGGGATGCATTGCCTGCACAAGATCAAGACCGGAGAGTCATGTGGGCATTTGTGGACGGGCTTCGGTGGTGGCCCGTACATCCTCTTGAAGAGGACCCAGGACCACGTAATATGCCGCCTTGTCTTCCCATTCTAACATGATCATGGTAGCAGGACCAAACATCCAAGTGCTTCACTTTGGCACGTATGTTCGGTAAGGAAATATTCTCAGAGTGCGTATTTGATGCTGATGAAATATTTGCATAGGAGCGTAACATCATGGGACGCATTAAGGCCTTGGCATTGCGACGACCATGGCTCATGGGTTGCCACTGCTGCCACGGAAGAAGGCAGCGTCGCCGGCGTATTCACCGTAGCCATGGAAGAGGCAGAGGTAATGAAGGACATGTTGACATTTGTTTGGCTAATCCAGAGTTAGAGTTTCTTGGAGTCGGGAGAGTTGCCTGCAATAGACAGCAAGAGTGTGATCGAAGGAGTTCCCACCGATGACGACAGCCCCATGCTATGAAAGAACGAGTAGCAGCTCATTGTAAAGTTAAACTGATTTTTGTCCTATATATTCAAATGCGCCCATTTGGAGTATCATACTCACGTTATATGGAAGATTACAATGTATTAATACTATTAATAGTAGTATTAAACTTAGGCCTGGTCTGAATGGCCACGAAATACTGGTATTATTGCAGGAAAATGGGACTTTCTCAATAAAAGACTCCCAAATGTTACAATAATCCTAAAATGAGTTGTCTGGGCGTCAACAAATAAATATATAATATTTCAAATTTTCTCTTGAGATTCGGGGGCTTTATCGAATTAATACGTTCGACAAATCAGTTCATTGTCTCAGGTATTTCAATACCTTGCAATTGAATGACTGACTATATAGCCACCACTGGGTATAACGTTATGGGCCTCTGGATCCACACACTCGACATCGTGTGGTTCGAATAACTGATTCGTCAAGTTACTGAGTGAACATTGATGTCCCTATATGAATGTTGCATGCATCTTGGTGGGTATTACCAGTAGTTGGTTGCGGTGTTACACGTACATTGTGCGTCGCCGTTGTTGTTGCAATTGCTGCTAGCGGTAGTGACCATCACCGCCAGCAGCAATACAAGTGGTACACTACTCTAGGTAAATCCTGATACGAACAAAATGCTGACGTTGGCCCTTCACATGCTGAGGTACTGCAAGGTGTATTGCCACCGTTCTACCAGTGCGAAGTTTTGGGCATCCAGACGATTGCAAGCACAAGTTTACTGTGTGATAGTTTCTATTGTGTTGAAAACGATGCACTTGTTCCCGACTTCCGTGGCCACTGTGACGTACAGTGTAGTTGTCCATACGCATAGTACATGATGTATCGGCATGTACAGGGGACCGACGTGGTTGATGTGTTGACCCTGAGATACAGATGAAATAGCTGTGAAATCAAACCAAATTCAAATTATCGCTTCATCGGAACAAGGGACATCTGGGGTAGGAATTGCATCGCAAACGAAGTTGGGGGCACGGTCGGATGACTCGAGCTGATGGAATCTCGCTGCCAAGTCCATGTACGGCTGGCACCGCTGGGCTTCAGACATCGCCGCTCGGCCACTCGAACTTGGTAACACCCACACTTCGCACGACGGAGGCAGTGGCCAGTCCCGTGGCAACGTCGAGGGGTCTTGCTTGCCGTTTGGGATCGCCTACTTATGACGTTATACCATCGCTAAAGCCTGATGTATTTCAAAGGGTATGTAGTAGTAGTACATACACGCTTGGATGGGGGGTCAAAGAGGAACGAGTATTGCCGCTTTCCTGAAAATGCCACAAGCAGGGGTCCGTGCTGGTATTCGTTGGAACAACTGGATGCGTCATCTACTCGGTGCAAAGTGGCCGCCACGCGATGCAAATGCCGGCGCAAGCGGATGTAAAACGCGTGCTTCCACTCTGTCACTACTCGAGGGACGATAAGCCACCGAATTCACGACATTCGCTAGTCAACATTCGAGCTTACTCGTTTTACGGCCATACGTAGACGCGTCGTTGCCGGGCTACAATGCACGTATGAGCGCCAGATAGGTTCAAAGTTAGCATACCTCAATCCCAAGGTCCGAGAACCCAATGCCCAACACATGAGGCATCTTGTTTTGGTCCGCCATGGTCCAGCCAGGAGGGAGGACGCCTGTCCACGTTGTCTTGAAGTACTCCCCTGCAAGTAACTTCCACATGCGATTCGTGGGGTTGCTACCTTGGTCGTTGACACTCGATGTTTCATGTGAAGATGTACTGTACCTGTAGGAATAGCCACCTGCAGAGGCGTGAGCGACCACTTGGCCTACTGTAACTTGGTAAAGTCAAACGTACTTTGCCATGCATGGTCTGAAGGGTTGTGCCCCACAATGAGCAAACGCAAGGGCGTGTCGGGGCAATGCACACACTCTTGCACTTGATCAAAGCAGGTGTCGCAAATGCTATGATACCGCTCCTGCCATTTTCGTGCGACGGTGGCCGCCGCCTTGGCCTTCTTCCGCGCATCCGAATCGTCTTCCCTTTCGACAGACTCGCTTCGCTTAGTGGGTCGGCTAGATCCAATCGTAGCCAATCTGTTCGAACTAAGCCACCGGCCGTCGACACGACCTTGGTCATAACGGAACTTTGTGAACATGACCAAATATTTGGGACTGACAGTCAACAGATAGAGGTGTGGAGTGTTGGTCAATCGAAGCTGAGTGAAGGGCGTGTTTTGTCCATCAGACTCACAGTGAGACATACTGAAATGACTCATTGGAGATTGGGTACAAATTTCCGGACCCCGTTCAATCGACTCAACCGGGCACCAAGCTACTGTACCATTGACTAAAGGCGCACGGATCCATGGACTCCATGGAAGTGTCATTCGTGCATTTTCACGACTATATTTTTGGTTGCCTTTCAAAGTGACAGTCATGCGGACTCTGGGTGACTTTGTTGTTCCGAATGTTTGTGCCCTGAGAATTCCTGAAAGGGCGCAGCAAGAATCGCCAATATCGCAGCGAAGTCATCTGTGCTTTCGTTATGTGGTGTCTGCGCCGTACACAGGGTCTACACAGACAGAGTTTTGAGTTATGAACTCAAAGTGCCACGTACTTCCACTTCGCGTAACAGGCAAAGTAGTGCTTGCGCTCGGACAAAATGACAGACACATCGGCTTGCAACGTATCCTGTTCCAAAGAGTTACGACATTGCCTCAACCGAAGACTCGGCCATTACCAAGTCTTTGATCCGACCATGCAATTCAGCTTCCAACGACGCATTCTACACTCAAACATGTACCCATCAAACAAGCACAAAACGACTGAAGCAACCCACCAGCAACTGCAGCAACGCTTGTGTTAGCTGTAACTTGTTCTTGGACGCAGCCGTCGTTTGCTTGGTTTCAACGCGTGCCTTGGTTTTCGTCGTTCCCGACGACTTTGCAACAGGTGGAGCACCCTTTGCCGGTGGTGGTTGGAGACTTCGAACGATACATGTGGCGTGCTGCAGCGCGGCTGACGTGTGAACCCACGAGTGTCTAAAGTGCAATGTGAATGGGGCGACTGGCTAATTAGTTCCTACTCCACTTCGTGCAAGCAAGTAGTGACGACGTCGCCTGTGGTAGAAGCTGCGCTGTCGTCAGATAGAGGGATATCGTTGTTGCTTTCTTCGACTATACCATGGGCGATCAAATCAGGACGACGATTTCCTTCGTGAATGAGATACCGTGGTCGGGTTGTGGCAATGCGTCCTCCATGCTTTGACGAAAGAGTCCCTGCAACATGATGAGTCATTAGTTAGCCATTGGACGAACGTACGTTCCGCATGCTAAACTTAGGGATCAAGTTTAGGTTCACAGCGGCATCGCCAGACTTTTGCAATATCTGCTCGCGGCGGGCATAGGCGTTGCCAAGCCGCATGGCGTCGGGGTACGTGCGGTGAACGTAGTCGTGCACCCAGTGCAAGAACTCAAAATGTTCTTGAAACACACCTTTGACCAACTTTTTGATGGCCATTTCCTTTGACAATGGATGGGATAGGTGCACCAGCAGGTACTTTGTACCTTTTGCACGCCACATGCGTCGAGAGCTCTCTGCAGAAGCTTGAGGTTGCGCTCGTATTCAGGCTGCACTTGCGCGTGGAAGTTCACTTGCTGCAATGGGACTTTGCCAGGGTACAGAATGTCAAACACCTGGCAGTACGCAATGCCGTCCGCCAAATGCTCGATCTATTGCGTGGGTAGTATGATTAGCCATGACTAGCGTGAAGACATGTCTTGCTTTGGTGTAATCGGTTTCGAGGAACTCATTCAACCAACTCAACAGCTCGAACCGGCCGATGCCTCGCGCCTTCAATTTACGGATCGCCATGTGATCCGACGACAAGATTTCCACCTCGAAAGGTCGCGAAGGGTATCCGGATAAATATTGGTGTTGTGGCCTGGTAAGAAAGTGCTGAAAATGCAATGGCAATGCATCCTGCCAGTGTTTAAGAGCTTTCGAGTCTCATGAGAATGCTGTCGCTCATTGCACTTACGATTCGCCATGGGATGTGGCATTCACACCAGGCAAATGATGACTTTGACACGCTATTGTTGTGCGATCGGAGTATTGCCGCAACTTGATTGGACGGGGCTGACCAATCCTAGAGCCCGATTTTGGCCTCACAATTTTTTGGCAAGATCATAATGGCGTTGCCTCTGTTCGTCGCTGCAGCGGCGGCTGTCCTTGTACCAGCGGCTGGCCTCTTGCATCTATTTGGTCCTGGACACGAAGATGCATATGAACGCACGTTGGTGGCCCCTCTCGCCGACGAAGTGGCGTTACAGGCCAAGTTCAAACACGAAACTGGTCGTCTTCAATCCCAGCCAGTTCGAGTGTACACCCAGTACTATTTCCCGAAGCAGGCCACTCCCAAGGGGGTTGTGATCTGCCTCCATGGGATCTACGCTCACAGCGGTGGGCTCACTCTCCTCTACGAAAACTTGCTGAACCGTGGCTACGTCGTGGGAGCGCTGGATTTCCGCGGGTTTGGCCGAAGCGCTGGTCGATTTGGTTACATTGATGTGTTTTCAAACTACGTGGACGATGTACTGGCATTCTTGGAAGCCACGCGAGTCCAATTCCCAGGCCAAAAGGTGTTTGTTATCGGCATGTAAGTCGTACACACCCCCACCTTTTTCTTGGATCCCTGATCTCAAGTGCCGACATATAGCTCCATGGGGGGACTAGTTCTCTTGCATACGTTGCTTCGAGCCCGCCACGGATTGATCGACGGGGCCGTCCTCCATGCGCCCCCCGTCCTTCTTGCCGACGGAGTGCGACCCCCCGCCATCGTGGAAACGGTTTGTCGAGTGCTGGTGAAGGTGTTGCCAAAGCTGCCAGCGATTCCGACACATGGCGCCACCCGGGCCAACAGCAACGAGGTGGCGAGCGCCGTGGAAGCTTCCAAGCAATTGGACGACCTGTTTTACAAAGGCCGTCTTCGCCTCGGCACTGCCTTGAACATGCTGCAAGCGACGCTGGACATTCAGACGCAGTACCACAAGATCGATACGCCCTTTGTCTTGATCCATGGCGACAACGACCGCGTGTGTGCGTACGCAGGCTCCAAAAGGTACGGAACTCTATCTAGTACCTACTACTTAGTACCTAGTACCTAGTACCGAGTACCTATTGGACTTTGACGTGTGTCATGTATGGTGGTCGTGCATAGATTGTTCGCGGCGGCAGCGTCGACGGACAAACAGCTGATTACGATCCCGCAAGGGGAACACAATTTACTCAAGGAACCAGAACGATTCCGGCGACAGTACTTGCATCACATTGGTACTTGGCTCGATGGGCGTTGTCAAGTCGACTGAAATTGCATGTCAGAGTGAAATCTACTAGTAAAGCTCAGACTTTTTCGGGTCAGTACAGGAATGAATTATATTTTGATACGTCGAAGATTTGTTTCGCTGTGACTTCTACAGTGATTGTTCACTATGTAAGCCCCGTCACAGCTCCAATGACATCGACGTAAGACTACCGGTACTGACACTTCACCTTCGACGTAAGACTACCGGTACTGTAGTTCAAACCAGAGTAGTCGACTGCCAGGACGAGGGGTGACAGTGGGCACACCTTTAACAAGGAGGTAGCTAGACGTTGCACATGAAACCATCAGAGAAGGCGACGCGTTGCCTGCCACCACACGATGGTTGTACGCTTATGGGATAAGATTGTATTTTTCATCTTTCACCTTGGGATTCACATATATAGGATCTGGTTTCGAATTGCACGATATGTACAACCTGTCTGAAGCTTCTCAAACTCAAATAGATACATGTGATGCAAACATGACGTTAGATATCGTCTAGACAACATAGGCACACCAACTGAATGCTGCGACAAGGCCTTTTGATTCAAGGTCCTGATGACGGCCACCATTGCCCAGTGACTCCCGTGCCTTTGGCATGATGTTGATACTGACTAGATTCTTCAGCTTGACTGGTCTTGGCTGCCACCGACGCTGTGAGACCGATCCAATTACGCAGCCATGACGTTCTTGATAGCTCGAACAGACACTCCATAGTAGTGAAAGCCTTCATCATCGCCATGGCACGAGTGCAATGTCGTGACTGCCGTTATTACCAGTTCCGGAACCATAATCATCGACATGTTTCCATCATGATCAAGCGAGCCAACGGGGTGCCAGAAAACCCCCATGACTCCTTGTCATCAATTTGGACAAGCACCATGGAGGAAGTTCCTTGGGCGTTGCGAAGCTGGGTGTGTGGTCGGTGGCCATCGTCCTGCCATTCGACAAGTGGCTGGTTGCTGGGTGAGGTACCTAACAGTCTGTAAGTGTGTGCAGCGGTGGTCGCAACGCGTTGGACCCGCGCCACTTGGCATTGGCGGGTGTCGCGTGGAAATCCTTGTGAGGTGATCTTCTTTGCCCTTTGATTGGCTGTTTGTGGCCCAATCGCATTGTCGCAGGAGTATAAAAGCTTCCTAGGCATTCGAAAGCTCGTTCAAATAATATTCCAAACGTCTGTCCAAAATATGAAGTGTATATTCAGGCAGTATAAAAGAAGTTCAGTTAAAAAATCACGGGAATTAAAATATCGCATACATAGAGTATCAAATGGCAATGCTTCCAGCCGTTTGATTGGTGGAAGGCGCCGTGCCTCTGGACAATATTGGTTTTTGATTGGATAAAATAATTTAATTTTGTGATTGGCCCGCCACTTGCTCGGTCTGGAGGACTCAGTGAGTGCACCGTCGACGGACCTGATTGCCACCAATACCGTGAACACATGAGCACCTTCAAGGTTGACGAAGACTGGGAAGATTGGACGCCGGAAAAAGGCTCCTTTATCCACCACATGCTTGCGGGGTCGGCGGCAGGCGTCGTCGAGCATTGCTCCATCTTTCCCATCGATACCATCAAGGTAACGTCCGTCATGTTCCTTACAAACCGTCCTCCAGGCCTCGAATGCATCTCAATCCAGTTCATGTAGACACACATGCAATGCCAGCGATGTGCTCTAAACCCTGGCAAACCCCAACTCACTGCATTTCAAACTGCCTCGATGCTTATAGCGAAGGACGGTCCTCGCCGATTATTTCGCGGCGTCAGCACCATGCTCGGCGCGAGTTTACCTGCCCACGCGCTGTACTTCTCAGTGTTCGAGTCGTGCAAAGAGAAATTTGGAGCCGACAGTCCCGAACACACGCCCATCCAGTCAGGTACATCCAAAACGCGCGCTCGTCATCGTGGCCATTGATGACAATGGCGTAGGTGCTGCGGGTGTGATCGGCACCATCATGCACGATCTGGTCATGACCCCCATGGATGTACGGTGCACTCTCTCACACGGGGAAGCATCTTGACCCTTCGATCCTTTTGTCTGTGACTGCAGGTAATAAAGCAGCGCTTGCAGCTCGGGTACTACTCTGGCGTGGTCAACTGCGTGCAAACGGTATCGTGGTCGTCTAGTCTTTGAAGGAACTCACGACGGCGTCGCAGATGGTCCGCACCGAGGGATTGCGGGCATTATACATCAGTTTCCCGACCACGTTATTCATGAACTTACCGTACAGGTATGTATGTAGTAGTCCAAACCAACCCCAACCACTTATGTTGTCATTAGCATGATCATGGTGTCGACCAACGAATCAATGAAAAAGCTGCTCAACCCGTCGGGCGAAATCAACGTCGGCGCGTACGTCTTTTCTGGCGCGATCGCTGGCGCAGTGGTACGACCTCCAGTGTTTGATAACGTCACAGGATAACGTCATCGTTGTTGTCTCAGGCCGGGGCCATCACCAACCCGTTGGACGTGACCAAGACCCGACTGCAAACCCAAATGATGTCACTAGACGACACACTCACGTGTGGCGGAAAGGTCGGTGGCGCAAAGAATTGCGACAAGGTGTGCTGACTCGAGTTTGCCGTCGTGCCGCGCGGCGGCCACGTATGCACTCACACACGTTTGCTTGATTGCCGACTTTAGATGGTGCAGTCGGCCGCGCCCAAAGTGCAATATCGGGGCTTCTTGGACGCATTCGGCCAAATCTACAAGCATGAAGGCGTGGCCGGCTTCTTCCGCGGCGTCGGCCCCCGGGTATGCGTGCATGCGCCGTCCGTAGCGGTGTCGTGGACGACGTTTGAAGTGCTGAAAAAGCTGCTGGGCGACTAAGTGCCTCCACGACCCCCCTCGACGTTGACTAGAAGTGGTTGTGTATGCAAGACATCCGCGATAATGCCGTGGGATTCGGAAGAGCTAGAGCTAGAGCATGATGGAAGCGGTGGTCGTTCTGTGGCCGCCGCGTGGTTAGACAGTCCAATGATGTGTATATTGCTAATTTTGATGTGTGAAAAATATCGACCTAGAACACTTGACTACGGGTGGTCACTGGCATGTCGTTGTACAGTCGAAGGCAGATCCATTGGCTAACTGGCTGCTGGACACAGCGCCGACCGGTGGCGGGTTGATGCGAGACGCACAAAGTCAATCTACACCGACAGGCGGTGGGTGCCATACTTTAGACACTCTCCACATGGCAGCTCAGCTTGGTACCATATCGTGCAACATAACATTGTCGCCCGCCGCCGCCTTGGCCTCCTCGGCTCGAGCCAGTCGAGTGTCATGCCGTGCCAACCTAATCGAGATATACTGTAAAGTGCAATCTCGTACGTATAGTCAACAGACGGAAGCGGTGGGGCAAAGTGGTTGCCTTGGACATTGTAAATGTATCGGTACGCTTGAAGCATTTCTTTCACGTGGGTCCTAGATGCCTACACATGGTCTCATAAACATCCCAAGAAAGAGTTTATGGTTGTTGTACTTGTAAACGGCGCAGCCCGATGAGGTTGAGCCCAACAAGCTTAGCTCGATTGCCACAGGCCAAACTATGAACAGCGTCACAGAGAGTGACATACTGAAAAACCTACCCAAAGGGCAATACGTCGCCGTCGACCGCGCTTTTTCCGCCAATCATGGCCAATCTAACGAGATTCGTCGTTCATATCAAATCAAATATCACAACATTTACCTGCCAATGTGAACAAATTGCTTGATGCCTACTTGGCCCCCCACGATGGCCAAGTCGTGAATGGTCACGTGACCAGCAAGGCACACCTGTGGCCATATAACAAACTACTCAGTCAACGAACTACCGAATGAGAACCATACGTTGTTGGACAGGACGACTCGAGTGCCCACTTGGCTGTCGTGGCCAATGTGCACGCCCGCCAAGATCTAAGTCCTTTGGGTGAAAAGAAATGCGACAAGGGGGAGTGTGTATTATGTACCCAGCACGCATCGCCCACGCGTGTCGTGCCAGCGTCCAAGCTCGTGCCGCAGTTGATCGTGACATGTTCCCTGGGACACAATCATCACGTGCAGTGTCGTCGAGTCACACTAGGAATGTACCGAATGAGGCAATTCTTGCCGATGACCAAGGCAGAATGCTCCCCAACCACGTGCTTCTTGTCCTGAGGCGGGCCACCAATGCACCCAAACGGGAACAACGTCGTGTTTTCGCCGATGGTTGTCACGCCTTCGATAACCACGTGGGACTTGAGGACGACGTTGGCGTGCAGCGAAACGTCTGTGCACTCCATCGTAAATGTTAAACTCGTCAGCTGAGGCCACTGCATGACGACGTACCAGGGCCAACGACGCAATACGGCCCAATTTGAACCCCGTCGCCCAGCCTGGCGTCTGGATGGACGACGGCCGTGGGATGGATCGACCTACGAACAGGAATGGGACGACTGATTCCTTGCAATTTGGCCAAGAGATTAATTACTTACAAAGCGGATCGGGGCTGCGCAAGGAAGTGCGACGACGGGTGTTGCGATGCCACCTACTTACGTCATGAGACTCATGAAGAGAGGGTGTGGCGTTAGCTTGCACTAATGTGGTCCAAGTAGTCTCGCATGGGTTCCATGTGCTGCGCAGATGGAGACGACGACAGGTGCCGCCGCCGCGCGCCCATGATTGGAAGGCGCCATTTCCGATACATGTCAAATGCCAAATCCAACTGCCCAATCGATGGAAGGGAGATTGCCATTCCCAAAAAACCAAATTCCGATAGAGATATTGTGCTTTTCACCCAAATCAGCACAAAAGTCCAAAAAACTGATGAATTATTTCAATAATTCATCAAGTAGATAGATATTTAATTATCTATCTACTAGATGGTACTAGTACTTCGAAGTACTTCGTATTCACTCAGGGATAATAAATGAATTCTGATTTGTGTGCTTACCTGAAGTACGTTTTGCGAATACGCACTTGACCGAATCAAGCTGATTCGCTGCGCAAGATGGCGACGGACGCAGCGTCTCGGGAACTCGACGTCCAGAAGCTCACTAGTCGCGTATCGGAGAGTGTCTGTGAGTACATAGGCGTAGAACTGGAAGGTATGTTGATGTAGCAGTACCCTCGTTCTGATGCTAGCCGTCCGCCAGGCGCGATGGAGCGCACCAAACTGGTCGACAAGGTTATGCATGCCATCCATGACAAGTTTGATGAGATGGCGGCGGAGAGTGCCACGGTCGCTGAATTTTCCGTGCGGATGAAAGAATCTGGTTTGCTCTAATGCGTCGTTCCATTCCCACATGTTACCACTCATGAGGCTCACATATAGAGGTGCTCTTCCATGACCGGATGGCAGCCATCGACGAAGTGGACGAGGAGTTGACCGAACTCGAAGACATGATCCACCAGCTCGAGCTATATGCCGAACGAATCTGTACGTCACGTACACCTTCCCACATGTAGTGTGTTACCGAGCTCGATCGCTCATACATGTTTAGACGAGAAGTTCACCGTCGTAGCGTGATAACCGCCAACCCATTGAATGTCATACATGCGTTGCGTTCACACTAGATATGAATATAATTTCAAAGCCAAACCAAGCGTATTCAATTACTTCAGCGGATGTCTACTTTGTTGTGGCCAAATTCATGCGTAAGAGTTCAGGGACTTCGACGGCCATGAAGGCTGCCAAATGACACATGACCAATGGGCCAGTTTAGGTAGACAGGTTAGGTCTATCAATAGTAAGAAAATGCTCTACGCGTTAGAAGTTCCCCATCAACTATGAATATGTGCTTCGTCCTAAATACCACGTCCACTCGACGTTATCGCAACCGTTGACAGTGTCATCGGGCAGCACCTGCAGGGAAATGTTGGCCGCTTTGGCGCCGCAGTGTGCCTGGCTACTGTCGGCATCCGTACCGTTCCACTTGAACCCACGAGGATGGCGCCGTGGCCACCACCCGCGTCATATTTCGCCATGTCAGGCTCTTGTCTTGGTGCAATCGTTTGTCCAGTAGCACCGTACCCAACCTGCCCGCCTTGGTCGAATCGAACTGCGCGGCGGAGCGACAGCTCGAGGTGAGGGTAGGCCCGGTGGAGCAGCGAAATCCGCTGATGCAGCTCGCCACTTCTGTTGGACGACGTGTAGCAGCACGGGGTGGATCGGGGGGGCAGGGAGCCGCCCGTTTTGACCAAAATTGCACCCGGCGGGAGTCCAGTCGCGTCTCCATGACGATGCCTCCCGAAAACGTCCACTTGTGTTCCGGGTCGATCAATACCGCCGTGCCAATCGACGATAATTCCATCAAGTCGTAGCGCACCGGTCGCTGTGTCGATAATCGACTGAAGCGACAGGTTGGTGGGTTTGGGGGTCCCACATGCCCCCCTGCGTCCTCCTCATCTGCGCCCCGTTCCCCCGCCATGGAATATGCCGCGGCGCGTATCCGACACGAGCGAAATGTCGAGGACGCGGAGCAGTTGTCGCCTCCGGATGTAGGCCACCGGGTGAAACGATTCGTGACCTGCACTGGGTCAGAGGAAAGTGACTGCAGTGTGCTGTCGAATATCCCATCATGGTGGCTGTGCGTGGTATACGCGAGGTGAATTGAAGGAACTTCTCGCTGCTGGCGGTAGCAGGAATGACCTAGGTGAGGACCAGCCAGCCAGTCGCGGACTACAAGAAGCAGGATGTAATCTCCGCGGGGGCTAGCGTGCTCCCAAAATTCACAAATTCACCAGCCCCATCAGCCTCAAAGACCGCCGTTCGAAACACGCGCTACCATTTGCCCACAAATGTCCAGTCGGATGGATGTAGGAGCTCCTGCTTCGACTGTTCCTCCTGCAGCCACCACCCGCTCGTTTGACTTTCAAGTAATTTAGGGGTCAGTAGTACCGAAGACTGGCGTTGACGAGGGGTTACTTGGTGATGGTCATCGTTAGAGCCGGTCGAAGTGTCTACTTAATCAAGTTACCCGGTCGCCACCGCAGCGGCACTGGGTCGTCGCTAGTATTCGACCAAGCCTTGAATATCTTTAGTGCATGCGACGTCTGCGCAGTAGCTTTACATACAAGGAATATATATCTGTACACCGAACGTCCCAACCGTGCGCACAGGTGAGGTAGGTACGCACGCATGTTTACAGCCTTCCTTGCACTTTACATGCATGGCAGATAAACGGGTTGCTCGTGAAACTGCCTTCAGTAGAGCTTAAACTTGCAAGCAACGAAGGCGTCAATTGACATGCCCCAACCCAGTCTCCTCCCCACTCTAGTACACAAACGGCATTGCAAACATGATGCCGGTGGCCAACCCTGCCTCTTCTTCAAATCTCCAACCTGTCGTCATACTATTATAGTGTAGTGGGCCGAGATATCGTTCATTACACGGCGTAGTTGAACTGTTGGAACTTGACATACGCGTCGTTGGGGGCATGGCATTCCCACAGATGCGGTCGGTAGCCGTTGTTCGAGCCCATGTCCAAGCAGAACCCCTTGTGTGTCGTGTGTCGGAGCTGCTTGGTCGTGGCATCGTACGCCCACTTTTGATTGCCATTGCTGTCATTGCATGGCCACAAGTGGATGGGCGAGCCATTCGCGTTGTGCGGCGCGTCCAAACACTTGCGGCGGCTTTCCGACATGACCATGTTCTTGTCGTGGAGGAACGTCCACTGGCCGTCCGCGGGTACCCACCCCTGGGAGGGGAACCAGCCGTGCGCAAACGCGATCCTTTCGCCGCCGTCGCGGTCTGTCCCGGCTGCAGCCACTAGTGTCCGCTTCCTGTCGATAGACACTAGCGACACGTGGCCCATGTCGCCGGCAATGGTAAACAGCTGGTGGTTGTTGTTGGCTTGGCACGGCCACACCTGGACGTGGATGTCGGACCGGTCGGCGTCGAGGCATCGGTTCGTATAGATCTCGTGCTTGAGTCGCAAATCGGAGAAGATCCACTTTTGATTGTTGTTTGCAGCATTGCACGCATACATGTGCACGGTGAACCGGTTGGCGCTGTCCCAGAACCCATCCAAGCACGTGCCTTGCTGCCAGCACTTGACCTGGTGCGTATTGACGTCGTACGACCACCGGTCGTTCGCGTTGTCGGACGGACCCTTGAACAGCCCGCCGCCGTCGCATCGGAGCACGTGGTCGCGGGACGTGGCAATCTTAAACGGGAGGCTCCACCGTGGGTCCGGCACTGGCCGGTTGTACACGTCGAATTTCCATGCACCGCTCGGGTACGCCAACCCAAAGTAGTTTTCAAACAGTGTTGCAATGTCAGTAGACTTGGCTGGGTTGTCGTGGAACATAAAGTACATGGGGTGCTCGCCGCCGTTCGTGTCCATCCAATCCTGCACGTCCCAGAAGTGCTTGATGGCAGACTCGATGCTCGCCTGGTGGTTGCGGAAGGGCCCGCCGCCGTCCGTGGGCCACCCCGTCTCCGTCAGCAGCGCCTTCTTCCCGAAGCGCGACACCATGGCCTGCCACCGGTGGTTCATGTGTGGAATGACGTTGTTGATCGTGGAAAAGTCGTACGGGTCGAAGAACGCATACATGTTTACTCCCACCACGTCGCACACGGCGGCGAGCGACGGGTACTTGATCCAGTCGCCGTCGGTCTGCACCGTACCCACCGGAATGTGCTCGAGGCCGGGGGTGGCGCGGATTCTCGCCTTGGCTTCGTTGATCGTGTCCACCATGGTCTGCAGACTCAGCCCGTTGCTCAGGTCTTCGTTGCCAATCAAGATGGCCTTGACGGACGCGGGGTGGCGGCTCGCGCCGTCGATGGCGGCCTGCAAGTCGGCCTCGAAAAATGGACTCCGAATCCACACCCCGGCGTAAATGAGCAGGTTGTGGCGCGCCGCAACGTCTATGGAGTTGGGCCCGTCGGGCACGTGCACTGTGGTGTTGGTTCCATTGGGCCACAGCAGCCCGAGGAGCGTGTTCTGCGTCTGGTACGTGCGCACGGCGTCGAAGCGGGACTTGATGGTCGTAAAGTGCGCGTCCATGTTGGCATAGTCGAATGAGTCGTAGCACACCCCTTTGCCTTCCACGCGGTGCTGCCATAAAGTAGACACTAGGGCCAAGATGGTCAGGCAGTGAAGCGTGGCGGATCTTCCTAGCATGACGTTCGATGATGCTGAGGGTGAACCAAAATGCGAAGTGGCGTGACGGCTGGATCATCGTCGTAGTGGCCTCCACCATGTGCGCGTCAATGAAGACGGGCCATCATGTATACAAAAACGAAGATTAATTCATGGGTGATAGGCGTAGTACGTTGGTGAATTTTGACCATCGTCGGTTGGTCTAGCCAATCACTGATCGGTCGTTTATGTCAACTTTCTGAGTGAAATGTACGCTATCTTGAGGGTTGCATATGGTGTGTGAGGTTGACCCTCATGATATCCTCCACGGGGTCGTCGTGGCCAACAAGGCCCTCCGAGGTCGCGATTCAATCTTACGTACCAAGACGTTTGGGATGCCAAGGAAGTTGGTGCTTGGTGTGGTGGCATGGGCTGACAAGCCATTGCCTTCTCTTGTTACCGCCCATCTTTGGAAGTTCCAGCGCCAGAAGCCCTGGGAGCGTCGAGGTACACGTCATCGAAGGCGGCTCACATACTGTACAGTCAGTCTCTGGCCATCACCTGTGGAGGTACCGTACTACAAAGCTAGTAAAATGTCATCTTCGGGGGTTGGCTTTGTAACGTTACGTCAAAAGTGGTTGGTGGACACTGCGAATGCAGTGGGGGCATTCCTTGGGTGTATGATGTACTTCGAAGTACACAGTATTCACCTTGCCACCCCGACATTGCGATTTGGAGTCGCAATTTCTGGAAACGATGTAGGTACCGGTACAGTAACGTTACTGGTTGTAAGGCTAACGTTACTGGTACTTTCGCATTTCGTTTTGCTCAACCTCATTGGGCAAGTCGAATTTCTAGAGCATTTACACAGGTTTGACAGTGAATAGCATATTAATACTACTTAAAGTACATAATAGTACCGTAACGGTGAAAGAATGTGCAGACGCAACATGAAACGTAATGCTGGTCTGTGAAGTACTCCCAGCAATTCATGCTGTGGACTCGGAGGTTGAAGGACCGACCAAAGATGGAATGCCGCTTAACGTAAGCTGCTCGCGTTAGTTGACACACATACATAGCAAATGGGGTGATTGAATACTTCGAAGTAATTACAATGTTAGAAACAACGTGACCGGAGGCTGCCACTGTACATACTATTGCCTCCAGCGAGGTAGGTGTGGTGGGGGGTTGACGTGCAGCGAGTTGACATGCGTGCAGTTGCACAAAGGTGCCGGGTGATTGCAGTGGTCAGCCACTAGCATCTGCTTGATCATGTCGCCCTCGTCGCGCTGCAAAGGCTGGTGGGACCACCCGATTGGATGTGCCGCCGTTCCAGAGGGACTGGGGATCTATACTATATCATATGTGGGACTTCAAGCTGGTCTAACCGGTGGCGACGATTCGGTGAGCGGCGTGGTCGACCTGCTCTTGACGGGTTCCAGCGTCGGCTTTCTTGGTACTGTAGCAACAGTGCTGTCACTCCACGCATGCGCGTGCAGAGCATACTGTCGACCGATCGCAGTTGTGGTTGTTATGGAGAAGTGAGACTCATTGCGTCGATCAATGTCATACCAGCGATGCATCGGCGACTGCGTTTGCCAATGCATTCTGCACGTACATGCGTGAAACGGCGGCTCCGATATTGCTTCCAAGAAGCCGACGCGAGAACCCCCCAAGAGTAGGTGGACAACGACGCTCGTCCTGTCGTCGCCTCACACGCCAGACGACATCGATTGGAGCAGCTTGGAGCAACGACACGATCAAGCGGGTAGAAGCTGGTGTGAGGCCCCGTGCGTCCCGAAGGGGTTGACTTGAACGCGTTGGTGCAAATGCAAGAATGGCCCAGGTTCCTCTCGATGGTTGAAATTCGGACCTGTCAACCATCTCGACGACACCGTCTGGTTGTCAGTTACAAAAGTGTCCAATCATATTGCGAGAATTTCAAATCTGGGTCCCCAACAACCAACCACTTTGCCTCAAGAATGATTCGAGGTTACCGCCCAAAGCCTTTGCGATTTTGTCGTCAAGTTTAGCCGCCTTTCACTGGTCCATGTGGACAGTACACATGCTCCGACAAGTGTAGCCGCCTTTCACTGGTCCATGTGGACAGTACACATGCTCCGACAAGTGTGGAAGTGTGCAGCATAATGCTAGTTCGACAACGCTGGTCGACTGAGCCGGATCAGTTCAATACAGATGGTGGGTTTCCCATAACGTGCATGTATTGGAGAACTTTAAGGCCACCAGTTCTGCCTCGATACGCTTTTTTTGCAAAATGCTGTAGTATAGTAAGACTACATGTAGTGCATTCGCCTTCTCTGATGCTTTGTTACTTTTTAAGATATAAGCTTAGTAGTATCCTGATTCTACTATTAATAGTATCATGATTTGAAGCAATACTCATTATAGAATAAATTGGCTACTACTGGTACGCTGAAAAATAAATACCGTCGTCGTGTTATGACTACCACCACGACGTATACTTCTAAATTGTATTGAATAATTTGTTATAACAAGTTATTACATCCATGGTGAGACTATTAATATTCGACAGAGTGTCAGAATGGCGATTGTAATAGTGTTTGCGTGTCGACAGTGGAAAGGTAACCAAGATGGACCCCACCCCACTATCTGACATCATGGCGTGGGAAGCAATGCAGATGAGTGTCTACCTGCCGCTCACATGCATCTCCATGATCGCGGCATGCATCACAATCTTCACTGCGTTCGACACGAAGGACATCCGACGATCGGCCGTGCAGTACAGCACCTATTCCGTGTTCTGCTGTGACTTTGTCTGGGCGTTCCTTCGATGTGTCCTGTACATTCTCGGCATGATCGAGGGTGTGCTGCCCACGGCGAACAAAGGCGACCGCAACGTGACCAACCTTGACGAGCCCATCATCGCATACCAAGCGATCCTGACCGCCGCCGGCGACCTCTTCATCGTCGCCGGTGCCATTTGGATCGTCCTCACGGCGTATGAGATGCAGCGAGTCGTGACCCACACGATCACGCGGCTGGAAGATCGAGAGCGCCATACCGTCCTCTTCTACAACATCGTCGTGTACGCGCCGCTGTCCGTGTTGTTGCTGCTTTTTGCGCTCGGTCCTGTATCCAAAAAGGACGAAGACCTCACGAGCTCGTGTCTCCGCGCAAGCTTGTACTTGGTTGTGTGGGCGCTATTCCTCGCCGTGCTGTACCTTCCGTTCGCCATGTACAAGATCTACTGCGTCCGTCAGAACCGATCTGGGTTCTTCGACCACACGCTGGAGCACATCTACCGCCGCGTACGCGTCCTCCTCATCGTGTACAGCGTCACGACGATCCCCACCTCCATCGTCAGTCTCGGCAGCGAAGTCGCGCAACTGACGCGGAACAACTCGAACTTTCTTGGGCCGCACACAAGCACTTTCTTCTTTGCGACCAACTGCCTGTTCTACCTCACTGGCCTCTTCAACGCGGTTAGCATTGGTGGCAGCGTCCTCTGCTGCATCCGCTGCCTTCGACCGGTCATGCCCAAGGAACTGCATGAAGGTCTCATGCACGGCGGCATGCTGCGACCCTCGGATGCCATGCTCTCGTCCGAGAACTTGATGTCGCCCCCTCTCCACATGCCGGTGTTTGTGTGCACTGACATTGAAAGCTCCACGTTGCTCTGGTCTCGCATACCAAACGCTATGACCAAGGCCCAGTCCTTGCACGACGGTAAGTACTCTTGCAATTTCTCTATTTATTGAAAATATCAATATTTTTCAAGAAATGATGTATTATTATACTTTGGTCCTTCATTTACCTGCGCGTACAGTATATATATATATGTATGTATATAATATATATATATATATATGTATAATATATATATATATATATATTATATATATACATATATATATTTTTTCTGCATCTACGTGTTCATCCCAAGTGATGGCATTCGTCGGTGGTGGTTCTTCCTTGCCTTTTCTTCTTCGTTTGTTTCCATCCTCGTTTGTATGTACTTTGAAAGTATTTGTATCGGTAATGTTAGTTTGGTTATATATTGCTCATTTCCTGTATTTCTTTGGCGCCAATCGTGATGCAACTTAACATGTCTAGACTGCATGCGCCAACACTTGGCCTCGTTCAACGGGTACGAGATCACCACCGCGGGCGATGCGTTTCAGCTGGTATTCCACACGGTCACGGACGCCATCTCGTACTGCGTTACGGTGCAACTCAAGCTGCTCGACATGCCGTGGCCGAAAGAATTGGACGACTTTCGTGCGGCCAAGACCATGACTGACATGTTTGGGCGCCCGTTTTTCCGGGGGCTTCGCGTGCGCATGGCGATTCATTTGGGGGGAGGGGGCTTGATCCACCAGGTTCACCCCACGACGGGCAAATTGACGTACGCGGGGCTGGATGAGCTGGTGGCGCGGGAGGTGGGGGACAGCGGCCTGGGGGGGCAGGTGCTGATTTCAGCCGTCACCAAGCACCGGTACTTGGAAGAGATCCAGGGCTGGACAAAGCCCAAAAAGGGCGGCCGACCCGTCGTCGTCCAGTTCAAAGACTTTTTCTTCCGAGAAGCCCCCAGCTGCCACATTGTCGACCTCGATATCGTGGTGCCCATGGCCGAAATCGTGCCTTATTTATTGCGTCCTCGGTTCGCCAATGGACGACGCGCAGACCAGATGCATGTGTTGGCCTGACAAATTATATCGTGGTTGGTGTATTTATTAGCATAAAGTAACACGATCGTGGATGTGTAAAGTTGGTTTGTCTACAAGGAATCAATATTGAATCACGCCAGAGTTCTGATTGGTTGAATATACTTGTCCTTAGCCAATCATATCCACTCAAAAATGGATTAGCCAATAGCGTCGATTCGTGATCCGACGGGATCTGGAAGTTCGTACCGAATCCACAATATTACATTTGGATAATCTATTTATAGACGAAGAACCACTGCCCAACATAACGGCTTCGCTCATGGAACGGGAGATGCCTGGTATCAACCTCCACTTGCCCATGCGTCGGTCGTCAGCGTCCCACGCAACGACGGCAAGTGAGAGGCACATGACAGCAGGTGACAAGGCGCACAATCCGGACGATGCGTTCCGGCAGTTCGACCTCCACCACGCTGCGTTCTTGACCAAGCGCGGCAAGACCATTCACCACGTTGTGTTGCGGGTGTTTATCATTGCCGACGGTAGGTTGTCTACCCCAACCAACTAGTCATTCACAACTCTTGCAGGGTTTGTCTTTTACTTCAAGAACGCGTCCGCTACGCAACCCAGTGGTCTCTTGCCCATCGACGGATCCGAGTTCAAACTACATAAGTACCAAGTGAGCCCGCACTTGTTTAACATTTGCTTTGAAGTGCAAACTCCGCTGCGATCGTGGGGTACGTACTCTTCTCAGTATTCTACCGGGTAGTCGCTGACTAGTCTCGTAGGAAGTGTGGTGTTGCATTACCATGGCTGCTCGGATGCGCAAGCGCAGGACATTGTACACCAGCTCGAAACCGCCGGCTCCAAGCGCATTTTCGGAGTGTTTTCAGAGCTATCCGTGTGTCCGGCTGCAGAAGTCGTGCACAAAACGGAAGGCCACGGCGACAACAAGGAACCGTGCCCGTCGATAGACTCTACAGCCTCCCACGGCACCAGCTTGACGGTGGCGTCGTCGACGGAGTGTTCGATTGCCGATGCCGCCACTGCATGCATCTACCACGTCGACAAACGAGGACATAAAGTGCCCTTGCTCGATTTAACGTGGTCGGAACTGCATGAAAGCTACGCAGACATGTGCAAAGCATTGGACATTCCGCTCGACGAAGTCGACAGCAAGCGCGTCGACATGTCCAACGAACTGTGCCACGACCTGTGCTCCAACGGCACCCTCACGCGCCCTTGGGGAGTCCTTTGCCTGGAGCCTGCCATGTCACCGTCACATCAACAACATCACCACAATCGACGTTTGAGCTCGTCGTCTGCTTCGTCGTCGTACATGTCCGAGTGTGACACCGTCGGGGCGTCCACCATCGACATGTCGGGAGCAGCAGCCCCCGTGGCTCCGCTGGACGCCGCCGCCATTGCTGCTGGCTCCGAGCCCCACGCAACCTCCCCGGCAGTGTCATCCCCTACGTCGGCAGAGCAGCCGGCGGACCCCCCTCATCCCCGGCGACGGCGCATCAGTCGTCGGTCTTCACTGCACAAAAAGCGTGCGTCGTCCCGGGACCCGTCGATGGTGATCAGTTCTGGCATTGTCGTGCCGGCAAAGGCCATTCCAGATGTGAAGCTGATCCAGGCGATCTCCATGGCCGAGAGCTACAGCGGCGGGTTCTCGTTGCGGCAGTACACGCCTCTCAAGATCGTCGGCAAAGGCGGGTTTGGACAGGTGATGGTCGCGCGCCACAACTCGACGCACCACATCGTGGCCATCAAGACCATGAGCAAGCACGCGCTCACGACGCAGCACCAGGTGGCGCACACCAAGGCCGAGCGCAACGTGCTCATCAAGTGCTACAACCACCCGTTCATCGTCAAACTGCACGCGGCGTTCCAAACGATCGACCATCTCCACATGGTGCTCGAGTTTTGTCCGGGGGGTGAGCTCTTCTTTCACTTGTCCAAGGCGGGCCGGTTCTCCGAAGCGCACACTGCATTCTATTGCGCCGAGGTTTGTTATGCGGCTGCTGCAGTTGCTGTTGTTATAAATATGCAAGTTGATGGGAAATGGTTAGATTTATCTGGCGCTGGACCACTTGCACACCCACGCCATCATCTACCGCGACCTCAAGCCGGAAAACGTCCTACTCGACCGCGAAGGCCACGTTCGGCTAGCCGATTTCGGACTGTCCAAAGAAAACGTGACCGAGCGCAAACTAGCTGCGACCTTTTGCGGCTCTGCCGAGTACATTTCCCCCGAGGTGCTCATGTTGGCCGACGCCGCGTTCGACGAGGTGCTGCCGCTAGCAGGCGGATACGACAAGGGCGTCGACCTGTGGGCGTTGGGGTGCCTCGTGTTTGAGCTACTCACGGGGCTGCCCCCGTTTTATTCGGGCAAGTGCCGGTCCGAGCTGTACGCCAAGATTAAGGACGGCTACGTGGCGTTCCCGTCGTACTTGTCCGAGGAGGCCAAGGATTTGGTCTCGAAGCTGCTGCAGCCGACCCCCCACGACCGGTTGGGGTACAAGGACGCGAACGAGCTTAAGCGCCATCCGTTCTTCACGGCGCACATTGCCGACTGGGACCACTTGAAGGACGTGGCACCCCCCATGCAGCCCTCGCCGGGAGAGTACATGAACTTTGACGACGCTTTCACGTCCATGCCCCTCGACAAGGAAGCGCTCGAGGTGATGGCCGAGTTTAGCAAACGCAACACGATGGAGCATCAGTTGTTTGACAATTACAACTGGGCCCCACCCGACCAAGACGGCGGGGGGGGGGGGGCCGCCATGGTGCCCAAGGCCAGTTAGTGCTTATGTGGGTGCAATATGCATATGTATTTAAGGCTACTACTGTAATCCTCAAGGCAAAATAACACACGAAACATGGGGGGTTAGCAAATGTCGATTGTCAATAGTTGTTTCGGCGTGTTTGGTTGTGTTGGCGACGGGCGAGGACGACGACGTGCTTACTTCCACAACTTGTTGATCGACATGTTTTGCTCCGAGTCTTTCTTCATCACCTTGGACACGGCCATCTCAAAGTCTTCTTGTGTGACGTGGACGCGGCGTTCTCGGAGCGCAAACATACCTGCTTCCGTGCATACCGCCTAATCATCATGTGTCATATCTCCGATTCCATATCAAATTGCATGTGTGTGTGTACCTTGCACTCGGCGCCGGACGCCGTCGGCATCTTTTCGGCAATCACCTTCAAGTTGATCCCGCGCAACAAGTTCATACGCCGCGAGTGGATACGCATGATATCCATGCGCGACTAGCCATGACAAGTCAAATCAATAGATATATATATATTGTGAATTCGCTATAAACTTCCAAAATTCGCGCGACTTGTTCAATCAATATTGAATCACGATCGAGTTCTGATTGGTTGAATATACTTGTCCTTTTTGTAAGAGCCAATCAAATCCACTCCAAATTGGATTAGCCAATAGCGTCGATTCGTAATTCGATTCGGCGGCGAGATATTCGACGGAGACTGGAAATTCGTATCGAATATACCACAATATATATATATATATATATATGTGCATCAAATCCAAGTGCAATGCCACTGCGAAATGAAGATACAAGTTGCAATGATAGCATGAGCATGGCATTGCAATATTGGGCTGCAATGATTGTCGATAATGATGATGATGATGGGGGGAGGTAGGTACCTACCGCTTCCGTGGGGTGGGGGAATTCGATTTTGCGATCGATGCGACCCGGTCGCAACAGCGCGGCGTCTAAAATGTCGATGCGGTTCGTGGCCATCACCACCTTGATGTTCTGTGCCGGTTCGAACCCATCCAGTTGATTGAGCAGCTCCAGCATCGTGCGCTGGACTTCCGAGTCACCGCCGCCTTCCATGCGCGAACTGCCGATGGAATCGATTTCGTCCATAAAGATAATCGACGGCGACGCTTCACGAGCCATCACAAACAGCTCGCGCACCATGCGGGAGCCTTCGCCAATGTACTTTTGCACCAATTCCGCACCGGATACGCGGATGAACGTACAGTCCGTGTGATGCGCCACGGCGCGCGCCAGAAGCGTCTTGCCCGTGCCGGGAGGGCCGTAGAGAAGCACGCCCTTGGGCTGGGCGACACCCAACGCGTCGAAGAGCTCGGGGTGCTTGATGGGCAACTCGATCACTTCCTTGATTTCGCGGATCTGCTTGTCCAACCCGCCGATCATGTCGTACGTCGAATCGGGCACTTTTTCGACCTTCATCAAGCTCACGAGCGGGTCCACCTTGGTGGGAAGGATCTTATGCAGCACGTAGCTGTCGTTGCGGAGCGCCACGCGGGTGTTGGGTGTGCACTTGGTGATATCGATCGTTTTGTCCACGTCGACCACGTACTTGCCTTCGGGGTTCACTTTCACGAGCACCTTTGACTTGCCCATTTGCTTGACCACTTCCCCCACATACGACCCGGGTTCTTGCAGCAGTTGCAACTCTTCGCGAAGCAAGCGCACTACCATGTGATGTGAGCATCAATTCCTCGTCCGCCGACTTCGATGTGGTTTGTTAGATAGGTTGTACCTTTGGAATTGAGCTCGTTGCGCTGCGCTTGAAGGCGGCGCAGGTTCATCGTCTTGTCACGCACGGTGAGCTCCAAGTGCTCGATCTTCTGGCGGTAGTAGCTCGTCAACCCCTCCGACCCATCGGTGATTCCAGTCATGTTGCAAAGCTGGGGTGCAGATCAGCCAAATCTTCTGGGATATTCATGCGGTTTGAAGGGTTTGGACGAAAAGCGAACTTAATGTGGAAATATTAATCTTTAGAGGGTTCTTTTTGAAATATTTCTGTGTTTTACAACTGTAGTAACACGTAGAACTAGAAAAATATATGAAAAAGTTCCCCAGGAAGAATAATATGATGACAATAATATATTTCTTGCGCACTTAATCGAGCTGATCATGAATGGCAGAATCGAAGAACCATCTATCTCGTCGTGATGATTGAGGTGATCCTGAACGACCGCTTGGGCAAGAAGATCCGGGTGAAATGCAACGAAGATGACACCGTGGGTGACCTGAAGAAGCTCGTCGCGGCGCAGGTGGGAACCCGCCCGGAAAAGATTCGCATCCAGAAATGGTACACCATCTACAAAGACCACATCACACTCGAAGACTACGAAATCCATGATGGCATGGGCCTCGAGCTATACTACACATAAGTCGGCGAGGCTTGCTGCTGTCCCTGCATCGATCTACATAAACCCCTTCAATATACTCGCTAGGACAGACATGCCTCGTTTACTTGCGCCTGTTCTACAGCTTGCAATCACAAGTTGTGGTCTCGATTATCCAGAGACCGAACGCATGTGATAGTGCCTCCATTCAGAATCGATCATTTTCCATTGTTGGATCAACTACACAAGACTATGGTTAGCCACGTTCTCGTTGTCTTGCTGTGCGTTGTCGCTTGGGGTCACGTCGAAGGCGCCACCAAGGTATTTCGATCTGGCGTTCCCCAGAGCACCGCCAAGGAGTTCGTTCCGATGTCTGGCAACGTTCCAGTGGACTCTCACACCAGTTACAACTACGAGCGTGGGAGCCAAGACACGACCAGCGGCCAGCGAAGCACTGGAACTGCGTCGAGTCCGTACGAAAACGTCCTGGGAGGGAATAATGTCGGGATGCTTGGAGGTATCGGTATTGGCGGCGAGCAAGCTGTCCTACCTTCCGACAACAACTTTGCACTGCAGTCGTCGTCCCCGCTTGGGAATGTCGGTGGCTTAGGGGGGGGCGTGCTGGGTCACGAACTCGGCTATGGCCTCATGAACACCCCCCCTGGTGGCTTCCATGGCATTTGAGGCGCTTGCCACAGCTGCACTGCAACAGCTCTTTGGAGTTCAAGTGACAACACCACCTGGACCCGCCTTCAGCTAACATCTTCGAATAAGTCATGTGTTGAATAGACTCACACTAGCGTTATGGCGTTCGCGTTTGTGAAGTCGTTTGCTATACTAGTATGGTAACACCCTCGTCGCAGCCTAGAGCATTTCACCAAAATCGGCTGCACCCCTACCTGATATGTAACTGTGGGGCAAGATGCACAACTTGCAGGCTGATACATCGAGTCAGTCCATGTCAACTCTGCATTGGTATCCTTCTATGTACATTCTCCTCGACCAAACGTTACTTTGACAATTTGGGTCATAAAACGTGGTTTGTGGGCGACGTGGACTGTGTGGCTAGCTGGCATGTGACAGTGTGAATACAAAACGGTGTCGTGGCACATCTCGTATTCGTAATCGAGTGCGAAATCGCTTGCTGGAAATCGGTAAACATGGTATGGTTGTCGCATGTGAAGTCGTCGTAGTACATACAGTGTATACTTGGGATTTGTATCGGATCTGAACCTATCATATTTACGCATTGTGGCAAGTTCACACGGCCCCCCCTACTAACTTAGTTGTACCTTTGGCCCCACGGTCACCGCGTCGCGGCGTTCTTGATTCCCAGACAACGCTAATCGATACTGTGACGCTGCCCTTGGAGGTAATTGGAAGCAGCAAATGTCAAATCAAAAGAAGTACGTGTCTATGTCGTTATCCCTTGGGACCTTTACGTGGATACGTCGCATCGAACCCTGCATATTGCATACTAGTATTGGGCAATCACATGCATGTGCAGTGTTTACAAATTGTTACTGTAAAGATATGCGTGTGATGGCCAAGGCCACAGAGATCGCTAGGATTTGACCAGTCGATTGAGATTGATTACAAAATGTTCGACCATATGGATCGATCGCCACACAACGCAGCCCTGACCACCTGACCACCGCAGCTTTTCCTGAGAAATGTGACAGCACGATTCCCTCGTCCAATCAGGTCGCACCCCCAGACCGACGCAAGCGACCATGTGACAGTTGCTGGGCTTGGGCTAACTACTGCCCCAGCTGGGGGCCTCCGATGGCAATTCGTATTCGTTGTTGTATTAACCAATTCGCCTTGCATCCGCCACGTCAACATGTCTCTGGGGGTGGTCTTTGGCATCTCCGCGTTCTGCTTATTCGGCATCGTGCCTGTGTACTACAAATCTCTGGACAACGTGCCAGCCGTTCAAATCGCCCTCCATCGTTTCACATGGACGTTTCCTGAAACCATGCTCCTCGTGCTCGTCTGCGGTCAAACGAAATCGTTTTACAAACAAGCGTTCACGAAATCCAACTTTCTGCTGTACGCTGGGTCAGGGATGTCTATGGGCGCCAGCACCGTCCTGCTCATTTGGGCCGTCAACTCGGGCTACCTCCTCGAGGTGTCCCTCGGTGCCTTCCTCAACCCCGTGACCATGGTGGTGGTGGGGGTGGGTCTCCTCAAGGAAAAACTGCGTCGGTGGCAAGTGGTGTCAGTTGCGCTGGCCACCATTGGCGTCGGCATCTTTGCGGTCGCGTACGGCAAGTTTCCATGGGTGGCCATTCTCCTCACCATTGGCGACGGAATTTACTCTTTGTTCAAGAAAAAGGCGCCGCTGACGCCGTTGCATGGACTGGCGCTCGAATCAGGCATCATGTTTCCGTTTTGCCTGGCTGGTACGATCATCCTGGAAAGCCAAGGGTTGGGTGTGTTCTCGCATGGGCTGCTGCAAACCGACCTGCTTCTCGTGGGCACAGGCATCATGACGATCATCCCCGTGTTGCTCTTGGTCGCCGCGATGCAGATCACGCCGCTGTACGTGATGGGGCTCATGTCCAACCTCACGCCGACGATCCAGTTCATCTTAGGCGTGGCGGTGTACCACGAACCGTTCTCCATGACCAGGTTGACGGGGTTCCTCTTCCTGTGGGTGTCCATGGCAGTGTTTGGCCTCGACAGCTACTGGGCATACAAGGAGTCGTTGGCGGACAAACACAAGGGGATTGCCACGCCACATAGCGACGAATACACGGTGGACGTTGAAAATGGTGGCTTTGACAATATGGACGGCAAAGTCCGTACTTTCAGCTTGGTCGAGTCCCCCGCCATCACCAAATAGTCCAACCGTATTAACATATTATTAACTATTGACAACTTGTATCTTTGGCCTTCAAAGCAATGAGGTTTCACACTCTCTAGTACTGTCTGTGATTTATACTATTGTCGATTTGATATACAAATTTGGGGAGGGGGTGCAATCGAATCGCGCCAGCCAAACCGATCCACAATCGATTGAATTTCATTCAGAAGGTTTTGATTGGTTAATAATTTTGAGCTCATCTGAAGTAGCCAATCAAATCGATTTAAATTCCACGCAAGCTTGACCTGTACAGTGTAGAATAGTACCACAACTAATAGAATGTCCAAACGTGTCAGTGATTTGGGACGGAGTGGTATGCGATAAGTGAAGAAAGCAATAAAATGGCCACGGCTATTCTATCACCAGCATGAGGCAGCTGATAGAATCACTTTTAAACCATTGCTCCGATGCGAAAAGCTTCTGTTTTGTGCTGTGTTTTGGTAGCTGTTGGCAGCATGGCCAACATCCTCCGACCTGTCGACCCAACCCCCAACGGCGTCGTGTCCTACGGGCTCATTCGCCATCGGATCTACGTCAAGCCTCCCTCCATGGATCGCTTTTTACGGCGTGAGTTAGTCGCACTTCCTTTTGGTGGGCTTCGAAGCGACATGGCCGTTAAAGCGGAGGCCAGGACACAAGACAAAGCAGCAACAGTGGATAAAGCGGCGGCGGGAACATCAGCAGAACGTAGGGCTGACCGCGGGGATATATTTTACGAGAAGTTGATTGTGTTCAAGATGAGCCACGGACGTGCACAAGAAAAGGCTGCGTTGGACCAGCAAACCCTGAGCAGCGACAACTTGCTCCGCAAGCGCGAGTTTGACGCCGCCAAGAAAGAAAATGTAGACGCGGCACCTTAATTCCACCACCACCCATCACTATAGCTTCGTGTATGGCGTTACAATGGAGGGCAGGCCTACATATCTACATGCGCGTCTGCCCGAAGTCAACTGACATGTGAAAATTCGTGTTTTTGTTCAAACTTGAAGTGTCTATCCTATAGAAGCAAATACTTGTCACATATGCGATTAAAGAGGGTAAACCCGTAGCACTCGATATAGAGTATCCGATTATACAGGTCGGGTCTTTCCTCTCCATTCAAATGCACGAAAGGTCAAAAAGCAGTCGTCATTTTTGAAAGATGAAGCGCGGCATTGAAACGCACCCGACGTCCAAGAAGTCTCGCAATGACCATGTGGCGGCCAACGCCGCTGATGACAGCGAAGGCGAAGACTTGGTCTTTGAAGATCCCTATGGCGACGACCTAGAAGACGAGGAGATGGTGTCGGAAAGCGACGAGGAGATCGTCGACGACGGCGATGACGAAAACGACATGGACGTGGACTCTGGGAACCGACCGCCTCTCCAAAACGACGACGACGAGGTCGAAGCGCCCACAAAGGTGTGGCTGCCCAACGTCGAAAAGCTCGGCGAAGACGAAGTCTTGGACTACGACGCGTCAGCATACGACCTGTACTACGCGATGACTGCGGAATGGCCATCGCTGAGTTTGGACATCATCAAGGACAACCTGGGCGCGTGCCGCACCAAGGTACATACAAATACATGAACCATTGGTCGTTCTCCACGACGTACGTGCTCACCACAATTTAGTTTCCCATGACGATCTACGTCGTGGCCGGTTCCCAAGCGCCCAAGGCCGCGGACAACAAGATCACCGTCATGAAAATGTCCGAACTGCACAAAACCAAACATAGCAACGGTAAGGAGTCCTCCGTAGCCAGAATTGCGCATAATAGCGTTATCTGATGATCACATGCAGACGCCGATGACAATTCTGACGACGACTCGGACGACGACGACGAAGAAGGCGATCCGGTGCTCGAGTCGCGCTCCATCGACCACCGCGGCGGCGTCAACCGCATCCGCGCCATGCCCCAGAGCTCCAACATCGTCGCCACGTGGTCGGACACGAAGCGCGTGCACATTTACGACATTGCCAAGCAGCTGCAGTCCCTGGACGGCAAGAACCCCGCCGGACTGAACGCCCAAGCGCCGCCCGTGTTTACCTTTACAGGGCACGCGGACGAAGGGTTTGCGATGGACTGGTCGCCTGTCACAGCCGGGTCGCTGCTCACAGGCGACTGCTCCAAGTACATTTACCACTGGGTCAACAACGGCGCGTCGTGGGTGGTGGACAAGGTGCCGTTTACGGGGCACACGGCGTCCGTAGAAGATTTGCAGTGGAGCCCCACCGAAGCCACAGTGTTCGCGTCGTGCTCGGCGGACAAGACGGTACGCATCTGGGACGTCCGCACCAAGGCGCGGTCCATGCTCAGCGTCGAAGCGCACGAACAAGACGTGAACGTGATCACGTGGAACCGGTACCAACGACTTTGCCCTTGGCGTTTGTTCGCGGCTGACAATCTACTCACATGATATTTCGTGTCTAGCAACGTGGCCCACCTCATGGCATCCGGGTCCGACGACGGGTCGTTCAAGATCTGGGACTTTCGCAAATTCCAAGCGTACGACTACTTCATCTTGCCATTGCTTATCGTTCGTTCGTACTGACATGAGTGTGTCTTTTGTGGGGGGGATGTAGGGATAGTCCTGTGGCGCATTTCCGGTACCACACGGCGCCCGTGACGTCGATCGAGTGGCACCCCACGGACGAATCGATGCTGGCGGTATCCGGGGCAGACAACCAAATCTCAATCTGGGACATGTCGGTCGAAGAGGACGCGGAAGCCGCCGCGAACGTGACCACAGCCAAGTTGGACGTGCCGCCGCAGCTGCTGTTCATCCACCAAGGGCAGACGGACATCAAGGAACTGCACTTCCACCCCCAGTGCCCCGGGCTCTTGGTTAGTACGGCCGCGGACGGGTTCAACGTGTTTAAACCCGCCAACATTTCCTAACTTAGCCTACTACTATGTACATACACCCTCGTTTGCCGCCATGTCCCGATCAACGTCTGTCGCTCCAACTGGCACACATGACGCGCATCCCACACATACACACACAAGTGACAGTTAGGTGGACAATTGAATTTCACATCCTGGCGGCACTTTGCACTTTGTCATTACATCTACATGGTCGCGCCGCCGCTGGATTATGTCGGCTGGGGCTTGCTAAGGGGGTACCCGTGGTGGCCACTATATCTTCTCGACCCGGCCAAGATTAGTCCACTGTTCAAGGCAACGGGTAGGTTGGAACGTTATGTGGAGATTTCAATGTCGTGGCAGATGGGAAGTTCCAGGACATCCTAGCGCAAGCGAAAGCATCGCCCAAGCCCCAGCGTCTCGCCTACTACTTCGGTTCCCACGACTTGTACGGCCGTTAAACATGTGCCATTATATATATATTATATATATATGTGACTTGACACGTAGTGGGCTGCACAAAGCTACCCAAGTGAAACCTTGGCTCCACTCGCAACACCTAGCGTACACCAAGGGGTTCCCGTCCCGAGCTTGTTCCGACGACCAGACAGCCTTGCTGCTGTCCCACGCCGTGCGCGAGGCCACGGTACGCAATCTCCTCTCGTGCCTGGTTTGTTGTTAATTCAACTTGGACAAACCACGGGGCGGCAGTGGTTGATGTACGCAACGTTAGGACTTCGTTGTTACAGACCCAGCTGAACGCGTGCTGCCAGAGCTGACATCAGCAGACTACAACTTTGCAGGCAACCACGTTGCCGTTGTCCCCTTCAAAAAGGCACCCAGAGTCGTGACAATTGTCGTGGACTCGGACGACGACGTTCCTACGACATCGGCCCCCTCGTCCCCCTCTCCCCCCGCCCTAACCAACAACGGCAATATCGATCGCCGTCGTCGCAAAACCATAGTGCCGTACGTCCTACTTGATGTATTGTAACCATGCGCGATTCACTTTGTCGTAGCCGGGTCTCAACACCCGAGCCGCGCAAGCGGTGGCTTGGCGAATCGGTGGCGTTAAAGCAAGTTCCCGTGAACTCCGTGTGCTGGGCCAAAACGGAGGTGTTTGTCGACCCATGGTTGCCAGTGTTCGTCTGTAATCCGTCAGAACTTGACCCGGGAGTGCAGAATTTAGGTACGCGTTGTGCTTATCGTCAATATTATCCATGGACACTGTGCATCTCCAGGTCGTGTCAATGCGCGCATCTTGGAAATTGCCGCAACGCACCCTAGGACCATTTCGGTGGTGTACTACTTCGGCGCGCGAACTTTGTAACGACTTCTTACCAGATTGTTGCTTGTTTCTTACTCCGGAGTATGTTGTGCTTTTGAAGTGGTGTGATCAAATCGAAAGGCCAAATCGAGCCCTGGAACGGTGCCAACCACGACGCGTACCTGTACCAAACGTGGCTGGACGATGAAGATTTGGACGGTGTAGCGTTGGGCGTCGAAGATGCCGAGGTAAGTTTTGATTGTGGGTTCCACTTCTCATATGGTTGGGACAGGCGTTTGTAGCTTCAAACTCTGCTCGACCGTACGAATCTGAATCCGAAAACGCCCGGATTTCGGCGGACAAAGGGGATGTGTGGGACGACATGGGCGACGACGAGACGTACACCAACGAGTCGGGGTCGGACGTTGACATTGCCGAGCCCCCTTTATTCCCGCACAACGCAGTCAAAGTGGTGGAAGTTGCAACGAGCAGCACGCCACCAACTGACGAACTGAGAAGTCCGATCGAGCCGAAACGTGTCATGTCACCTTCACCCCCCCGCAATACAACCAGCCGTCGTGACGACGTGATAGTGGTATCCCGTGCCATAAAAAAGCCTTGTGTTGACCGCTCAAGTCCCCCCAGGCAACTGTACGAGTACTTGGTCATTCCAATGGTAACGGGGCACTCGAGGCCTCGGACCTCCAATGCGTACTTGGTATGGGCCAAGCGCAAGAACTGTCCGTGGTGGCCTGGGTACGTCTGTGACCCGCTTCGATTGCGCCCCCATTTGTTTCTTTTGGGTACGTCCCCCCTATTGTCTGCTTTGGGGGGGGATTTCACCGTTCATGGTGGTGTGTGGCAGGGAGAGCACACAAAGTGGATCTGGACATTGCCAAAACGAACCAAGATGTGTTCAAGTTGGTCTACTTTTTCGGTCGCCACGACTTGTATGTATTTTCATGACATCATGGTCCTATTTCCTCGCGCTCAATGGGGGTTGTAGGGGCCGTCAGCATGCCACCCGACATGGCAGTCTCAAGCCATGGAACGGTCCTGACCACGAAACACTAGCTTGTGGCCCCCCGCCAGTTGAATGCAACGTTACCGAGCGAACACGCGCGCAGTTCCAGAATGCAATGGCGGAAGTAAAGGTGTGTCAACAATAGGACACTCAATCACTCGTATTGAAAGAGATATGTGTTGTAGGAATTTCTAGCCACAAGCGCTGTCACCCGTGTGCTGCCGTACATGGTTCCGTCGGACCTGGATCCAGATGTGACCGAGCCAGAAGTCCCGCTGCTGCCCAAGGAATGCCTCGTGTGGGCTCTCACCAAGGACCACCCGTGGATGCCGGGATACTTGTGCGACCCTTGGGGCTCCCCGAAGAAGCTCGCAGGTTGTCGTCTCTCCATCGTAACTAATGACTGAGTGTTTAGGACGCGTGCCACAACAACTCGTGATCACTGCTCGCCAACAAGGACCCAACTGCTGGCTTGTGTACTACTTTGGCCTCCACTCGTTGTACGTGAACCTAGATTGTGACTGCAATGGGATTCAAAAGCGACGACTGGTGCTGTTGTAGCGTGATCCATTCCATTCGAGGCACACTCAAATTGTGGAAGTGCGACGACCACGAGTCACTTTTACAAGGATATGCTGAATCCCCCGTGGCGGATGACAGCATTTGGAACTCGTTTATGGATGCAGTGGACGAAGTCAAGGTTATGTACTCACTTTCTTTACTCGGTATCATGGAAGGAATTTTTAGATATTTCACGACACCCTTCCAAATTCGCAAACTTTGCCAAAACAATATAATTATCAGCCCAGCAAACTTTGCGGGATCTCGGCGAAGTCAACAAATGCTCCATTTGTCCATAAAATTGTGAACGACATCGACAATGCCGACCAAGATAAGGTTACGGCGAGTGCTCCAAGCAATGTTGATACTGGCAAAGGTAGGAATAGCCCTGAAGCCTGATCTTGCTGCTTGAACTTGACAAACGAGACATGTTATTGTTACTTCGATTCGACAAATTACAAGAATAACCACCTGGAGAAAAATGCAGGCCCAATGATGCCGGATGACTTCAAGTACAGCTCCGAGCAAATTCAACTTCTGAAAGGTAAATTTCAAAGCAACACTAATGAGTTACTGAAAGTACCCAAACAACAGCATTGCTGGATCGCGAGGACGAGGAGGAATGCAAGGCCAAGGCGACGAAGAGGCCTCGGCAGACTGACGCAGTCGATGAAGTACTCGACGACGATGTCGAAAGCTTAGATTTCAGTCCTTAAGGAAGCCATCGGTTAATAATTGAATCAGAAAGCGTCGTCGGATTGCGATACAGTACTACTCGAAGTATACACGTACTCTAAGTATACACGTAGTATTATTGATGCCAAAAACGACAACTTTTTTGTTTCGAGTACCATTATCCGGACATGTCAATATGTATCCGGATAGTGCAATTTGAACAACCAGCGGAACGAACATGCTACTCCCGTCCAGTCTTTCCGTACTAGCCGTGCCGGCGGCCTGCTTCTTAGCGGGATACGTTGTGCATTATCTGCAGTCTCGAAAGCAATCGTCGCCTGGCTTCCGACTGGACTCGACGTTGGCTTGCTTAACGCAACACAAATCGCCCATTACAAAGTCGTCGACATGGATCAACTTAGGCTTGTGGACATCTCACGACATCTCGTACCCTGCCGCGTGTGAACAGCTGGCCCTTCGCCTGGGTCATGCCGTCAACTTGAGTCCCCATGACGTTGTCTTGGATGTCGGGTGTGGTCGCGGCGACCAATGTGTTCTGTGGCACACCGCATTCAACGTGTCCGAGGTGGTCGGGATCGACATTACACCTGAGCACGTTGCTGGCGCCACGCAACTGGTGACGTCGTTTGGCCTGACGTCGCATATCCGAATTGCTCTTGGGTCGGCATCCAGCCTTGCGGAACATGTGACGAGTTCCGCCGTCACCAAGATCGTGTCGTGCGACGCCGCCTATCATTTCGTCACCCGCGAGTCGTTCATGGCCGAAGCATTTGCGCTGCTGGCCTCGGGTGGTGTGCTGGGTCTGGTTGACGTTGTCGTCGCAGATGAAGTGTTGACGTGGACAGGGCTGCAACATGTCCAGTTGCGAGGGTTGCTGTCCATGACAGGAATTCCGTTTGAGAACCTAAAGACATTGGAGCAATACCGCGCCAACTGGGCCGATACGGGGTTTGTAAACGTTCACATCGAGCCGCTGGACCAAGTGCTCGTGGGGTTTGCGCAGTTTGTCCAACGCCAGCGTCACGTATTGGAGCAATGGGGTGTGGAAGCCGGCTTTGAGAAGTTTGAGGTCGTGGGCGAATTCTTGGCTGTGTGCGCGCACAACAAGTACATCCAATTTGTTGTAGCTACAGGTGAAAAGCAATAAAAAAGTTGCTCCGTGTAACATGGTTAGACATGTATTCAATAATGCGACCCGAGAGGTGGTGGTGACATGCTCATAAGTGACAAGTGCACTTCCGTGGGGTCTGTCCTACAGCATTCGCATCCAAGTACCGCTGATGAAAAGAATGTAACAATTAATATGTAATGTTATTTTACTCATCGTCTAACCCCTCCATGTTGTCAATCGAAATGTCAATCCTCCCTAGTAACGCGTTGTCGTCGATGGCGCTTGAACTACGGGACAGTTTTTCGCGGCGCGCTCGCCCAGACGACGAGGGGGGTTGTCGCTTTGTTCGGCTTGCCGACGTTCGCTTTGTATTGGTCTTGTAGGGGACACAAGTTTCGTTGGGATGTCCCCGCGCATCCAACACAAATTTCTAACCCATCTCATTTAGGTTAGAGCGACTTTGCACACCACAGAAATACTTCAGCAGACCTGGGCTTTTTTAAATGCACTCGGGTTTGTGCGCTTACACGCTTGAACGTGCGCCTTGTGGAGCTTCCCTGTCCACGGAGTCACTTTGCCCCCTTGCGGCAACTTCCAACTATAGACGACAGCCACGTCACGTCAAGGGGGGAGTTGGAGGGACATACAACTGTTCTTGGTCAAAACGGTACGCAATCCGGAAAACGTTGGGGAAAGTTTGCGCCCCTTCCAAATCTTCAAAGGTCAGGTGGTCCCCTGCTCCACCTAGATTGCGTTTGGCTAAGGAACTATCGCAAGTTGGACACACTTACTGAATGCGATGGTTTGGTGGTCCAGTTGCATGGGATCGCACAGGAACACTGGCACCCAATACCCACGAGGTTGCTCTGCCCACCCCATCGCCCCTGTCACCGACTCCTTCTGGCCGGGATCTTGGGCGGGTGATGGTCGTGGAGATGGCGACGTCAACCTTGCTTGAGCCGTCGGTGCAGGTCTTTGGGGCGACGGCGATGATGGCGTCGTATTCTCGAGATATCTCTGGAGGACAAGTTGTGATTAGTGCCAATAACGAAGCAAGTAACCAACCTGTGCATCCTTCAATGCTGTGGGCAGCATCAGTAGATGCTGCGGGTTGCGAAGGTTTGTAGGGAACCCTCTCGCAAAGTCAGCGTGTCGCGGCCCGCCCCACGGGTGGATGGTTTCGACGCAATACCTAAACCAGTACGAGGAAATGTACATTCGTCTCCGCGAGATTCCTTTGTTACAGTTTGCATCGCCCGAACACGAAGACCAAGTGAAAGATGTGCGGCGCTTCGGTGGCCCTCTGCACGCTCTCGATTTCTAGAAAAAGAGATGCCTTACGGACGACAACAAGGCGAACTTACCATCTTGGGAGGACGGGTCCGTCTGGACTAGTGTGGGGTCTAATACTCGAACAGGGAGGAAGGGGAACCCATCGGTGATCGCCCATCCGACAGACCCGTAGGCGGTACTGGGGTCTGGGGGGTTTGATGGGATGACCTCGTTCCCCTATTGAGAACACGACAAAGCATCAACTTAACCCTCATTGTACGAGGTCGCATACCTGGACAGTCAATTCGGGTTCATCCTCTTCATGTTCTACGTTCAAGTACGGCAAGACGTCCTTGCCTAAAGCGCACTGAGCCAAATACATCTATGCATTTCAAGGATGTATGAGGCAAACACTACATTGAATGTGGCCCACCTCGGCTTCGTGCTTGGCGAGAGAAAACTTCGTCACCACCCAGAGCTCAGTCTTGGCCGAGCTCGGATGCATGCCCAACATTTTAGCGTGATCCGGTCCTCCCCATTCACGCAGGTTGGCAGATTTGAGGAGGCCGCTAGAAGCACGTGAGCATCACCATCATCCCATGGCACGGACGTACAAGTCGTGCGTTCCGAAATAATATACAATCGACAACGAATGGTTATCTAATGCTTGTGTGACGATGTTCTTTCGCGCTCGCGTGGACTCTACAAGGATGATGTGAATGGCATGATATCCATGGGGTTTTACTCTACTCAGGTTGTGCATGGCAGGGTCCACCTTGGACGGATCGCACACGTAGGCTGGCCACCATGGAAATCGGTCGGGTGACACCCACGACACGCACCCAGTTCTCATCCCGCGCGCTGAAGTGCAAATGCCATCAACGACCGTTGTCGTGTACTACAACGGCAGCAACAATTATGCACGCCCGTGAAATGTCCTTACAACGGTGTGTTGCCACGTATAACGTTAACTGTAACATGCGATACGACAGTTATTGCCAACAGTTAAGTACCGGGTCAAGCACCATCACGTTACAACCCACTACTACTCGGAGATCCGTACTCCGGAGTAAACAACCACTTGTCGTAGCGGTATTGCAAGGATCATGTCCCTTAATATGTCGACGGACTTAAGTCACTGAGAGTTAGCAACGCCGTCCATAGCGACGATGATCCCAGGGCGATGACAACGGTAATGATGAAGGAGATGACCCTAGCCTCCGTCATAGTAGTCATCTCCCCACTGCTAGCCATCCTTACGCCCTCTCTTGGTGCAGCCGTCGTGTGATCGCGTTGAGGCGTCGAACACTAGGCACAAATCGTCCTGGCAGTCGACTACTCTGGTTTGAACTACAGTACCGGTAGTCTTACGTCGAAGGTGAAGTGTCAGTACCGGTAGTCTTACGTCGATGTCATTGGAGCTGTGACGGGGCTTACATAGTGAACAATCACTGTAGAAGTCACAGCGAAACAAATCTTCGACGTATCAAAATATAATTCATTCCTGTACTGACCCGAAAAAGTCTGAGCTTTACTAGTAGATTTCACTCTGACATGCAATTTCAGTCGACTTGACAACGCCCATCGAGCCAAGTACCAATGTGATGCAAGTACTGTCGCCGGAATCGTTCTGGTTCCTTGAGTAAATTGTGTTCCCCTTGCGGGATCGTAATCAGCTGTTTGTCCGTCGACGCTGCCGCCGCGAACAACCTATGCACGACCACCATACATGACACACGTCAAAGTCCAATAGGTACTCGGTACTAGGTACTAGGTACTAAGTAGTAGGTACTAGATAGAGTTCCGTACCTTTTGGAGCCTGCGTACGCACACACGCGGTCGTTGTCGCCATGGATCAAGACAAAGGGCGTATCAATCTTGTGGTACTGCGTCTGAATGTCCAGCGTCGCTTGCAGCATGTTCAAGGCAGTGCCGAGGCGAAGACGGCCTTTGTAAAACAGGTCGTCCAATTGCTTGGAAGCTTCCACGGCGCTCGCCACCTCGTTGCTGTTGGCTCGGGCGGCGCCATGTGTCGGAATCGCTGGCAGCTTTGGCAACACCTTCACCAGCACTCGACAAACCGTTTCCACGATGGCGGGGGGTCGCACTCCGTCGGCAAGAAGGACGGGGGGCGCATGGAGGACGGCCCCGTCGATCAATCCGTGGCGGGCTCGAAGCAACGTATGCAAGAGAACTAGTCCCCCCATGGAGCTACATGTCGGCACTTGAGATCAGGGATCCAAGAAAAAGGTGAGGGTGTGTACGACTTACATGCCGATAACAAACACCTTTTGGCCTGGGAATTGGACTCGCGTGGCTTCCAAGAATGCCAGTACATCGTCCACGTAGTTTGAAAACACATCAATGTAACCAAATCGACCGGCGCTTCGGCCAAACCCGCGGAAATCCAGCGCCCCCACGACGTAGCCACGGTTCAGCAAGTTTTCGTAGAGGAGAGTAAGCCCACCGCTGTGAGCGTAGATCCCATGGAGGCAGATCACAACCCCCTTGGGAGTGGCCTGCTTCGGGAAATAGTACTGGGTGTACACTCGAACTGGCTGGGATTGAAGACGACCAGTTTCGTGTTTGAACTTGGCCTGTAACGCCACTTCGTCGGCGAGAGGGGCCACCAACGTGCGTTCAGATGCATCTTCGTGTCCAGGACCAAATAGATGCAAGAGGCCAGCCGCTGGTACAAGGACAGCCGCCGCTGCAGCGACGTACAGAGGCAACGCCATTATGATCTTGCCAAAAATTTGTGAGGCCAAAATCGGGCTCTAGGATTGGTCAGCCCCGTCCAATCAAGTTGCGGTAATACTCCGATCACACAACAATAGCGCATCAAAGTCATCATTTGCCTGGTGTGAATGCCACATCCCATGGCGAATCGTAAGTGCAATGAGCGACAGCATTCTCATGAGACTCGAAAGCTCTTAAACACTGGCAGGATGCATTGCCATTGCATTTTCAGCACTTTCTTACCAGGCCACAACACCAATATTTATCCGGATACCCTTCGCGACCTTTCGAGGTAGAAATCTTGTCGTCGGATCACATGGCGATCCGTAAATTGAAGGCGCGAGGCATCGGCCGGTTCGAGCTGTTGAGTTGGTTGAATGAGTTCCTCGAAACCGATTACACCAAAGCAAGACATGTCTTCACGCTAGTCATGGCTAATCATACTACCCACGCAATAGATCGAGCATTTGGCGGACGGCATTGCGTACTGCCAGGTGTTTGACATTCTGTACCCTGGCAAAGTCCCATTGCAGCAAGTGAACTTCCACGCGCAAGTGCAGCCTGAATACGAGCGCAACCTCAAGCTTCTGCAGAGAGCTCTCGACGCATGTGGCGTGCAAAAGGTACAAAGTACCTGCTCGTGCACCTATCCCATCCATTGTCAAAGGAAATGGCCATCAAAAAGTTGGTCAAAGGTGTGTTTCAAGAACATTTTGAGTTCTTGCACTGGGTGCACGACTACGTCCACCGCACGTACCCCGACGCCATGCGGCTTGGCAACGCCTATGCCCGCCGCGAGCAGATATTGCAAAAGTCTGGCGATGCCGCCGTGAACCTAAACTTGATCCCTAAGTTTAGCATGCGGAACGTACGTTCGTCCAATGGCTAACTAATGACTCATCATGTTGCAGGGACTCTTTCGTCAAAGCATGGAGGACGCATTGCCACAACCCGACCACGGTATCTCATTCACGAAGGAAATCGTCGTCCTGATTTGATCGCCCATGGTATAGTCGAAGAAAGCAACAACGATATCCCTCTATCCGACGACAGCGCAGCTTCTACCACAGGCGACGTCGTCACTACTTGCTTGCACGAAGTGGAGTAGGAACTAATTAGCCAGTCGCCCCATTCACATTGCACTTTAGACACTCGTGGGTTCACACGTCAGCCGCGCTGCAGCATGCCACGTGTATCGTTCGAAGTCTCCAACCGCCACCGGCAAAGGGTGCTCCACCTGTTGCAAAGTCATCGGGAACGACGAAAACCAAGGCACGCGTTGAAACCAAGCAAACGACGGCTGCGTCCAAGAACAAGTTACATCGAACACAAGCGTTGCTGCAGTTGCTGGTGGAGTTTCTTCAGTCGCTTTGTGCTTGTTTGATGGGTACATGTTTGAGTGCAGAATGCGTCGTTGGAAGCTGAATTGCATGGTCGGATCAAAGACTTGGTAATGGCCAAGTCTTCGGTTGAGGCAATGTCGTTACTGTTTGGAATAGGATACGTTGCAAGCCGATGTGTCTGTCATTTTGTCCGAGCGCAAGCACTACTTTGACCTGTTACGCGAAGTGGAGGTACGTGGCATTTTGCATTCATACCTCAAAACTCTGTCCGTGTAGACCCTGTGTACGGCGCAGACACCGCAAAACGAAAGCACAGATGACTTCGCTGCGATATTGGCGATTCTTGCTGCGCCCTTTCAGGAATTGTCAGGGCACATGGATGCGGGTGTGCCTTCAACAATTCCATAACAAGGCGTCATCTACAAATACAATCATTCTGCAGGTTTTTGTAGTGCATTCAGGCGTCAATAAAGTGACATCTGGATATTTTGACCTCTTTTATATCGAAGTTTGTGTGTGAAACGCATCGAACGCGCACGGTTTTGCACCAATGGCATGCGTTTTTCGACGAGCACAAATATTTACGCACAAGCACTTCGTGGAATCGTCATGGCATCATTTACTCTGTGGACGGTCGTGGCAGCTGCCTGCGTTGCTGTTGTACAAAGCCAGAACCCAGATGTGGTCGCCGCCGCGGCGTGCCAACAAGAGGCCGCGCCATATCTGACCAGCCAGTTCGTGCCAGGCCAGTTCACCTCGTCGTCGTTCTTTGCGTGTTTCCGGCCGCAGGACCAAATCTTCGAGTTCTTGGACACGATGGTGGCTCGCACCCCGAACAACACGCTGACCAAGTTTACGATTTCGAAAACGTTTGTAGGCCGGCCGATCCCAGCGTACAAACTGTCGTCGGCTCCCTCCTCCAACCACTCGACCATCGTCGTGCTCAGCATGATGCACGCTCGCGAATGGATCACAGCCCCCGCCACTGTCTACGCCATCGCTAGCCTTGTTGACGACTTTGTTACCAAGAACACACCGGTACGTTCGTTCATTTTGTCCGACTTCGATTGAGGCTTCTTGTAATGATAGCTCCCGTACGACTGGGTGTTTGTTCCGATTGTCAACCTTGACGGGTACGTGGCGACGTGGACGACCGTCGAACGCTTGCGCCGGAAGAACGTGAATCCATTGGGTGCCAACATTCCGTACGACGCCGTCGGAGACTCGAGCCAGAGTGGGGTCGACCTCAACCGAAACTACGGCCCCCTTTCTGTGTTTAATCTCGTGCCCACGCTCAAGTCTAGCCTCACATACCCCGGTTCAGCGCCGTACAGCGAGCCTGAAACCGTGGGCATCCACACATGGCTCCAGTCTCACCCCGAAGTGGTTGGGGCCATCGATGTCCACAGCTACGCCGGCCTGCTCTTGACCCCGTTTGGCAGCACCACCAACACCCCCGACGCCCCGTTCAACGACAAGTTTACTGCGCTCGGTGCGACCATGCAAGACTCGATCTTGAAGGCCACTGGGGTGTTGTATAACGCGCAGCCGGCCAGCAAACTGTACTTGGCCTACGGCACGTTTGGCGAGTACTTTTTTCGAGTGTATGGCAAGCCCAGTGTAACGTTTGAGCTCAAGGGCAAGAGCTTCATCGTTCCGTCCACTACCATCCCCGGCAGTGGCGACCACGTCGTGGCAGTGTGCCGATCGTTTGCCGAGGGGATTCCGCCGTTCATGGCCAATCTGCCAGCTCCCACCACCTTGCCTCCTAACGCGCCACGAAATAGCGGCTTGCACCATGTAGCCTCGATTGGTGCAAGCATGGTACTCGCAGCAATTGTCATTTATTCATAGTTTAGGCAACGGATAAGGTATTTCTGACGTTAATACGTCGAAGTACTGGTACTATTGTTTGGGTTTCGGGGGAGGGGTGTCGATCTTTGACAATTCATGAACAGCAACCAAACGTAAAAAATGACCAGCATTCTGAAACTGCCTTCTCGGACTATTTTGACCAGCGTGCTGTGATTGGTGGAAACCTTTGGTGCAGGATTGCCCTTGCTTTTTCAAATTCAGAGGGAATCACCAAGTCCATCGTCATGGGTAGGGGGCAAGGATTCCGTCCATGTTCGCGTTGCTGACTCACTGACGCGTAGTCCAAATCAAGGCTCACGAATTGCGCACCAAGACCAAGTCCGAACTCCTTGCCGAACTCGATGACTTTCAGCAAGAATTGGCCCAGGTAAGCACAGATACAGCAAGGAGCTCAACTGAACGATCGTGGCTGTAGCTCCGCGTGGCCAAGGTGACCGGCGGCGCTGCCTCCAAGCTGGCCAAGATCAAACTCGTCCGACGATCCATCGCGCGTGTGTTGACCGTGTACAACCAAACCCAAAAGGCTCGCCTCCGTGAAAAGTTGGGCCAAGGCAAGCATGTGCCCGTGGACCTTCGCGAAAAGAAGACCCGCGCCATCCGCCGTGCGTTGACCCCCGAGGAAAAGTCCATCAAGACGCTCAAGCAGCAAAAGAAGGACGCGTACTTCCCCAAGCGTCGCTTCGCTGTCAAGGCTTAAACACCCTTGTGTTAACATGATGATTCCCTCAACCTCTACTACCTACGAGCGCTAGCCCACCCACCACTTGCACCAACCACCACCACATTGCACGACCTCGGATTGGTCGTAGTCCATTATGCAGGTCGTACAACGTTACAGCAGTAGGACGCCCCTCGTGCAATTTGGTTGCCCATGACTATTCAAACACCACATATCAATCCATCACCAGTTTGCCTTTTCCCATTATCCTAGTAACGTTATATTATATTATGCCCTGTATCCGTTTCACCTAACTAATATTTCCTGCGCCGCCAACGTTTTCAGGACACCTGTAGTCCTCGGGCATGGCGTAGCGCTGCAGCTTGTTGAATGCAAACTGCTTTTTGCCCGTGTTCTTGAGCGCGTTTTCAATGCGCACGCCCTTGGACCTCATCGCAGATACCGTGGGCGCAAACTTGTCGAGGCCCATCCCGTGGTACTTCATCAGCAGACGCCCCTGCTCGAGCGTCACGGACATGGCCGTGCGGTCCTTTGCGCTCTTGCAAATGGTCACGCGGCCGCCGCCCATCTGCCGACTCACGTCGGAGCTCTTGGTCAGGATCTCCGTGCGCTTTGTCTTGACCAGACTGTTGGCTGCTTCTTCGATGGACACGCGCAGCGACCCCAACAGCTTATGCACGTCCACGTCATCCCGACTCGCAGGCACCACCGCCCCTCGCACGCCCTACCAGATCCATGAGCCCCCCCCTTATAGAATATTTTGCCAGAGTGGTTTTTACCTGCTGCGCCACCCACTGGCCGTACGCCTTGGCGTAGCTTTCCAGCTGCCGGAGGTACTTCATGTTGATCACGTCCTGGAGCTCCGTCTTGGCTCGCTCCGTGTTGTTGGCGATGGTTTGCATTTCGTTGATGCCTTGGGTAAACAGCACGGGGCACACCGCCACTTGGCCGCCTCTGGTCAACCGTTTCGGCAGGTCAAAATCGCCGCATTGCACTTGCAGGGTCACAGTGTACTTGTACGGGCTGGGCTGGGGCAATTCCGTCACTTGAACCTTTTGCACGACGCCGTCGTCGCTCGTGGACGTTACCGCCTTCTTGCGGAACGAGAACCGGCTATTCGGCTTGTCCTTGGTGTCCACCAGTCGAAACGACACCCTCGACAGCGCGTCCAGCGCCACACTCATGTCTTCAATCATCCCAATCTCGTTGCCGTGGGTGCTTAGCAGTGACTCGACTTGGAAAAGGAACCCAATCTCACTCCACTGCAGCAACATCGCTTCGCCCATGTGCGGATCAGGGTGCTGCACCGCCATCTCGACCTTGCGCACAAAGCTGGCCACGACCGCCGTCAACGCCTGCGAAATGCACACATCGCGACGCATGCTAATGTCCCACGATAGGTCGTCGATGTGCCGCGATTGTTCGTCCCACGGCAAGTCGGTTGCGTTTTGCTTGGCCTGCAGTTTCGCCAGCTTGGCCTGCAATGTCATGAGTCCGCCTTGTTTGAACTTGTAGCAGTGCGCCGCCATTGCCCCCACAGTCGTAAAGTCATATGTGCGCACTTCTTGCGACGATCGGAGCTTGGCTTCGTTGACAAATGCTTCTTGCGGCCCCACGAGCATGTCTTCCACATGCTAAATATATATAAAACAACACACCACATGAGATTTATATATATATATATAATCCATACCAAATTCACAGGCACAAACTTGAGGTCGTCCGTCTTTTTGTCGACACTGGCCTTGAAATACAGCTTTTGCTTGTCTCGCTGGACTAGAAACTGCACGTTCTTGCGCAGCTTGGACAGGTACTCCTTGCGGCGCACGAGCCGATCTTCGAGCCACAGCTTGGTTAGGTTGTACTCGCCTTCTTCTTGAATTGTCTGCAAGATCTGGTTGTAGAACCCGCCGTCCACGCGATCCTTCTTGACGCTTAGAAACGCCTGCAGATCCAATTTCGCTTGGTCCACGTCGTCCGCCCTCTCCACGGCCAAACACTCGAGAAACTGCCGAGGAATCAAGTTGGTGAAGCGCGATTCCTTGAGATCTTCCACCACGAGCCCGACGTCACCGGTCGCGGGCTCGTACTGGAAAAACCGGATGATGTTGCCCATGTTGTGGTGGTTCAACGGCGCTTCGGGCCCGATGCTGTCCATGAGCACCGTGGTCACATGCAGTTCCGACGACGTCAGGAGCATTTTGGCCGCAAACGCACTTTGAGGGGGGGGATTCGAAGGGGGGTGGCGCGGGGCCAGCAGCTCGGGCAGCGTCACTTCGCTCTCGTCCGCCGCGCGCACCACCAGTGCCTGGCTGCTGGACGTGGCGTCCATCACTGCCTGGGGGGTGGTCACAAACTCCAAAATCGGACCAAACACACTCTCCGACTCTTCGGCTTCGGCGTGCACGATGAACCGGAGCAGCGTGTGCGCAGCGAGGCCCGCCACGGGCACCGACAGCACGGCCACGAACGGGACGTTGACCATCCCGAGTGTGGAGCTGCGGAACGTCGGGTCTTCCGCCTCCTGGGCCTGGACGCGCTCGGTGCCTTCGACAAACTTCCACTCTTGGCCGGTGCTGGCACAACTCGCCATGGACGACAGCGACGCGTGGCTGCTGCTGGTCATGGTCGTCGCCGTCGTCGTCGTTGCCGTCGTCGTCATCTTGAGCGTGCAAAAGTCGAGGGTGATGTAGCACCGCCGCGTCAAACTGCCCTCGGGCACTTTGAGCTTGACAATCACGTGCAGCTTGTTGGCCGAATCTTCCAAGAACGTGGCGGTGCGGTTGAGAAACCGCCGATGCGACTGCGTCACGTTGTGCTCGTTGAAGAGCGTGAGGTCTCCCATGCGATCGGACATGGGCGTGGAGATCATGTCCTGGCTCGGCTTGGCGCCGCGGACGTCGCCCAACGACGTGCGGCGATCGTCGTCTTGGTTGTTGGGCGCATAATGCAGAAACAAGAGCAGCACGGGCGGGCCGCACTGCGGCAACCACACGGTGAAGAGGTACCAGATGGCCGTAGACACGCGCAGGTCGTCGTTGACGCCACTGGCGACCACCCGTTGCGTGTCTTTGAACGTTCGTTCAATCTGCTTGGAGATGATGTACGACGCAATGTAAATCACTTCGGAAATGATATAAATCACGACCGTGCTGGCGATGATGCCGTAGAAAATCGTCAGTGCCTTGCGCATCGCGGCTTGGGCTTCGATTGGCAGCGCGTCGTCCAGCATGAGTTTGCGCCCCTTGATCATCACGGCGCCGCCCAGCGCGATCAGGAACACGGTAAACACAATCAACCCCAACGCCAAGAGCATGTAGTACCCATTCATGGAGCACATGGCGAGCGAGTCGAGCACGTCGTTGCCGTTGGCGGCGGGCGCGGCCGCGTCCAGTGACTTTTGCCGAAGCGACCCGGTCCGGACGTCCGTGTAGACACAGCCCAACGTGGACGAAAAGATGACGAGGCATGTGAGGAGGCAGCCCATGAGCACGGCGAGGATGAACAGGTACCAGTAGAGCGCGGGGGATTTGATCGTGAGCTTTCGGAAGAGCTGGAGGCGGAGGACCGACGCCCAGTGGAAGCACAGCGACACGACCATGTTGGTGTTGAAGAAGTACTGGAGCGCCGTCATAAACACAAACGCCGACGACGGGTGCACCATCCACATGACATAGGCGCCAAGCCCGCACGCGAGTGACAGCACCACCGAGATGGACACGAGGTCCGTCCAGCATGTGGTGGTGGTGAAGCCGAGGCCGTGCTGCTTGACTACTACGAGGGCCACGAGCAGCGACACGCCAAAGAGCACGGCGGACGTCATGTCGTACGGGTTGAACGATGTCGCATACCGCTGCGGCACTGGTCCAGCGAACGAGACGTTGGTAGCGCTCGCAAACACATTGTTCTGATTGTCTTTGACGAACAAACTGATAGCTTCTAGCGCGTTTGCTAACGATCTCGGGTTCGATACGTTTGTGAGCACGATTGTGAACCGACTGCGCTGCGGAATCGCGGCCGTCCCGCGGTACTCAAAGCTGAGGCCATACATGCGATCGACGTCCCTGGACACGTTAAAGTCGGCCTGCATCGCCACGACGCCCTTGGCCCCCACGACAAATATGCGATCTGTCGACGTGTTGAACGCGAGGTTGAAGTTGGTCTGTTCGTTCTGAGATAGCAGCGTCATGGTCGCGAGGGGGGGAATCGCCGCGGTGGAAATGACGTCGAGCGTGATGTTCGTGACGGTGCCTAGCGCGGTGGACGAGGACGAGACGGTGACATTCATGGCCCCAGCCACGAGTTTGATAGGACCTGACTTGAGTGCCACGGCTTGAAGCACCGACAAGGCGGGAATCATCGATGCCTCGTCGCCGGCGCCGGTGGGGAGCTGGCATTCGGCTGAGATGTTTGTCATGTTGACGGAAATGGCGCCTGGTGTGTAGTACGACACGTCGAAAGCCATGGGACTCGTGAGATTGTACAGCGTGAATGTGTTGGATGGCGACTTGACCAGCGTCATCAAGTGCGCCTTGGTCAACGTTAGCGACGTGGACACTTTTTCTTTGGTCGGGACGCAAGGAACGATGGCCGAGTTGACTCTGCACTGCATGGAGCTTCCCGTGGAAATCCATGAGTACGATCGCACGGCTGGGAACTGGACATTCACATAGGTGGCGCCAATCGTGCACCCTGGTGTACTCAGGTTTGCCGCGCCAATGCCGATGTTTTTGAGTGTGTCCGCCCAATTGTGCGAGCTTGTGATCTGTACAGGACAGTTGACGCATGTGGTATTCAAGACGGGGGTCCATAAATATGACGGCGGGTTGTCTTGAGCGTTGGCTATCGCCACCGCGGTCGACAGCAGTGCAACGAGCCGAGAAGTTGAACGAGGCATCTACGGGCGACGAGGCCTTCCTTACTGATGCGCTCCGAACTATGGACATGAACAAGACACACATATCAGTGATCACGATCATACGCAGCGGCGGCGGCACCTCCTCACCTGGCGGCAAAAGAACTTGAGATCTGGCCTCACTCTACCTTGGTTTCTCACCAGAGTCAGAGCAGTGTGGAACGGCCTGGAATTGGGGGCCGAGACCTTCAGGCCAATCACAAACAAGCACGAAAAGCCAGAAAAATTCATTTCTCTGCCTATCCGGCATATTCCGGATACAACCCACGCGATCCACAACTAGAGTGTTTATGATCTCATGGCGCTTTATATTGTCCACGCATACAACTACATCAATAACATCAGCAATGCAGAATATAATTGCGTCGTGGGATTGACCATGTATCTTAATATCACCTGAATTAAACTAGAATACAGTATCCGATTCCTGAAACAATGGACTACGTGTTGGTGAGTTGTTCCAATTTGTGTAATGCGTACGACGTCCCATCACGAGCATGTGCACTGGATGAAACGGATTGATAAGAGTGTCGTGGAATAAAGTGGTGGCTGCATGTACCCCGGGGGGCGGCGTAGATGCATGAGCCAGCTCCGCGGACATTCGTAGCCATATCTAAAGCTACTGTACAGTAGTCCACGCTGGGCGTAACGTTACCTCCCTCGTTCGCCCAAAAGTTGTCCATGTCCCGAATTCACGTCGCAGCTGGGGTGCGTGTGTGCACCTGGTGTAAGTGCAGCTTGCTATACCTGTAAGCTTACTGTTGGGGCAAGCTTTGAACTACAAGTGTATTGCTTTGACCACCATTACAGTGTGTGTAGTATGAAGAGTATACGACAACACGGAGTGATGGCTTCACGGCGTCAACCCAATGCCGAAACTAACGCAACAACGACGGTACAGTAAGCCCACCAAGTGCCGTGGCTTTGACATCATGGATCCTCCGACCAGGGGCCGCTCCTCCCTAGCAACAACTGTATCCTACCCCCAACGGCTCAGCGACGCAGTGGGCAGTGAACTAACGTTTGAGCATTGCGAGCAATGCAGACTACGATGCTTATATATACATACATACATGTAACACTATTAATAGTAAGCTGGATGCACTGATTTCGCCAGAACTGCTGGTGCTGGTGATGATATATACAGTGTATTTGATTTACTATTATGAATAATATTGCCTAGCCAATAGCTTTGGACAAAAATACTTTTTAACACTAATTCTGTTCATTACAAGCCGGGCAAAGCGACCTCGAGCTCAAACTACTACTTTAATCATCTAAACTAAAATCTACTTGTGATGCGGCTTCGCATAATCTTGTTTTTGTCTTTTTTCGATGCTTTTTCTTCTTTTTCTGGGTTTTTGTTCTCGAGTTTGGATTCCTCGTGTGGCTAGTTGTAGTCCGCGGCCGCCACCCACTCGCACTTGGTGACAAATCGACCGCCTTCGCGAACACGCGACGACGCCACACGACTGCGAGCCGTGTATCGAGCACCACGTTTCCAGTTCCGGCGGTATCGTTTCTCCACGTAGCGATGTAATACACGCTTGCGTTCTTCAGACTTTTTGCACTTGCACACCCAGCACTTGTCGGTGTCATGCACGTATCCAACGTCGCTTGAATCGGCGGATGATGCCGACACAGCAGGCGATGAAGGCGACGTCACAATAGAGCTTGATCGTGAAAGCGGAGTAGTCGATGGATTGACAGAAGATGCAACGGGTAACAGCACGCGACCAAATGAAACGTCCATCTTGGGAAGGTTGATCATCGGGATGCGGGAGTCAATCGTCTTAAAGATGGGGCTTTGGATGCAGCATCGGGGGTCGATCGGCGCCAAGAACTTCTGGGCAGCAGAGTGCACCGGAGACTGGGCGACTAAGTCGTCGTCGTCATCGTCATCGCTGTCGTACTCGGATTCGTCGTCCATCGTCACGTTATTTTGGGTACCAAGGATCGCAGTCACATTGACCTTCTCGGCAAACGCAGGCTCGGACAGCAAGTCGTCGATCGAGACGTCGGACATGTCGGCGTCGCTGGATTCCTGGCTCTTCGAGAGCACGTTCATCAGCGTGGCAAAGTCGTCAATGTCGCGGGCGGTTTCTTCGTCGTCGATGCTGGCAAGTAACGAGGTGAAGTCATCAATGTCCTTGGCGGCGTCGTCGTCGTTGTCGAAGTCGAAGTCCATAGCGGGTTGGTTGGGGTCTTGGAAGGTAAAACCGTCCACTTCCACGTGAGGGCTCAAGGTCGTCACGTGGGGAAACTCGGGGGATAGCATCGTTGGCATCATCATATTCATGGTTGTCGTCATGGTCACAGGTAGGTCGTTGTTTGTCAAATTGGTTGTTGTCGTTGAGGGTTCAGTAAGTCGGGTTTCCGCGGGAGCAGTCCATCGTTAACGTAAGAAAAGGGGGGGGGTCATGTCCTCCGGAGCGGCTAGTGCAGCATGTTGTCGGGAGGGGTTTACTTTACTTGGACTCGCAGCATTTATTCGGAACTCATCTTGGCCGAATAAAAGTGCAGATCTGGGTAAGGTAAAGGGAATTGGAAAGTGAGACGTAACCAACGCGACAACTCAATGGGTGGCTCGGGCTATCACTTGAATATTGTATGGAGCGACCCACACTCTTAATATTCTGAATCTATTTCACGATGCACTTGGTGTTTGTATTCACATAAAGAAATCAAGAGTGGGGGCTTGTCCGAGCTTCAACTCCGAACTTCGAAGGATTGCGCAGTCGCAGGCGCGGGCTTTCAGATTGTAGCCAATCCACAGTGATAAGTCAAAATCTAAGCGCTCGGATTGGTGGAAGGTTTGATGGAGTGGCAACTCGTAGATAGGAGAGGGATACTTCGATGCTGGTTACTCCGAGTACTATCCAATCACACACTCGTAAAAAGGACAGGGATACTTCGATGCTGGTTATTATCCAATCACACACGTCTAATTTATCCAAGCTGCGCATGTCATTATTGGAAGGGTATTGATCATCATTTCACCGTATTTAGTGGGTAAATGTTACTATTGCCAGGGAGTCGCCACCTCCGAATAGCTTGCGAGCCAACAAGTTCATCTGTGAAGTAACTTACATAAATTTAGGCATGGGTGCAAAATGGCAAAGTACTGTACAGTAACGTTACCAGTATATCTGTGCCCAATGTGGCTTGATTGATGCCTACTGTAGTACCTCGAAGTACATTACGTTGGGTTATGCTGTACCGGAAGTACTGTACCGCGGTAGAGTTGATACGTATGTGCATTGCAGTGGCAGAGTGGCATGCTTCCAATTGCTTTGGTTGACACATCGTCGTCACATTTGACAAAAATAATATTACTAGTACCTACTAGTTCTAGTGAACTAGTAGGTACTATTAATAGAAATACTATTAATACGTATCTCATTGTAGGGGCTTTGGGATGATACCAGGGTCATACAAACTGTAATATAAATATGAAATATTGGGAATTTGGAAGTTTCGAAATTAGCCATAGAAAGACCATGATCTTATCTTCAATTTGAACTGATTTACTCCAATTTTGAGCAAAAATTGCATGACATATTGACAAAATGGCAGGGCCTGTCAGCTACTGGAGCTCCTTTTGTCATTAAAGCGTTCACTTACTTCACTCAAATAAGACATATAACACACAAGGACTTTAATGAAGGATTAGATACTGTGTTGTGCGGAGTAGATGGTGGAGAACGATGTATGTCGATCGATGGAGGAGTTCTTGCTTTGGGCAAGTCGCTTGATGATTCCATGAACTTTGGTCATCCAATAAAACGATTTAATTATAGCCAATCAATGAAGCCGAATCAGATATTTTAGTAGATACTAGCACCTACTAATACATTTTGGTGTTGATTTCCATCGACACATCTTCCGCTCAAATTTAGAAGGCGACGATGACCCTGGCTATTCATCACGTCAATGCAACCCATTTCAAGTGTAGTCTGAAGAAATATTATTCGAAAGAGACGTTGAAATTGCTTCAGTAATAAAGAAGTTACAATAGAGATGTTTCGCAACTCATCTTTATAAACTGGAAGTATACCTGTAAAACCTAATTAACATGTAAAGATACTGCAAAACTTGATTAACAATCATCAAAATTGGCCAATTGTGAGGACAATCATCTTTGTCCTCACAGGTCACTTTTGGTTCACTGTCAACCGCCACATTCGTGAGGGTATGGTTGTGCTGGCCAACATCTTCCTTGCAGCACCAGTCGGCAGGGTTCGGTGGTACTGACTCTAAGCGCAGTACTCGGGCAGCACGCGGTTGCTGCCTTCAAAATACAGAATCAACAATTATCCTTGCTAGCTAGACCTGACGCGGGCGTTCAGTGTCGCAGATGAAGCCTGTGAGGAATGCCCAGTACAAGTGGTACACGTTCTCGCACTCGATCCAGTGGGAGTCCAACACACGAAGCACGACAGACCACCTTTCTTCCGCGTCCTGTGCATCGTCGTGGTTCAAGTCGTCGGCGTATTCGTAGTACAAGACCGGCGGGCCCGTCGTCGTAGCGACACTTCGTGAAAAGTCTTCACTGAAGACTGCTCACCTAGTGTCGCTGCTAACAGACTCGACGGGGCCACTTCATAGAGCTACGTGTATGCTGCAATGTTGTACTCTTGGCACATGTAGATGGATTATAACTTGTGCTGTTTCTAAACGACCCACCACAAAGAACAAATCACATTGTTATTGCGTTAGCATTCGCTTGTTCTTAACGCTCACTCGAACCCCAGAAGATAAGTTGACTGGGGCCTGAACCCATAGCGGCAATGCATTTGTCATCGTGTTGAGCACATCACTAATGAGACGTTGTGAAAGGACTTCTGAGCAAAAGAGCACGGAAAACTCCCAAGGGCGTGGGTCCTAGCATGGGACACAAGCAGCGTAAGGCACTACCGTAGTCATGCAGTATGTCTGCCTGATTGACAACGTGCGGTGCCAAAAACAGCATGCATCCGAATAACTTCTTTAACCGGAAGCAATGCATTGACACGGATGAGGATAAGTTGCGAAACGTAAATTATTTTGTCATTAGCACTTTTATTGAATATAATTATTTGAGTTATTCCATTTTCATCGGGGGAACACGACACAATTCATCGGGCAGATGGCCAACCTCGGTGTGCCAAATTAAATGGGCACATGGCTAATTATATCGGGCACACCACCAAATATATCGGGCGCAACGGCCAAATATGTCGGGCATTCGTCCAACTTAACTGCAAAATGTTGTAGTACTAATTTGATGCGATATATATCCTGGTACTGTACGCACTTTGTCGACCGCTACAGTACTGTAGCTGGCTACGTTTGGTTCTGTTGATTCCTACTAACGTTATAACGTTAATATAGTATGCCAATGGAATGCTCATTACCCCGTACTACAGTGTACATATATGGTGTGGTTACAAGGCCAAATATCGACTGCGCGAGACCAAATCTTGGGCGTAGATGACGCCAATTAGCTTGCCTTTCCCTGTCACAAACAATTGGGGGGTTTTGTGGACCGAAATGAGCAAAATCACTTTGGACGCAAACGAGTCGCGGTGCACGTGGACATTCTCTGCGTCCAGACTGAGCAGCTCCAAACTCACAAGGTCCACCCGGTCGCCCGCGAGGCGCAGCTCCTTGGCCTGCCGGTCCGTCAGACCCGCCACCGCCAGCTGTCCCGTGAGCCCTAACTGCCTCGTGGGGGTATCCACGATCGTGTCCGACCCGCCGTTCGAGTCGCGGGCTGCAAACGAGTGCGGCGTCGGCGCCGTGACCCCCGCCACACAATGGGTCCACACTTGCAACAGCGCTTCCACTTCGTCTCGGTCCACCACCCCCTACATCCTTGTCAACCACAACTTGGCATCATCACGTACCAGAAAGATCATGCTCGTGGCATCGTCCACCACTGGAAACACATCCACGTCGGCCGCCGCCGCGTCCAGCACACTCGACAGCGACGACAGCGACTGGTGCCGCGTGATGACATGGACCGGAACGGGGTGCATAAGGTCGGACGCCACGAGCGCGTACGACGCCTGGCGCGTCAGGTCTGGCCACTGCGGCAGGTTCTTGTCCCGGGCGATGGTTTCGTACATGTCGAGCGAGATAAACCCAGCGATTGCCCGCCCCACGAGTACGGACAGCAGCACCGGGATCATGTACGTGAACTGCTGCGTGAGCTCAAACACAATCACGGCAATGCTAAACGTGCCCGTGACGCCTGCTGTGAAGGACGCGGCGCCGACGATCGCGTACCCCGCCGGCACAATCACCCACGAATCGGGTGCGGCACTGGCGAGGGCTTCACCAAACAGCCGGCCGAGAACCGCGCCCAACGCAAATGCCGGTGTGAAGATACCATTGGGGATGGCCACGGTCGCCGACATGGCAGACGCGACGTACCGCACCACAAACAGCACCGACAAGTTGACGGCCAAGTGCGGCGACCCCCACGACCCATGGTACCGTTCAACTAGAACACTCATGAGATCTTTCTTCTACATGATCATCATACGTGTGTGTACGTACATAGATTCGTGGCGTTGGACGTGGTGAGGTCTGTGGCCAAGAACATGTCGTCGATGAGCGCTCGATTCGACACGAGCATGCACGTGCCGAGGGAGTAGTCGGCGACGGCAAGCACGAGTCCGACCGCAGCTGCGTACGCAAATGGTTTCGACCCCCAATGATGTAGGTGTCTACAGTCGATATTGTCAAGTCGATATTGGAGTGTTTGGGTGGTCGTCGTCAATCGAACGACCAGAATCACCAGCACACAATCGATATACGACCAATCAAAACCCACAACACTCATCAAGTGACCAATCAAATTTACTCTTGAACCAATATTCAACACCGAATTAGTGTGTGTGAATGAAATTAGTGTGACATTGGACCATTTTTCGTACAATCGTCAGGACGAAGAATGTATCGATAGATTTGGCAAAGAATTAAAAGTCAGCCAAATTTTAGGTAAAAGGACGAATACCAGAGAGATGGAGAGATGTTGGGTTTTGATTTGCTCGACATACCGTCGTCGAAAGTGGTTGATCCACGAGTACGTGCGTACAAACACCCCCGCGAGCCCCCCACACCCCACGGCGAGCAGCAGAAACAGCCCCGATTCGAGGCTGTGGAAATGGAACTCGGCGTCGGTCGTAAACAAGCTCACGTTACGGTCGTTGCCGCTGAGCATGTTGAGCCATCGAAACATGATCACGCCCACGACCGAGCAGAAGAACGCGCGCCAGTAGTTGCTCGTCATGTAGTACGTGGTCGTGACTTCGATCGAGAACAAGACGCCGCCGATGGGAGTGCCGAACGCTGCCGTGACACCGACGGCACACGCCGCCGACAGCGCGTGATGGGTCAGGTCGGGGGACCGCCGGATGTCCTTGAACAGGTTGAGGCGGAGCAGCTGGTTCGCAATGATGCAGCTCAAGTGGACAAACGGCCCTTCCTTCCCAATGCTTAACCCGCTGCCCAAGGCACAAGTTAAGCCCAAGCACTTGGCTACGAGAGCCAAGCCTGATAGATAGTGCGGCAGTACAAACCCGCCCAAGATGGAGCGCATTTCTACGTGGTTGTGGGAGTGTGAATACCAGGAAATAGAAACATGTACCTGGAATCCCCGACCCCGCCGCATTTGGACAGATGAAAAACGTTAGGGTGACCCCTAGCAACAGAATCAAGATGCGGTACCCCACGTACAACAACACTTGGGCAATCCAATGACCCCCGAGGTTGGTCACGAGGATGTGCAACGTGGCGATGCCGCCGACGGCTGCGTCCACCAAGAAGGCCAGCACGGACGACATGACACCCAGAACAACCAAGAACACCCACGAGCTGCGAAACAACGTGTACGTGATGAGGTCGTACCCGTGGCGTCGGTTTGTGGTTGGGACTTGTTGCCCCACCACGTCGTTCCATTGCCACTTGGTTTCCTGTGGAATCACGACATTTCGGAGGTCCGGTGGATGCATGCTTGATATGGACGGTCGATATGCGTCAAACGCAGAGTCAAAGTCGTACAGGTGCGACGACGCATTGCGCTGCAGCCGCGATTGCGACCCCGTCGATGGAGGCAGGCCGCTGAGAGAATCGCGACCGTCACTGAGACTTGACCCACGCCGATTCAACATATGCACTTGGACGGTCTCGCCATCTCCCTCGATGGCTGGCACCACGGGACTCGTCGTGACCGACGGCGGCGCAGGACGTGTCTCACCAATGTTCATGAATGCAAAATTGGAGTTTTTGGTGGTTTTGAGTGTATCCGGACATGAGGCGTCCATATGGGCATACAAAAGACAAGTCAATACTTCGATCGCGTCGTTTGGTCGCGGGATTGTGAACATATTTAAAACGTTTTTAATGTAAGCGTCTCCAGATTGGACACTATTTAAAATGCTTTCAAAACCAATTTACATCGTGCAATGGTTCGTTGTGTGGCCGTTTTGCAGAATCCTCGCGTATCCGGATTGACATGCTGCAACGAAGCCTTCCATTTGGTTTGAGATCTGAAACCTTCACGAAGTGGCCACAGAATGCAATCGGCGATCAAGCGGAGCCCTCATCCTGGTAAAGCACACCCCACCCTGCTACAACGACGGGAGTTCTGACGACATAGCGATGTTCCATTAGTTGTTGAGGACGACGAGAAGCCGCCGTTCGACCCCTGGAGCGCCCGCCATCGAAGTAACCACCTCCAGCTCCATTCGTACAAGACTCCGCCCAAAACGTACGTCGAAGTAAAAATTGGAGGCCACCCTCTCGACCACCGACACGCCGACTTCTCGCATCCACCAACCGTCCACGCGCCAATGAAAGTGGCCCCGAAAGAACCGAGCGGGAGCAACCAAGCGTCGATTTACCAAGTCCAGCACAAGGAACGCATGCAGTACGTCGAAGTCAAGATCGGCGGACACCGGTACGACCACAAGCGATGCGTGGCCGCCGACGAGGTGCTCGTGGGGTTCAACGATCAACTGGCGAGCATCGAGAGCAGTGGCACCGGGTGTTGCTTGTGTCTGCGAGAGTTGCAGCCCCTGGTGCAATTGTATTGCCGCCACGCCGTGTGCGTGTCTTGCTTTGACTCGTCCACACACAATAGCACGCGGGTTCTATGCCAAGTATGCTTTCAAAAAGTGCCGTTTCTACGTCCGCAGATGATGCTGCCGCCGCCGACTGCCGCCCCTGGAACAACTGCCTTTTCTGCATACTCGTTGGACCTCCTCCATGGCGTGGACATCGACAAGGCGACGCTGGCCATGTCCTGTGTCGGCATTGGGTACATGGGCCCGAAAGTCGTCGAGCGCGTCGGCCACGCCTTGCGCGGCATGTCCATCGGGTCCTCCGCCGCCGTCGTCGTATCCCCTCCTTGCCCTCCATCCGTGTCGACCTTGATCAAAGACAAGGCTGCCGACACAGACGGCGCCCAGCGGTGGCGCAGTCGCGTGCAGATGGTGCTGGAACCATCCAAGTTGCTGCGTTATGAATACGTGCACTCGCTGGGCAAGGGCAACTTTTCAGAAGTGATGCTCATGCGCAAGCTGTCATCGTACGTTGTCGTCCAATAATGTATGGCCATGACGGCATGTCGTCGTAGGAGTCGCGTCCCTGACGGCGACAACGCAGCAGCCTCGATGGCGCTGTGTGTGTTGAAGGAAAGCGACAAGCTCCAGGAAGCCATGAACGAAGTGAGTTTGCTCTCGAAATTTCAAAACCCACACGTGGTTCGACTGCATCGGTACTTTATCGAACAAGTACGTAACTATGAGTAGTCGGTACCTCTCAATCGGTACCTACCTCTCAACAGGTACCGATTCTTATCAGTGGTACTGTACCTAGGTAGGGCACTTGCATTATGCGTACCTGGAACTCGAGTATTGCGACGCGGGCAACCTAGACGAATACGTGGCCTTGCATGTAGTAACGCCTTGCGTATTCCATCAGGTCGTCATGACATGGTGTGTAGGGCAAAGTACCCCACGACATGTTTACCCGCATCATGCTGCAGCTGTGTTCTGGTCTGGCAGAAGTCCACCGCCACCACGTCGTCCATCGTGACCTCAAGCCCGCGAACCTCCTTCTCACCGTGCGACTATAGTCGAATCTCATTGTCCAAACGAAATGAGCCTTGCTGACCCGTTCTAGTCGGATGGACTGGTCAAGATCTCGGACTTTGGCGTGTCCACATGCTTGGATAGCGCGCTGGTGACTCGCCACGCCGCGGGCACCATGTCGTTTATGGCGCCGGAAGTGCGGCAATACTTTCTGGGGGACTCGGTCGCGTACGACTGGGCAGCGGACATTTGGAGTCTCGGCGCCGTCGCCGTCGCGCTCTTGACAGGACAACCCGAGCCGAAAGTCGCCACCCGACCAGGTATATAGATATATTTATATATATTTATATATATTTATATTTATATATATATATATATATTTATATTTATATATATATATATATATATTTATATATATGAAACTGTGTTGTTGGAGTTATCAAGTGCAAGTACGAGTCGTGACACGAGTGTTGGATGTGTCGATTGCAATGGTTGACATTTGGAGGATGTATAGTTGATGACGTGGTGGACGCGCTGCGGCGGCAGCAGGTCCCAGATCACTTTTTGAGGGCGGTCCATGGGGCGTTGGCCCCCGACCCGAAGGCCCGCGCGACACTCGCGCAATTTCAGTCGTGGATTGCAACCTCGTATTCGAAACTCTAATTTATTCATCCCCCCCTCTGCATGATTGTTGTACTATTAATAGTATGATTTGACTGGTAGTACATACTACTAGTAGTTCGGGCGATACTTGTCGTCCCTGTAAACTCTGCTTTGCAGTCTTGGCGCATACCAAGTACTAGTACGTGCACGACACAACACGTCCAAGCAACGTAAATTGTTATGTGAACGGTGCTTATCGTTTGCGATTCTTCCCAAATGTCCATTAGGTACGAGCGTACTATAGTACTACTAGAAATACGAATGTTGGTAAATGAGCGTTTTGGCGCCAAAATTATCCGGATACGGATACGCATTGCACGTTTCATTTTGTTTTGCACCACACAACACGATGGGACGCGAAGTGCTGTTGGTGAAGAAGTTGACTGCGCATGCCATCGTACCGTCGCGAGGATCACACTTTGCTGCGGGATTCGATCTATCCAGTGCCTACGAATGCATCATTCCTGCGCACGGGAAGGCATTGGTAAAGACCGACATCGCCATTGCGATCCCATCAGGAACGTATGCTCGCGTGGCGCCGCGGTCGGGGTTGTCGTGGAAAAACCATTTGGACGTTGGCGCCGGTGTGATTGACGAGGATTACCGTGGGAATGTCGGCGTTGTCTTGTTCAATCACGCGAACGAAGACTTCCATGTGAAAGCGGGCGATCGAATTGCGCAATTGATCCTCGAACGAATCGTGGCACATGCAGCTGTCGAAGAAGTTGAAGAACTAAGCGAAAGTGAGCGCGGGGAAGGGGGGTTTGGCTCGACTGGCGTTGCCAAGAAATTCAAATACGACGACGAAAGCGACAAATCTGGATTTAAGGTTGATGACGACAGCACCACGCCATCGTCGACCACACCACAAGATTCGGCGTCCATCGTCGCGGCCCTTGCCGCGGTGGAGGAATTGCTCGATGAAGCTCAACGCAAGAAGGTCAAGGCCATCATTGTGCAGGCTGACGCGCGGAAATTCGACATCCTTCATAAGGCCAGCGCACAGTATTTGACGTCAGGCAACAAAGCCAGCTTCCTCGAGTGGCTCCATGCGTTGCTGTAATGCTATCAATTCAATTGTCTATTCTTTACACCCTCGTCCGCGCAACTTTGTGTGTATGAACTCAATTGAATGGTGTCCAGCAAGTTTAGGAAAGCAGAGATCCATGGCTCCACTACGAACGCTGTGCAAACTAAGGCAGTCAGTCATCCTCGGGAGGCACGTGCTTCTTGAAAGCAGAGGAGGCTGACATACTTGACCGACAAGAGGACCTAGTCTACTGGTTCATTCGAAACGCTACGTGAACTACAGCATCGATGATGTATCTGTGCATCCCACCGTTGGAGTGTCCCAGTCTACCGCAACTGGCACAATCGTTTCAACATGTTTCGAATGATGGGGCACGTTTCTGTGGTGGCGGTTGTGGTACTGGTGATGGTACGCGACTCGATGGAAGAGGACATGGGACCGCCAACGTTGCCTACTCGGTCGGGGGTGAAAACGTGGGTGGACGTCGACACCCCCGAGCACGCCCGACGCAAGCAGTCGTCTCGGGGGGACGACTGGCAGTTGGTCATGAGCGACGAGTTCAACCGGGACAATCGGTCGTTTGTGGCAGGGGAGGACCACTTGTGGACGGCGCTGGATATCCCCGATGGAGTGAATGCTGCGCTGGGCTGGTACAATTCGTCCAACGTGTACACGAAGGACGGGCGGCTGGTGGTGCGGGTTGACGAGGGCCCTCGCAACGCCACGTACTTCAATCAGTGGCTTGAGATCCCCGCTTGGGAAACGCGCACTATGGTACGTACGTAGTAGGCTTCTTTATCCGTTCATCATGTTTTCCCTACAGCACTACACTGGGGGGATGCTGCAGTCGTGGAACAAATTTTGCATCCAGGGGGGGCTCATTGACGTGGCCGTGAAGCTTCCGGGGGCTGTGGACGCCAAGTCCTGGAACCCACATGTGCGCAAGAAGGTGAAACCCACGGATCCAATCACGGACGTTCGGTTCTATCCGACATGGCCGGGGGTTTGGCTTATGGGGAACCTGGGCCGCGCTCTTTTTTCAGGCTCCACGACACGAATGTGGCCGTGGAGTTTCAACGAATGTGATCACGCATTGGCGCCGCACCAGGCCATCAATGCATGCAACGGCAGTGTTGGCTTTGGACTGAACCCGTACCAAGGGCGAGGGGCCCCCGAACTGGACGTGCTTGAGGGGGGGGGAGTTGGCATCTCGTCGTCGCTTCAAATCGCCCCCGGCATGCCAGACGCGTACCGCACGCTTCCCCCCATCACGACAGCCCCGTATTACGACGTGTGGTACTGTACGTATACCAAAACGTGTCGCACTCCCGGCGCCAACCTTGCAGATGCCCCCACGAGTATGTACGTCAACCGAACGCACAAGAGCTGGTACCAAGGCCTGCGGTATGCTGCCAACCTTCGATGTCCGTCCAATCGGCAACAAAAGCAGTCGTTTGACCAGGTACTTCCTCGTTGGTTGTACCAGTACATTCGAAAGCCTCGCTAATACAAACGGCACAGGTGTGGGCCGCAAGGGGAAACATCACAGCCAACACTTACGACAAGACTCAAATGAGCGCGGGGCAAGATGTCCACGCCGACTTGGGGTGGATGGACAACGAAAAGCGACGGTGGGGCATCAATGCCAACGGTTCGATGTGTTTTGCCATTGGCAACGGATACACGGGGACGTTTTTGTGTGACCCTGACAGCTACAACCCGAAATGTGCCGCCCCTCGTCGTCAGGGGGTCGAGCCCACCAAGCAAATGGACTCGTTTGAGTACCAGATGGATGCCATCTCTGCGAATTGGAACATCAACTTTGAAGCATACACGACTTTGTATCGGTATTCTTTGGAATGGTACGTCAGTCTATCACGTGGAGATTCCTAAAGACCGTCGTCGTCATAGGGTCATGGGCCCCCAAGGGTACGCCCGATGGATGCTTGATGACAATCCAATTTTTGAAGTCCCCGCGTCGTCAGTGGAGAAGGTGCCGCAAGGGGGCGCGACCCCCAACCCGTCCAAGTTGATGATTGAAGAGCCGTTGTATTTGATCATGAACATTGCCGTGGCCAAGTCCTGGGGTGAGTGTAAACGTTCATAAACACGATTTCAGAGCTCTGTGAACCTAGGGGCGACGCCCCCCAACGTAAACATCGGACCGTGTCGAGGCGATCCCACGAATCCCCCGAAGTACTCGGCGGCATGGAACCTATCCAACAACATTTGCAACTCGTTTCCCATGTTTATGGAAATCGATTATATCCGCATCTATCAAGACCCGACGCGCATGTCAGTGGGCTGCGACCCTGCCAGCCACCCCACCAAGGAGTGGATTGCGGGGCATCTCGACAAGTACACGAACGCGAACAACCCCCATGTGGTCGTTACAGGGCGTGCCACGTGTCGAACAGACGACGACTGCACCGTGGACGCAGTCGCCATGACGGGTCATTGCCGCCGTGGTCGGTGCGAATGCTTGAAAAGCTACGGCGGTACATCATTCGTGATGTTAGGTTCATTCAATATCTGGTGTGTAGGTCCTCGATGCACAAAATTCATCCCCGGGCCCCTGGACGGCCCCACCGTGTTCCATAGTATGGTGCTGGTCGGCGTCTGTGCCACCCTTCTGCTTGTCACGTGCGTACTGCGAGCAGGCCGCATGCGCTCGGCGTGCGCCGAAGCCCACCACCGGCGCGAGCTTCGATTGAACGCTGACGACGACGACGAATGTGATGACGATGGAAGCGACGACCACGTCCAAGGCGAAGGATCGTCGGACGACAGCGAAGGCCGGCACCACAACCACTCGCATTGTTTTTAACTGTGCCCCTCGGCATGTACTACTTACTGTATGTAGTAACTCTATATATATGCGCTTGTTGTGGCTCGATTAACAGTTCGTCTTTGCAGTATTTTTGGTAGGATTCTTCATAGTCTTGTTCCTATGGGTTACATCAAGTGCTGCGAGATGCCGCGGTTGAGGCGTCCAGTGTGTCGAATCGGCTCCTTCAAAATGCCTTGGCGCAAAAACGATTCGACAAAACTCACCAAGTCGCTAAAGATGGCCGTGCCTTCCCGCACTTCGTGGGGCGGCACAATCGAATACGATCCCTGTGATATGTATATATCATACAAGATAACGTTAGAAATGTGAATACCTCGCAACTGTATATCATCTAGCTAATAGCTGGCTGCATAATTACCGACGGGAGGTGGTAGATCAAGTTGTGTTGGAACACTGGCTCCATTACCGACGCGTCGGCTACAAAGGACACACAATATGACCGCTGGGCGCCGCTGTATCGAATCAGGAACGCGCCGACGACTTGGCGCGCGCGCAGTTTGTCTTCGGCAACATTCCGCGCGATTTCACCATGGTAAAAGCTACAATAATATATATATCACATTGTAGTGGGGCTGCCCTACCGATAGAAAAGCATGTTGTACCTCTGGAGGCCGATCTGACGCACTTGCAACAGTCGCGTTGCCAAGACGAACGTTTCATCTTGAAAAAAAAACGTGGACGCAGTGAACGTGTCGACCTTGATGCTATTGGATTTCTACAACATATTTATAATATTATATATATATATATATATATTGATTGGCTATCATTTGGGCGAGGGGATGTAAACTTCGACGGCACCTCTAAATGGTCGGTGGCGTGCCGGACAATGTACATTTGCATGCGTTGGGTGGACGATTTCAGCTGCGACGACTCCAACTCGAATCTACGCATACGACGACCACAAGCATGACATGTTGCGTTCGGTCGTCTACATCCAACGTACTCGAGTTTGGAAAAGTCGATAACGCTGCGAGTGTACTCTTCATAGCACCACATGCCAATGCGTTCGTGGCCCGTGCTACAAAACTCGTTCAACTCGATAATTATGTCCCGACTGGACTGCAAATAGTGTACCAGACGTCGACAAAGTAGTCGCCTGCACTGCGAGGGTCCTGGAGCCAATCCAGCAGCGACAAGTGGAAGGGGAGGATCACGCCGCCCTCTCCAGCGTGAAACAACGACCCAAAGTCAGACTGGAGCTTCTGGGCTTGGTATACCTAGGACAAACACGTCACACTCTTATGCTAACTTCGTCCAACGACTTACGTCAAAGTGCATGATGGCACTCAAAGCGTCCAGTGTCAAGGGCTCGTGCGCGGCGCACACAACTTCGAGTACAGGACGGACGTCCACCTACAGATTCAACACCAAGCATGTTTGATCATGGGAACGATCCATAGATATATATATATATAAATTAATATATACTCATGTATACTCGAAGATGCCATATATATACATATATATATAACAATGGGAAGAAGGTCACGTACCTTGTACTTATCAACAACAGGGAACTGCGTGGCAAAGTTTTGATGGAGGAACCCCCCCATGGTCGTGGGCACGTTGTCCAAGTTGTCCAAGTTCCATTGCCCACTGGAAATCGAATCCACGAGATGCCGCGCGTACAAGAACAGGCCTACTCCACAACCAAATATACTTCACACAATGTCAACTGGTCAAATCCATCAGAGGTCATTCTAGTGGACGTGAGCTCCAATTGGGGGGGGAGTGGTGCATAATCAGTACCTTGTGTGCGGTCGACGAGCAGATCGATCACGTGGGGGGGCATCGGGGGCGATATGTCAAAGTGGCTACCCAGCGCCGTGTCCAAGTACTGCCGGACGTCGCGCTTGCTCTGGGCGCAGGCCAAGTCGAGCGCAATGGGGGGGAGCATGTACGCTTGGAGCAGACTCAGCACCCGTGGGTCTTCGCGCGACGTAAACACAAAGCGCATCCAGGCTGGCCATCGGTTGAGGCTCGCGGTGAGGATTGCCACCAAGTTGTCGTCGGCACAGGGAAAGCACTCGATGCCGTCAATCAAGATCACCTATCATATTACCAATCATCCTCGTGTGTACATGGTTGTTTCATGAATATATATATATATATATATAAGCAAACGCTGCAAGACCAAACCATATCAAGAGTTCACTTTGCACCATAGTACTGACCATCGTAGACGGCGGGGTCGCGATCCTTTCCAACGGGGCAATCAGCAACTCTTGCACCAAATCGGCCAAGTTTCCGACAAACACGGTTTCTTCCAATGGTTCTTTCTGGGACCTCCACATATATACATACATGTATAGACTTGTATAAGTGGACACAACGTACTTGAGCACGTTCGCGTACGCAGGCAGTTGGGTCGTGAGCTGGTACACGAGGTTGAGTACACACCGCCGGCCGTTTTGCGTTTGCTCGCCTTCGTGCGACGCCAAGTGGAAGGCCACCACTTCCGGTCGGTTCTGGATGATGTGCGCGGCCAGCGCCGTCTTGCCGCTGCCGATCACGCCCGTGAGTAAAAACACGCGGCGCGCGTTCGACGGCGGACTCGTGACCCATTCGTCAAACCTAAGCCCCAATGTACAGACATCATATCACTACACTTGTCGAGGCAGCCAATCACCGACCGACGTACTCGTGCAGCACCCACGCGCGGCCACAGTAACCTTGCGTGGCGGTGCTTATCTACTCAAAGCAATCCCGAGAGTCAAGTGAGAGGGCATCGTCGAGGCAGATGATGGGGGCGACGGTGTACTTGGGACTGGAATGAAAACGGTGACAGCAAACTACAAGAACGAGTTCATCATATATCGGCTGTGTATATATGTGTATGAAGTAGTACCTAAACAGCCTGGCTTGCTGGCCTTCTTGATCCAGTCCGACTCGGCCGTTCAAAGCCGCGATGAGCTGCTCCCGTCGGGTAGAGTACCGCGCATCATGCAATGTCCACGGGGTCGTGTGAAACGAGCTCACGTCAGTCATATCAAGCCACTGGATGCGGCAAATGCTCAGTGGGATCTCACATTGCCGAATCTACAGTCGACGTAAATAATAATGACAGTTCAAACAAACAACGAAACCAACCAAACCAAAACGGTGTCTCATACCATCAACGGCACAAAGTTGAGCCCAATGGTCATGGCGAGGGAAATCTCATTCAGACACACGCCGTGGGGACGTCCGACGCTGCCCGGGGTGATGAACAGCACGAGCTTGCCAGAATTGAGTTGGTGGGTCCAGTGCAGCGCCTCCAGCCGGTCGTCCTCTTCGTGCTCGGCCATGACGCTCTTGCGGGGGTACTGCGACTGCGGATGGACGTGAAACCCTCGCGCCACCAGATCGCGATACAACGCCCTGCCCAACGTGGCGCACATGTCGCCGTAGCTGAGAAAGTACCGCGACTGCTCGACGTTAAGAGAAGCCTTGTCCGCAAAGGTCGCTGGGGCGTGTGTGCCTCCTCGAGTGGTGGCGGCGGCGGGATCGTGGCATTTACCCCAGTTGGCGACACCCCCCACCAGCGGCGCGTGATACGACAGCATGCTATCGCACTAGACGCACGATGATCAACACGAATATGCACTTGAGGCACCAAAGTACCAGCTCGAGCATGGCGACGATGCGGTTCATTTTGTCCAGGAACCGAGGCGACGCCAATGCCGACTCGAGGTCCAGCTCCCACACGTCCGTCGTGGACGAGACGCCGACGACTCCGTAGCCCTTTAATCCCGACGACGATACAGCAGCGCCGCCGCCGTCCAAATGGTGCCGGGGGATGCAGTCGCGCAGGTCGAAAAATGGCAAGTTGGCAATCGACTGCGGCTGCTCGCAGTCCATCACGAGCACGGGAAAGATGCTCAGCCCAAGCTGCACAGCTAGAAATGTCGATGACGAAGTGAGAATGGACGAGAAGGTAGGTACGATCGCGGTGGTGTGGACGGCTGACCTCGCGCGACTTCGTTGAGACAGTACCCTCCGTTGCGACGCACGGCGTGAGGCGTCATGAGAAGCAACACCCGGCCATGTTCCTTGGCCTCCTTGGCGCGCTGCAAGCCCTCGGAAATGTCCGACTCCCAATCACATCCTAGTGAAGAAGATCTGCGTCATCATGAGACTCGTGCATGGAGCTATTCTACCGGCGGCCAATTGCTCCGTGTCGACCCACACGTAATGGCCTCGCGCTTGCACTGGGCTCAAGAAAGTGCACGTTACATGCCACGACATACACACTCGGACGTACGCTGTTCCTTGAGTGTCATGGCCACGAGCTGGTACGGATCATGGCCATCTACATCACCCAAGGTCAGTCGACAACCACGGCGCGTGAGTAGAAAGCAGTACAAGAGACGAATATCGACAACTTGGGGCGGTCGTAGCCGGCGATGGACATGGAACTCGGGTTGTTGCTGCTGCGGTTGCTCGTCTCGGTGAACATGTGTTCGCAGCTTCCACACAGCCACACGCTCCGAAGCTCCAGAAACACCACCGTCACCTTACCACATCGGTCGCAAGCTGGTGACATCCTGTGCTTGGCTTTGGATGAGGTGTGAAACTGGGTCAGTATGCCGCTTGCATTTTGTTTGACTGAATTCGTTATATTAAGACTAGCTTTAACGTATAGCAAAATCGAATACAAAACATGGGCTTAATTTGCATTGACTTTGTATGTTTGAATACTCAGGAGTTTAACCCCGGATGAATTTCGTGTCATCCGGATACATAAATATTGACCAATCAAAACCGAAAGAATGTGTACAATACTTACCACTGTATATCCAACGTTCCGAGCATTCAAGGAACATCCCGACATGGAGTCCAAGCCAGCGGCAGATGCGACGGACTTTGTCCTCAACTTTGTCGGTGGCCCCATCAAGTTTCGTGCGGATGAAGGAGCGTTGTTCGCCAAGTTGTTCCACATTGTACTACCACTTGCACAGCAACTACCATTTGGATCTCAATCGAACAAATTCTTCTTAGGTGGACATTGATGGCGATGGCTTTGTCGGTGGAGTCGAGGGTGCCGCCTTCATTCGGCGCGCGACGCTTCCGAACGATGCGAATCGAGAGGTAAAGCGAAGTTCCTTCGTGCCCCCCTTGAATACGCATGTGATTGTAGGTCTGGCGGTTGGCAAGCGGCGGCAAATCCCAGGACCGCCTCAGCAAGGACAGTTGGTTCGTCGCGATGAAACTCGTTGCGCTTGTCCAAAGCACTGGGAAGTGCAAGATGCAGTACCTCTACGAAGCAAACCCGACGAGTACTCTGCCACTGCCCGACTTTCACTTGGAAGGACCCCCGGACAACGTTGTAAAGTCGATTCCGTGTTGTTTCGTCCATCTCACGAGGCGTAGGTTCCAAGCGACATTGACGCGGCGGTGCTGTCCTTGCAGGAAAAGCAGTTCAAGGTCGCCGTGAGCAGCCCCATCGTTGTTGGTAGCAGCTACACCCGGTTCACCCAATATGTCGTGTCGACCACCGTGCGTTGAGCCCACGACATCGTCCCCGGCTCATGGACGTTGTGTAGGCGTTCTGTCCGTCATTTCCAGTCAAGACATGCCAAGTCCGCCGTCGATTCAGCGATTTTGAGTGGCTGCATCAGCGACTGACCGAGCGCTTCCGAGGTACGAGCCACACTCACGTGGGTTGTGGTTTCGATCGTGACGAGTGTATGTCGTTGTAGGCACAATCATTCCGCCAATCCCAGAGAAACGATGGACGGGTGACGTGATGGAGTGGTGCATGTGGTTTTTGACTTGACTCGTTCTTGCGCAGGCAACATGGACGCGACGTTTGTCGAAGAGAGGCGGCAAGGCCTCGAACACTTTATCGTACGTCGTCCACGAATAGCCATGAGCTAGCCACGTGTAGCCGACAGCTAGCTACGTGTAGCCACCTGTAGCCAAGAGCTAGCCATGTTCTAGCCATGTGTAGCCCACTAGCCCTAGCCCCACACGATCAACGATGCTGACGACATGTGTATGTAGAACGAAGTGTGCAACCACGACAAGCTGTCCAAGGCGTTTGAAGTGCAGATCATTCTGACCGCCAACAACGAAGTACAATCGACTTATATATGAGTGATGCTAATATCTAGTACTACATGGGCAGGGGCTAGTGGCAGGTCGAGAATTGCTCGGCATTGCACCGGCGGTCGCGGCGTACGTGCCAAAGGCGTCGACAATGTCGGGGCTGTGGACCTCCATGAAGGATTCGTTGTTTGTCAGTTCGATGCAGCAAACGGTAGAAATCAAAACCGACGAAGACTACACCAAGGTACTCGTTTTACTACGCTTGAAACCCCCCAATCCGTGATGATCTAGATTGGCGAACACATTGACGAATACCGCAATCGCATGGAAGATCTGGTGCGGTGCTCGGACGTTGTGTACGCGGCGCAGCGGTCGCAGGGGTACGAGATGTCGAGGTGCGGCACGTTTCTGTCGGCGCTGGCAGTGCACGAGCGGGAGGACCAGCCCATGAGTCACCTCGTGGGCAACGCCGGCGAAGTATTTGAAGCAGTGTCCAACCTATATCAGGACGAACTGGATAAGCTGCTGGCGCTGTACGTGTCCAACATTCGGTACCTCGCCGGCAAGGTGGGCGCTGTCAAGACGGTGCTGACCAATCGGGAGCAAGCCATCCTCGAGGTGCATCAAGCTAGCGCCACCATGCATCGCAACAAGGAACGATTCGCTGCCGCGCGGGCCAGCAGCGGCGCGGCGGCGTCGGCCATGATTGCCGAGCAAAAGATGGTGTCGGTGCGATCTGTCGTCATATGGGGAAATAGGAAAACGGGTTTGAGAGGTTGTGGGATGATGTAGGCGGAAGACCGGATGAACTTGGCCAAGGAACAAGTGGACTTCATCGCGACGAGCTTAAAGGTCGAAGCGAAGCGCTTGTATTTGGGCAAAACGGAAGAGCTCAAGCAGTCGCTCATGGCGTTGGCAACCACCAACAGCGAGTACCATACTACGGTACGTGGATAGATGATATACAAGTGTTTTGATCTCGTTGGGGGGGGAGAGATGGGGGGGCGCTGTGAAACATGGAAAAAATGCATGCAAAATCGATCCAAAACTCATCTGATGATGTAGGCGCGGGAGGCGTGGCAGGGGCTACTTCCTCTCATGAACGTGACAGACCGAGACATGAACAGCAGCCTCGAACGTGTGCGCACCCCCGTGGTGTTTCGAAAGCCAGGCGACAACCGAGACAACTCGAGCGGTAGTAGTTCAACCAGTGTGTTAAAGTATGGACTCATGAGGTAACTTGCCAGTCTTCTTCGAGGTCTTCTTGACCAATTGCATCTTGTTCTACTTGATCTTCGTCGTCGTCGTCGTCGTCCACTTCCTCTACATCAATCGCGTCGTCGAGGGTGGTGCCGGTGGTGGCTTGGGACAGATCAAACACTTCGCCATTATCAAACTTGAGGCCTTCAAAGATGGACAGGTCGTTCATAGTCAGCGCCGCGTGCGATACGACGGGCGCCACGTGCCGGACACACTCGCGGGTGTAGCGCTTCCACCCGGACGACCCGCCTTGACCGACGGGCACCGGGGGATGTTCCGATTGTTTGCCGACGGCGCGTGTCGACAGGTACTGCTGCACCGCCGCCAGGAGCGGGTTGTTTGACTCGTCCGACGTTCCCACTTGCCCCTACGAATCACGATGATATTGCACACATTGCTTATTAAAAACAAGACTTTTAATAATAGATAGCAGTTTGCAGTTTGTGCGTATGTACCCTGTAGAGGTCGCGGAGGTTGCCAAATCGCCGCGATGACGTGGCAACGCCACAAGGCACGGCTTTTTGCCGCGCCCATTCTTGCAAATACGCCCAGCAATCCACATGACTCGGCCCAAATCCCATCGGTCGCCTTGGGATCAACGCTCTACCGAGTATGGTTTTATATATAAAAAATATGCAATAAAAAAAATACACTATTTGTTCGTTAAACCGATCACAAATCTCGCCGCGACATTTCATTGGCCACCAAATCAAACGAAGAAAAAACAATGTAGCCAATCAGCGACAAGCAATTTCAGATTGACCAATCGGAGCGATTCGTGATCGGGTTTTGGATGGTCCGGAAAACCATCTCTTCAATAGTAAACATATATGCAATATGAACGACAAACAAGGGCGATGACGACGACAAATAAGGAGAGGAGGTGTGTGCGTACTTGAGGCACGACACGGTGGTCTTGAAGCGCAAGAGATCGAGGAACGGAATCACGTCGTCGTGGGGGCCCCAGTAGCCGAGTGTGGGGTGCTGCGTTTCGACTAAGACGTCCTGGCAAACGTCGACGACGGAGCCGGTGTGGGGGAAGAGTGTGAGCGAGTACAGCGCCATGCCGAAGAGGTCGACGTTGCCAAGCGTGAGCCACCGCTGGAGCTGGTCGATGTTGGAGAGGACGGCCAGCTCTAGCTCGAGCAGCTGCGGGGGTAGGAGGCGAGAGCCGTGGACGCTGAGCACGTCCAGGACGGTGCAGATCATTTTCCACTGGTCGGTCAACACAGCCTGATCGTAGGCGGTCGTGGGGTGCTTGATGTACGCGGGACGGAGGCGGCCCCACTGCGCAAACACGTCGAGAAAGGTGCAGCCAATGGACACCCCCACTTGTTCGGCGTGGGCTGCCACGACGATCGCCGCGCGGAACCGTTCAAAGGTCGACGGGACCGTGACGGGGCGGTTGCAGCACTGGGGCAGGTGCAGCCGCGCCGGACGGAGGCCGCAGCCGCCGCACAGCGCGGGGAACTTGACCTTGTCGATGCTTTCCGTGGTGGGATTCCACCCCAAGAAGTCGACTGCCGTGTACTTTTGTGCGTGGCATTGAAGAGACGCGACGAGGCCGTTCGGCATGTGCGCGTGGTGTAGCCTACATGTCATATGGTACGTTGTTGTGGTTTTGTGAAGTGGAAAGTGAAACGACAAGTGTGTGGGTATAAGTGAGTGAGTAGTACCCAGCCAAGCCAGCCAAAGTGGCGATGATCTGTTTTGGCGAGAGTTGCTTCGAGTGTTGGAATTGAGCGCGGGTGGCCGTGAGCCATTGCTACGAGAAGGGGGTCAGGATATAGACATGGACAAAGTACATAGTATATGTACATGGGAGTACTGGGGCAGAAACTGTTGCACGAGTAGTTTCACAGGCGGGGAGGCATTCTAAAGAGGGTTTAGGTCTACATGTACTCTTGAACATGTCACGCTGACATACCGCCGCCAGTTGGTGCAAGTACAGCGATGCCACGTGACCCACGAGTTTGAACTTGGGCGGGTCCGACAGGATTGACGTTAGGTACCCCACGGCTCGTACAACCTACGGACGGGGTCATGAGTGGACACAACGGCGGTCGCCAGTCGTACCGCGTGTGTCCTCGGGTCGTTGTCTGTCATGATGTTGAGGTCGATCCGACGACTTGTGAGGGCGATCGTGCAGCTGCCGCAGTACTTGTTGCCTACAAGTGGTCGTCAGTTGAACGGTAACATGGACAATGGACTGACCTTGAATGCACGCGGTATGCACTGGGACCCAACAGCCGACACACAGCACCACGACCCCCTTGTTTGATTTGCACAGGAGACACTGCTTGGAACTTCTCTGAGGTGTGGACTGCTGCATCAATACCTTTGTGGTGGAGCAGCGTGCGGACGCTGTTGATGGGTCCGATGGTTTGGCGACACAGGATAGCTCGTCTCCCATCGATATGTCATCGTTATGGAGTTTATTGTCGTCATGTTCACTCGCTGCACCCTCGGGAGTAGACAGTATTAATGGAGAAACTGCAAGTGGCGACAGAGTTTGGTGTAAGGTTCCAGCCAATGCATGTTCAAGAGAAGAACTGTCATGCAGTGGTGGCGGACTGATAGTGGCGCCGATGGCTCCCGGCTCGCCTTGTTTCACTCGCTTCGCATCTCTCTCGGTGCCATCGTGGATCCGCTTTAGAGGTGGCACGTTCGCTGTGTCGTCCGGAAGCGTAAGGTCCACATCAACATGTGCATGGGCATCCGGAAGGAATCGCTCGTCATCCAGGTCTGTCTCCATAGTTCCTTCATCTGTAGGGTCGAATAACTGGGCCATGATCTCCTGCGGAGGAAACAAATCGTCGAGGCCGCCGCCGTCCATTATGACCGACTGCCTGTACCACGATAAGTTAATTTCCAGCCAAGGCCGTGGATTCCGGATAATTCTGAGCTGCCAAATTCCAAATATATTAAACAAATAGCTCCCAATTTGTATGGGACCAATTGTTAACTCTTGAAAGTTATCCGGATAATTGTGGCCAATCATCGTACGCTGATTCTCGATCTCCACGTTGGGACCTCTCAATGGCCTAATCTTTTACGCCAATGGGATTGCGCTATTTTGGCCAATCAAACGGCGCCGTTCGTTTCATAACGCAACCTCTTCATGACCCGTCACGACGACATTTCACCGAGCGGCTCCGACTCGTCCGACTCTGAAGATGACTTCTTGCGTCTGGCGCCAGAGTCGGCACGAAGGAAGGCTGGATTGATCAAGGCTACGTCTCCTCGTGGACGAGGCCAAGCGTCGTCCATCACGGAACGCAACACGACGTTGTTAGAGAAAGCCGCCCGCAAGACCACTTTTATCGTGGCGGGACAGACAGCGACCCAGCGACGCTTCGAGGCCACGAAAGCGGCACTCAGTGCCAAGTCAAAGAGCCTAGCGTTGGATGCTGATCATCACACGAGGTCCATCTTCGATCCCCCTGTCCACCACGACAACGACGTCGACGTCAACCTCCCCGAACTTGCGGCGTTTCAGATTGCACCCACGGACGTGCAAGAAATGTACGAAGAAGGGTATGCTCATGCCCTTAAACGACAATGGAAGCCGGCGACGGAAGCGTGGGAGAAAATTGTCGTCCTGGATGCCGCGCACCCAGGGAAGGCCGGTGCAGCAATCCTTGACTGGCTCCTTCCCCTGCATGCGCACATGGCGATCGGGTACAAGAAGCTCGGCTTGCTTCGACGGGCACTGACGTCCTACGGCCGGATCCGCCAAGCCATCGAAGTAGTCGTGCCAGCCCCAGACGTGACTTCGCCGCCCCCGCCCAATCGCCACGATTTCATCGCCGACGCATTGCACCAGATGAGCAAAATCTACCACGAACTAGGCGATATGGTACGTCTACCATACGTTACGAGTGACGATTAGATTCTCATGTGCAAATTGCATTTCCATTGTCAAAACACCTGGCCACAACGACTACACTGTATATGTCGTGAATGAGATCGTCATTGTCTATCTTGTCGTTTTTAACTACCGCTACTTGTGTGATGGGTTTTTTCGATGATTCGAGTAGGAAAGCGCGCTGCATTGCACGCAAGAAGCGAATGCGTTGCTGCTCGAGTTCATGGGCTCCAGCGTGGACTCGCCCGAGGAGTCGGCGCGCCTCGAGACACTGCACCGCGACCGGAAGCTGGCCAAAATGCTGCAGAGCGTGGCGTCCGGGGACTGTGGCCTCGTGGATGATTTGCTATCGACGCTAGAAAACTACGAGGCGAGCAGCGTCACGTTGGAACACCTTGGGGACTTTATCGACCCGGCCACGGGCGCCACATTCGTCATGGCCGCCGCCGGATGCGGGCACATGCCGCTTCTGACCAAGCTGTGCACGGAAGCATTGCGGGCGAAAGCGCACTTGGAAGTCCAAGACAAGTGCGGCAATACGGCGCTGGCGTGGGCATGCAAATTTGGCCAAGTGCTGGCGATCCAGTTCCTATTGGATCAAGGAGCGTCGTTCCAGACTCTGCACAAGGACGAGCTCAAGACGTGGCCCAAGTCGAGTTTACAAGCGCTACATGAACACTTGCAAACGCGCAAGAAGTTGAAGAAGCAGGACGAGGCGGAACCGGGGGGTGACGGGGCCTTTGCCCCACATGCCTTAATGCAGTCGCTACTCCCAAAGCAACTGGCTAGTCCTCCGTTGCCCAAGAACGCTGCGCAAAAGAAGCCGCTGTACCAGCCGTTGGTGCCCGTGGTGGTCGACCAGCCATCGAAAAAGCGACCTGAAGTACAAAACGTCGTGACCTCGACATCAAAGGGAAAACCCTCGCATTGTACGGGGCAACCAAAGGCAACTAATGTACGTACTACTGCAGCGAAGACCGGTGGAGGGTTCCATGCGGCACCGCCGAGCGCGGCGGCGGCAAGTGGGAGCTTAGTCGGTCGGGCATTGCAAGCGTGGACTCCGGATATCAACCCCCCGGGCAAAGAAGAGGGGGGGGAGGAGGCTGATGGCGGCGGGGAGGCGTTGGAAAGTCAAGGGGGGGCTAAGAAATGGGACCAATTTGAAGCCAACCGCCGCCTCTTTGGGGTCCAGGCCGCCGATTTTGACGAAAACTTGTACACAACCACGCGACCGACGGGATCGACAGACCAGGAAGCGGCGGCGGTGGCACTGGCGGCGGAAATCGAAGGAAGCAAGCGCAGTGTGTTCAAGCACGTGAACGAAGAGCGAGGGTTGGACGAGGAAGAAGGTGAAGGAGGAGGGTATGACCCCGAAGCCAGGTACGGCGCGGTGCTGGGCAGTGGCGCATACGGCCATGGAACCACCGACAAGGGGGATGGATTTACAGACCAGGGCGTACTCTCGCGACGCCACACATAAGCTTAAATGGACACTCCATTGAGTTTTGTGTCTTGGGTGTTGGATTGGGGCTTCAGAAGTACACACGGGGTACATGGTAGTAGGTGTAGTGTGCATTTCTGCATATGAGATGCGCTGAACTTGACATCACAAATGTCTCGACGACGCGCTTGCGTACTGTACTCATCCGAGTACAGTAGTTGCTAAGTATGTAGGTGACGTCGTCCAAGGCGCGCCGATGGCCATTCGTCGGCACGTACTATATTGCTTCTTGACGCCATTTTGACAACCCAGAAAGAAACCTGACCACACTGAAAACGCCGACGACTTTGGCTGATCGAACGTTCAACGATCACAAGCAGTTTTAACCATGCAAGTGGTGAGTCAGCGTTGCGACCAAAGCCATAGGCTTCGAATGATCGATTACCATCACCGACTCGATGAACCTACGTTGGGTGTCTACATATTCTCCATGCTTGCCTCATCATAGTTTTAACGGATCGTTCGTGTACGAAGCACCATATTATTATGTTTCGTACTTTGACAGTACCCTCGACTAATCAATACCGTATCCGGATAATCAACTATGCGTATTCTTGGTGGGGGGGCGAAGAAAGCGGATCTAACGACGTCATGCAAAGGAATCGGCGATGGTTCAGGGGTCCCCGCCTACGGAGGTGCCGTGTGCAAGTCGTTGACAGGACCGACGACTTCCTTGTCCTTCGGGGCCCCGTCATTGTACGATTGAAAAGGTGAAACTGCCTCACGAATAACGGTGGGGGTAGGGCTACACCTAGTAAATCCATGGAGAACTTTTGCTCTTTTCATTTTCGAATTTGCAGCCATGGTTGCAATCCACACTACGCATATCGTCGCGGCGGCGGCTGGCTTTGCCGCTGTGTACGTCACATTGGGGCAGTTCACGCACGTGGAGCGGGTCATCTCCAAGGTCACTCCCGTTGCCATCCTTGCGTTCCTCATCTACCGCGGCTACGAGCTGCAGGAATCGTCGAGTGGAGCGTCGCTTCTCGAGGAAGTCGTGTCGTGGGGATCCAAGCACGCCCCTGTCTCCACGTACCTCGTCGGTGACGCGCTTGTCCTGTGGGGTGGCATCTATCTTGTGTCCATCATCGTGCCTGAACTCCGTCAAGCTCGCTACGGATTCTCCAAGAAGCGCGCGATCAACGTGTTTGGTCAAATGGCCATCACGATCCTCCAGCGCATTCCGTTCCTCGCGTCGAAATACCGCAAGGAAATTCGGAAAATGGAAGTCCAAATCGAGTCGTCGCTTCAAGAACACGCCAAGTCGGCCGAGGAGTTCCCCAAGCAATTCACGCTGCCGGAGGAAGGCAAGGCGAACGCGGCCGTGCTGGCGACCATGCAAGCCATGGCGAAGGGCGAAGACAAGCGGTGGAAGGACGGGTTGGTGTCCGGCGCGGTGTACCACGGCGACGACGACCACGTTGCGCTGCTCAACCAAGCGTATGGCCTCTTCAACGTGACCAACCCGCTGCATGCCGACCTGTGGCCGTCCGTGGTCCGCATGGAAGCAGAGGTGATCTCCATGACGGCGAGCTTCCTCAACGGCGGCAACACGGACGTCTGCGGCGCGCTCACGTCCGGCGGCACGGAAAGCATCGTGCTCGCGACCAAGACGCACCGCGACTGGTTCCGCCACGACCACGGCATCACGCGTCCGGAGATCATCGCCGCCGTCACTGCGCATGCCGCGATCGACAAGGCGTGCGATATGTTTGGCATCCGACTCATCAAGGTGCCAGTGGACCCCGTGACGTTCCAGATTGACGTGGCCGCCGTCAAGTGGAACATCTCGGCCAACACGATCCTCATCTACGCGAGTGCGCCGTCCTTCCCCCAAGGCACGATCGACGACGTCGAAGCGCTCTCCAAGCTCGCGGTGACCTACGGCATAGGGCTGCATGTGGACTGCTGCCTCGGCGGTTTCGTGCTGCCGTTCGCCAAGGAGCTGGGGTACCCCGACATTCCGTCGTTTGACTTTTCCCTCCCGGGGGTCACGAGCATGAGCTGCGACACCCACAAGTACGGGTACGCGTCGAAAGGCACGTCCATCGTGCTGTACAAGTCCAAGGCCATCCGTCGGTTCCAGTACTTCGCCTACTCGGACTGGACTGGCGGACTGTATGCAACCCCCACAATCGCCGGCAGTCGCCCCGGGGCGTTGAGCGCGGCTTGCTGGGCCGCCATGATGCGCATGGGGCGACGGGGGTACCTGGAGAAGACCCGCGGCATCATGGAGACGGTCAAGGTGATCAAGGCCGGCATCGCGTCCATCGATGAGCTACACCTTCTCGGGGCGGGGGCGGCCATGGTGGTGTGCTTTGGCAGCCGCGAGTTTAACATTTTGAAGGTCAGCGACCACTTGACAACGCTCGGGTGGAGTTTGAACGCGCTGCAGCACCCGACGTGCGTGCACTTGTGCGTCACGTGCCGACAGATTGGCAAGGGCGACCAGTTCGTCAAGGCGTTGAAGGAAGCGGTGGCCGTGGTGAAGAAGGACCCGACTGGCAAGCTCGATGGCGGCAGCGCCATGTACGGCATGGCGTCCAGCATGCCCGCGGGACCCGTCGAAGACATTCTGCGCATCTACCAAGATTGCACTCTCAGTTTGTAGAAAATGCTGCTATTAACTTCACATGAATGGATTGGATTATGACAATTGACGGAGTGGGCCTATCGACAAACGGGGATGGATTGCTGCTCATGGAAAAGCTCAAGGCATCCATGAGGGATTACAGGGGTAAGGAAGGATGCGCTGGGGCCAGGTCATGTGATTTCAAATGCGAGGCCCCATCCTTGGCATCTGCAAGGTGAACTTCGTTACTGGCAACGAATGGAAATAACACTCGAGTAACAATGAGAGGCAAGGGGGGTATGATATTCTAAGACTAGTTTAGTTGTACGCAGCCAATTGGCGGTTCACTTCGACCACATAGGCGGCCTTGGCGTCGTCTTGGGACAGGCCCTTCTTGGCGGCCCACGCGTCGAACTTGTAGCGAGCAGTCAAGTTGAAGATGCCGGGGCGGTCGCCGGTGGCGTCGCCGACGGTGGCTTGCTTGTACAAGGCGTAGATGGCGAGCTTCTCGTCGTTGGTGGGTTGGGTGGCAGGGTTCCAGTCCTTGATGGCAGCAACGGCTTCTTCAAACGTGGTGGCGGCCATGACGGTACTTGAGCTGATGGAGGTAGATTCGAGACTGACGACGTCGACGCCTTTTGTCGGCACCCTGTATTGTCAACACCTACCCCGCTTCTGAAGGAGAATGGTAAACAGCCAATCAAATCGCTAGAATTCAGAACTAACGGATTTGATTGGAGGATTCCGTCCACGTCAACCTCAGAATGTCATACCAATCGGTGAAATATTCTGTCGGCCTCAGAAATAGCTTGCATTTTGTATGGAACTGGTTTTACACGATGGACATATGTGATGGTGAGCAAATTGTTGTGAAAGATGACTTTGCACGTGACCGTGACGATGATGTGGGCAAGTGGGTAGACGATGCAGATGATGTACGTGTTATAGACTTTAAGGATGAAGGGGAGGTCGATAGGAGACGCAGGATGTCGGATCTCGACGTAGGGTAGGATTGCTGCTGCTGCTGCTGGTTGTGTTCGCTTTAATAACTCATCTTTTGCGGCGCCGAGCACCACCCACACGACCCAAACTGTTTGATCCACTTGTTCCAGCTCTCTCTGTCGGCGATGACTTTGCAGTTGGTGCAATGTACGGTGGTCTTGGCGCCGACGGGAAACCCAGTGATGATGCACGACTCAAACTTGGTCTTGCATTCTGCGCACTGGAGATTGCCTTCGTAGATGGACGCTTGGCAGTTGGGGCATGGTTTCTCGGGGAGTTTCTCCTGCACTTGCTGGTCCATGGAGATGGTGAGCACCCAGTCGCGGATCTCTTCCCGAGCGCTGTCGTCGGGGAGGTACTGGTCCTCGGGCACGTTAAAGTCCCTTGGCGACGGAATATCCGTGCCCAAAAAGTCTGAATTGTCCAGGTTGTTGGTCGTGCCGTCGTCGATCGCTTCCGTCAGATCCAAATACCGGTTAAAAAACACAAACGCAGGGCTGAGCCACTTCTTTTCGCGGCAAGCAGCTCCGGCTAAGTAGAACATCTTGTCCGCGGGCAGTGTGCCGATGAACCGGAGTAGCGACATGGAGATCTTGCATGCAATGTCTGGCAGGCCAGCCGCTTGGGCGGCGTACTTGAACGAGCAGTAGTGCGCGATGAGGAGGAACTGCTCCATCTTGGCTACGGTGCCCATGTCCTTGGCCGCCTTGAGCTCCTTGATCAACTTGCGCAGGCACTTGACGATCGTGGCCACCGCCGCGGCGTGCTCTGGAGTTGACTCGACCGCGACCGCGCACCCGAGACTCTTCTTCACGACCACTTGCACCATCTCAAGCGCGTCCGCTTCCAGTGGAATGCCGTACTGGTTGATCGTGTTGACTGCAGCATCCGCGTCGTCGTGCTCTACGAGCCGCGAGCACCGCACCACGAGGTACTTGGCCAGCGACTTTGGGCCGTGTTTGGCGGCGGACGTGAGCACCTTATCCCATTCGCCGCGCTGCATCCACACTTCAAGTGCGTTTCCGCTTTCTTTGGCTTCGGACAAAGCGCCGCTTTCCTTGGCGTCGGTGATGATGCTGCTGCTGCCCTTGGCGTCCTTGGAGTCATCTTCGCGGTGGGAATTGCTATTGCCAGATGCGCTCGACCCGGCCTTATCTTCCTTCTTCGAATCGCTGGGCGACCCAAATGCCGACGCCTGCTGCGCACGTTCCAGGCGCGGCAACAGTTCCGGCGCGTGCTGTTCGCACATCTTTTGCGCGGCCACCCAGTTGTTGGTCCGGAGGTAGCAGTCCAGTGCCTCGCTCATCTTGTCGATGGATTTAAAGTAGTCGGCGGCTGCGTCGAACATGGACATGGACAGCAGCCGCGACGCCACCTCCTCCACCACCGACTTGTATCGGCCGCGGTCGTGCTTGGACGCGAGTTCGACCGCGAGGCCCCAGATTTCTTGCAGGCCCGTGGGGTTCTACATACAAAACAACCCCCCCCACATGTTAATCAAGCTAGGAATGGGTGGTGGACGGTGGTTCGTACATCCAACTGCTCGATTGTAATCGACAAGTATGCGTCGATCGCTTGCACGTATTGCTGGCACGACACCCAAATCTCACACGCTTCGAGCAACTCTTCCTTGGTCTTGGCACCCCCCGAGAAGATGGCGCGCTGGTGGGCCATGTTGACCTCGCTCAGTTTATGCGGCAAGTGCCGCTTTGCTAGTCGCATGGCGTCGGTCCACATGAGGGCTTCCGTGTACGCCGCGAGCGCCAGCTCTGGCTTGCCCGCGTTGATAAAGAACCCCTCTACCAACCAACAATACAATAATGCTATCGTCACAGACACATTCCACGCTCCAAGCCAAGGGGGATACAATCAAGTTGGGCAGTGTACCGACCGGCGCGAGTAAACTCCTTGCGCTCGACCCAGAGCCTCGCTTGGGCGATAAACACGTCCGAGACGCTGGCCGGGTCGTTGGTTTCCGCGACGCGCATGGCATTTTGCCAGTCCTGCTGGTGGATGTACATGTCGACGGCTTCGCGGGGTTTCACAGCTTTGATAAACTCTTCTTCTGCCTCCTTGAACCGCTCCTCGTCCTCCAAGAACAATGCGTGCTTGAGGTGCACTTCTGGCACCTTTTTCGGCGCGCAGTTGCGGGCGAGTTCGAACGCGTGCTCGAATGCGCCGCTCTCTATGGCATAGTCGATCGCAGGCTCGATTAAACCCAGTCGAGTGAGCAGCTTCGATCCCGCTTCCCCGCCCAAGCTCATCGCCCACGCGTACGCCACTCGCTTGGACGCGTTGATACCTGTGATTGTAGCATGTACATATATATATCAAAAACATCGCCTTGGTTACGACGATGGTGGTGGTTCTGTAAGTATCAATTACCTCCATGATACTTGGCGACGCGAATAGCTTCATCCCACATGTCGTTGGTACGATACATGTTGACCGCGGCCTGCCATTCGCCCGCCTCAGCAAAGTGATGTTCGGCTTCTTTGAAGTTGCCTTCGTGCTCTAGTTGCTGTGCCAGGTACAAATGCGTGTCCTTGAGCAGATCCTTGCGGTACTTTGTCACGAGTCGGATCATTTGCTCGTAGTTTTTGTGGTTCTTGTACATGTTGATGGCCAAGTCGGGCTCGTTCACAGTCAAAAACAACTTTTCCGCTTCTTTCAACTTGCCTACACGTGACCATATATCATTTTTACGTTGTCCCACTCTCTAAAATGATATATATCATTTTGTGTTGTACCTTGACGTTCCATGCGGTGCGCTTGCTCAACATACAACCGTTCCGTCTCATACTTGTCCATGTGATTCAGCGCCACTTGATACGCAGCATCCCACTTGTTGGCGCGCGTGTACATTTCGACGGCGTCCTTGGCCGCGTCGGCCTTGATGAAGCACCGCTCGGCCTGTTCAAACTGCTGTGCGTCTTGATAATGCCGCGCGAGGCGGCGGTAGTACGGCAGCGCGATGTCGTCGTCCAGGGTTTCGACCATCTGGCCTGCTTTGGCCCATTGCCGCGAGTTCAGCGCCGCCTCCACTGCCTTGGTCGGGACATTCCCTTCGATGTAATGGTTGATGGCCATGTCCATCTAAAACATACACACGCTCTGCGTGTAAACCCCGAAAAAAAGATGCAATTAATACTATCTGACACAAAGTACTTGTTTTTGAGAGACGAGGTAGTCGCCCCAGCTTTCCTCGAGCTTCATAACACGATCGGGGAACACGCGACGACTCAACTCGACTGCCTTGCGGTACGCGTTGGCCTTGATGTACGCCGCCAACGCCCGGTCCTCCTCGTCCATCTTCTCGAACTGATCGCCCGCCTTTTCAAACATGCCTGCCGCGTACAATGCATCGGCGACACTCTCGAGCATCGCCTTGTGGTCGCGGCCCAAGTTGCGCTCGGTGAGGAGCTGCGCTGCCTTGGCCGGCAGACCCCCCTTGAGGTATAAGTGCACCGCAGCGGCAACGTCGCCCTCTTTGACCTTGAGCGCCGCCGCCTTTTCTTCCTGGCGAGAGCTGAGCAAATACTCGGCGTACTGCCGCTTCATCGTGTCGACGGCGCTGTGGTTCTTGGCCTCTGCGACGCGAATCGCGTCTTCCCACTTGTGCAGAATCTGGTACATTTCAATCGCTTCGTCCACTTGGCCTTGGCTCAACAGAATGTGCTCGGCACTGCGGTAGTCGTTCTTGAGCTGCGCCAGCTTGGACCGGACTTTCCAATGGACCATGCCTAAACCCACATGGTCACACCAGGCACCGTCATATATCATTAATAGGGTGGGGGGAGTGGGGGGCTAGTCGGGTACGTACCTTCGCCCATGCGACCCTTCTCCATCCAGTCGACTTTGTTCACTTTGCGCAAGTACCGGCACCGACACACATCCCCCAACGCCGCCACGCATCGCTCGGCAATGCGGTGGTCGTTACACTTCAACGCCTCGGCACTCAACTGCGTCCACATGGCTTCCGTCTCAGGAGTCAACTCGAGCGGCTCAAGGATGCTCATGGCTCGCAGCAGCTGCATGTCGTCGATGGCCGTGCCAAAGTTGATGAGCGACTCGTCCAGCTGGTAGCTCGCCGTGTTCATGCCTTCGTCAACGATCACTTCGGTGCGGTTGTTGCCGCGCTCGATTTGCTCGACGTCGCCTACACAAGCCATAGCCGTTCAATAACATTCCTACTAGTATGTGCCAAAACCAAACAATATGAGATACGTACCCTTGATTTGGTAAATCGTAGCCTTGTCGGGGCTGCGAATGTTGTACCAAACGTACAAACTCGTACGATTTTGGGCTACGACCACGTCTGAATCGGGCACCCACTGCACGTAGTTACAGTAGTTTAACAACGTGCTGCGGGTTTGCGTGTCCATGTCAAACAGGTGCAGCTGGCGCCGCTTGTCTCGAAACAGCAGCAAGTTGGCGTGGGCGTTGAGTTCGAGCCAGTCGACGCGCGAGTCGTGGTTGATGGTCGTGGACGTGTGGTTGTGCATGTCCTTGACCGAGATGGTCTGCAGGTCAAGCAGAAATGCCATCTTCTTGTTGTCGTCGAGGGGAGTCGGGGGCGGCTTGCCGTCGGTGGGCACGATCTGCACGGGCCGTTCGTTGATGCGCACGCTGAGAAGGTGCAAATTCAAGTGCTCGGTGCGGACGCTACCGAGGACTTCGCTTTGGCCGTACTCGATCAGCGACAGTTCGCCCGCCTGGTACACAATGCACACGGCGGGGTTGTCAAACATGTACTTCTCCGACCCCGTCGACTGCCACTGCACCTCGCTCAGCTTGGCCGTGTCCAAATCACCCACCAGCAGCGTGCTACTCGTGTTGGCAACCAAGAACCGGTCCTGGAACACGTTGATCTTTGTGATTTCGCACCCGAACGACGACCGCACAATCACGCGGGCGCCCGTCGCGATGCGCTTTACGATCACTTGGCTCAAACTCACATACGTAAACTCAAACTTGCCCTTGTATCGGTATCGTCTCACGCATGCATCGTACAAGTCGAGCGCCCCGCACACTGACCCGACGGCGAGGCGCGACCCGTCAAACTTCCACCCGAGACTTGTGACAGAGTACAGGTTTTCGACCGTCTTGACCCCCACCGCCTCCCACGAGTCGGTCTTAACGAGGTAGTTGAACACGTAGAACGAGTTGAAGTTGCCCACCACGCAGCTGTCGCCTGTGGGGTTGAAGACCGACGTCGTAAACTCACCGCAGCAGTTGTCGTCCGACGAGTAATCGAACGATCGGACCGTGCCCCCGTCCTTGTCATAGAACGTGACCTTTCGGTCGTTGCCGGCTGCGACGATGGCCTCGCCCCACGACAAGGCGTACGGAACGCACGAGTGGATTGCGATCTTGGTCTGGCTGCTGCCGCCGTTGACGTCGTCGAAAATGAACCGGTAGATGCTGTGGTCGTAGTGCGACGACAGGATCGCCGTGCCCTCGACGTTCGTGCACAACGTGCTCACGTACGACCCCGTCGCGTACAACGTGGCCGGCTTGTTGCTGCGCAACTGGCCGAGCTTGACCTTGCCGTCGCTAAGCCCAAACACGATCTCGTTCGGGTGCGACGTCGGCCACACCATGCTCGTGACACTGGCTGTCTGCAGAAACTTGTTGCAAATCGACTTTTTGTCGCCCCAGTCCAACCCGAGCTTGTAGATAAACACAATGTTGTCGCTTTGGGCTACGGCAAGCTTGGACGAGTCGGGCGAGAACGCCAGGGCCTTGACCAGGTAGTTCTTGTCGCCCTATTATGCGGATTGGTACATGTTTTGTCAGCAACACCATGACCACACAAGCAAGATACATCGCAGTGGTGGCAGGTGGTACCTTTTCCGCCGGTTTGGTCGAGAATTTGTCCTTGCGCTCGCCCGTAGCGGCATCGAACATGTGCACCACACGCTCCACCGTCACGACTGCGAGGCGTCTATTGTTTGGAGACCATGCGATGGCAGTGACCTTGCACATGCCCTCCGTGGGCGGAAGCACCGTCGAGAGATGCCGCAGCTGCATGAGGCGTCAGTTCGCTTGCTTGTTTCCACTTCCTCACAAAACCAAGTCTTGTGACCTTTCGAAGGCAACGGAGACCTGTAACAATACATACCCTTCGAGAGTACATTTTCGATAACTTGCAGTACAGTACATCCAGCATGAACATTATCTTTCACAGGTAAATACAAATCCCAACCGCCGCTCACCAAGGGACGCCGATCGAACCGTCGTGCCGAAAGGAGCCCGACCGAAGAAAGGAAATATTGGAGGGGTTCACGACAAGGAATGCGATGTAGAGTCTTCCATGTCAAGGTTCTCGTTAGGAAGCACATTACACGTGAGCTACGAGGAATGAACCAACATCACATCACCGCGGATCTTGCCCCGGCAGCGTGCCGCCGCCTGTTCTGTCAAGATCGATGAAGGAGAAGTCTTGGCACTTTTGCGCACATCGACTTCATACAATCGACGATGCGCCATTCATTGCGTGAGCCAGCCACATGGCATTCAAGGGATGAGTAGTCGCTGTGAATTAACAATACTAAGTCGACAGCCCAAATCGCTCCGAGCGCTGCTTCTTCTTCGCGTCGATCTACATGCATAGGCATCAGCACCACCCCATTGAGCGAGCGAGGACACGCGGACCGTTTCGGACGTTTCCATATTGAATCGCATGGCCCGTTTCAGTTTCTTGTCGTCTTCGGCATTGAGTCCAAATCGATTCGCGCGCGCGGCTTTCTTTTCTTCTAGCTACTCTCCCCTTTGATCATTTGACGTTCTGAGGAGCATGCATCATCCTACCTGGCCGGCGTCCACTGCCACGGGAAGGCCAAAGCGTTTGGCGCGGTCCTGCTTCTTGCTGTCATCTGCGTGTTTGTCTACATGTACCACCGATTTGTCTGTGAGCAAAGGCGCAGCAGCATCGTCATCATCAGTCCTCATACTCGGCAATTGGAATCGCTTGGCACGTTCCAGGATTTTCTGTTCCTCCGACAACGGAATGCCAAATTTCTCGGCGCGAAGGCGCTTCTTTTCCTCCTCTGAGATCGCCTTGGGGGTGTTATCAACGACGGAAGCAATGACTGGCGCAGGCACTTCAGTCGGCGCTACATTGGAGGCACTGGTTGCAGTCGTCGTCGTCGACGGCTCGACCACCGCGACGTTCACTGGCGCAGACACCGCCGCAACCACGGGCGATTGCACAGATGAAGAGTCGTCGTTAAGGAGATTTCGGATAGAGTCCGCTTTTTTCGCGACCGGGGCGGGAGCGGCCACTTTTTCGACCTCCACGGCGGCAGAGACAGGAGTCGAGTCCGGGCCGTCCATGCCTCCAAACTCCTCCTCATCGAGCGCGAGTTCGAGGCGCTGGATGAGCTCAGGCTTGAGGCCAGCTTGGCTCAACCCTCGCTTCGCCAGCTCGTCCTTGATCTCATTTACCTTCATCTTCTTCGGGTTCAGGATCGCCATGGTGGTTTGCTGGAGTATGTATGTACAGTTGTAACCTCTACGATCGGATGTGTGGTCGATGTTTTAGTAATAGTAATGGGATCCCTACTAGCGACGATTTAGGATTTGCATACAAACATCTAGCTATTTTTGAAACTACTAATAGTAAGCAACACCTACTATCCCAAGTTACTACTGTGTTTTTTTCTACGGTTTCGTGTTTATGATTGCAGCGGAAGGAATCAATCACCATGATGTCCGCATCATCTACAAGTCGATGCTGTCGTGGTGGACCAAAGGTTCCTGCGCCGTCATCGCGCGCTGCTTTGGCGGCGACATACTTCGACGTGCCTTGGACCGGGGACTGGACCCTCGTGGACTGCTACGCGGACTGCTCGACTTGCTCGGACTGTTCAACGAGCGCGGACTTCCCACCTTCTTCCTTGGAGGAATGACGATGGGCGACGGCGCATTGATGTTTCGCACGGGTTTCTTCTCGCTCCACGATGACGTCCAGCTAGACGCTTGCTTGGTACTCGCCTGGACTTCATCCATGTCCTCGGGGGTAAACTGCAGTAACATGGACAGCACAGGTATGAGCTTGAGTTGCTGCGACGACCCTGGTCGGAAGCTCATAAACTGCACGACTACATTCTTCAGATACTCCATGTTCACTCCTTCCCGGCGTTCCGTGCGCACGAGGTGCGCAATGTCGTCTTCTAGCGCTTCCTTGTCCTGGATCAACTGCGCATTCTGGAGGCGGACTTGCTCGAACGCTGCCGTGAGCTCGGCAAACTCTTGTTCCCGCGACCGCGACGTCGCGTCGCGGTTCGCTTGCATCGACGCCAGCTCAAAGATGCGGCGGTGGTCTGCATCCCCCGACCGGACGTCTTCCTCCAACTTGGCCAGTTTGGTCGTCAAGCTCGCAATCAACTCCTCCTTCTCCAACACCATTTGCCGCGCCAACTTGGACTTGGCGCGGCCATCGGCTTCCACCTTTTCCACTTCGGCCGCAAACTTTTGCTGCAAGTCGGCCTCTCGTTCCCGTGCCGCCACCTCCATTGCGTGGAGCGTCCCCTGCCACTCGTCCTGCCTTCGCGCGTGCGCCGCGGCGGCTTCGGCCAGCGCTGCTTCGACCCGGATCACGTCCAAAGCACGGGCGGCCGCCACGTCGGACTGCTCCTTGACCGCGTCCTCCACCTGGCGCAGCGCTTGGCTCTGGTCGGTCAGCGCCAGTCGCAACTGTGCCACTTCCGCCGTCATCCCCGCGCTGGCTTCCCCCAGCTGCACATTCTCCGCATGCAGTCGCGCCGCCAGCGCGTTCTTCTCGGACCACGTCTTGTGCAGCGTATGCATTTCCTTGGCCATGCGGCCGTTCTCAGCCTTCTGCGCGGCCCACGCGCCCTCCATCTCTTTCCACTTCAACGTCAGCCGCGCCACTTCTCCTTCCAAAGTCTTGGCGGCCACCACACGAGTCTCTCGCAACTCGGCGTCCACATTCGCCTTGGCGGCATTGGCGGCATCCGCAGCATCCTGCGCGGCCCTCAACTCGGCCGTCCGCGACGCTAGCTCGGTCTGCACCGCAGCCAACTCGGTCCGGAGCCTCGCCACGTCGTTCGCCAACGCACTCGCGTCCGTCTCGGCCGTATGCAGCCGCTGGCCCAAGTTGGCTTGCGCGAGTTGCATCTCCTGCTTAAGGGCCGCCATGTTCTCCTCTCGGTCGTGGGCAGCGGCCATTTGGCTCTGGATATCCTGCGCATACGCGTCGGCCGTCTTCTGCACCGCCGCCAGTCGCGCTTGGACAGCCTCCAACTCTGCCTGGCAGGCGGCTGTTGTCTCATGCAGACGCTCCCGTTCGTTTAACCGATCTTCGTCGAGGCGTTGTAGTTGCGCATGGGCGAGTTGCAAGTCGGCGGTTTTCGCTTCCACTTCGACTCGTAACGCTGCCACGTTTTGCAATTCCACTGCTAAAGACGCTTCGGTGGCCGCCGCAGTCGCTTGGACGGATGCCAACTCTGTCTGGTGTGCGGCCACTTGTTGGTGCAAGGCATCGATCGACGCGAGGTGGGCCGCCGCTTCTTGCTCTATAGCAACTAGCTTTGCTTGAAGGGTGGCCACTTCATTGCCGTTCTGACGAGATTCGGCCAATCGAGCCTCTTGATCGTCCAAGGCCACCTGCAGCGCCGCCAGTCGCGCGTCCTTTTCGTGGATCATGTCCACATGCGACGACAACTCGGTCGTGTACGATTGCACGGTGCTTGTGGCGACTTCTAGCTGCGCCTGCAACTGGGCCAGCTGCGTCTGGCTTTCGTGCACTTGAGCCACACGTTGACTCGTCTCGGTGTCGAGCTGCGCTTGCAACGCCAGCACCTGGTCCCGGTGGGTGGCCACATCTTGGCGCAACTTGTCGGCTTCAGCGCGGTCCTTGTCTGCCAGCGCCACGGCTGCTGTTCGCGCGTCCTCCAACGTCTGCTGCAACCGATCCACCTCTAATGACTTGTTCGACTCGGCTTGCGCTGCCCGAGTGGTCGCGGCTTCAACTGCGTTCTCTAGGCGGGCGACTTCCGCCTCCATTGCCACTTTGGCGGCCAATGCTTCGGTCGCTGCTTGATTTAGACACGATTCGTTGCGTTCGTGAGCAGCCACGGACTCTTGCAAGGCCGCCTTCAGCCGCTCCAGTTCCGTCTCGACGGCAATCTTGGCGGCATTGGTCGATGCGACGTCCACTTGAAGTTGCTCCAACGACGTTTGCAACCTTGTCGCATATTCCACCCCCGCGGCGTGGGCCGCCTTGTCCGCTTCAGCTTGCCGCAACGCTTCCCTCGCTGCGCGGTCGAGGTCTGCGACTGTCGATTCCAACGCATTCACTTGGCTCGCCTTGGCGTGGAGACTCGCCGTGAGCTCTTGGACCTTTAGCTGCTCGTGCGTCACTACTTGCTGCAACATGGCCACCTTGTCACTTGCGTCGGCCGCCACGGCCTGTTGCGCCGCGACCAGCTGGCTTTTGACGCTGTCGTAGTCGTCCGTTCGTTGGCACAGCGACACATTGGCGTCGTGCAGCTGTTGGCGCAGCGTCGTCGCTTCGTGTTGCCACTGCTCCGCGACTTGCTCCTTCTGGGCTGTCTTATCTAGCAACTCCGCCGCCTGCAACTGGATGGTGGCCTCCAACTCCTGGACATGCCGTGCCTTAGCCTCGATAGATGTCGTCAGGTCCTTGACTTGGTCCCGCAGCTCCGTCAACTGAGCCGAGTCCGCATCCCGCTCGGATCGAAGACTCACCGCAGCTTGTTCCAGCGCACGCACTTGGCTTTGGACAGTGTCAAGTGCACTTTGCCGATCCCGTAGCACCGCTTGGTCGTGGTCGGCTTGCGTAAGGTGGGACTCGCGTGCAGTCGCTAGCTCCGTCTGGAGCTCCGCCACCGCCGCATGCAGTTGCGTGAGCTGGAGGGCTTGGGCGTCATTCTTGCCGCGCAACTCAGACAGTTCCGCCGCGCTGGCCTCGAATTCGCTGGAGCGGGCTGCTTCTGCAGTGGCTTCCCGCGCTGCCACGTCACTGGCATGGGTGGCCACGATCGTTTGCAATCGGTGGATGTCCTTGACGTGGCCTGCGTTTTCTTGCTCCAGCACTTGAACGCGTTGGCCCATCGCGCCCAAGTCCTTGGCTTTGGATTGGAGTTTCAGGATGAGTTGCTGCTGCTGCTGCAGGTCGTGCTTGAGCCCCACAACAACTTCCTCCTTGCTCTCAAGCGCTGCCACGTGGGCTGCCATGTCTGTGGCGTAGCTGGACTGGGCCGCAGAGAGTTGGCCTTGTAGGTCAAGGAGCTGCGATTCGAGCTGCTGCCGGACGAGGTCGGATTCAGCCACGCTGGCAGCATGGGCCTGACCTTGAACCTCGAGTGTCGTGCGAAGCGACTCGAGTTCTTGCTGGAGGGACGCGATCGCAGGATCAGGTAGAGTCTGCTTGGCAGGCGAGTCCAGATTGATTAAATCCCGAGATGTCTCCACTTTTGCCCGCAATTGGTTGATTTCGTTGACGTACTTGTCTTCCATGTCCCGCACCTGGAGTTCGCGCGCGCTGTCTCGGGCATGATACAGTTGGCGCATGGCGCTCGCGTCCAACAGTTTCTCGACGGGGTAACTCGTGCTATCCCCGCCGGTGCCATTGTCGTCAGACGTCATCGGTGGCACCTTGAGTTCCACGAATACGAGGTCGACCCCCACATCTTCCGACACAAACTGCACCAGGGACGAGTAATTTGCCTCGATTTCCCCGGCTTGGAACAACTTGTCCGAGGCTTGAGTGAGCGCCGCCTTGTATGCTTTGTTCTGCTTTGTCAGCTTCATGCTGAGACTGAGGAGCTCGTCATACGACATCTTGGGCTTCTCAACGCCACTGCTACCGTTGAACGAGCTTGCGCGGGCAGACGCCGACGCTGCCGACGTGGCTTTGTCTTCGTCGCCTGGCGCCATCGCTGTCTGTGACGCGGTGCGCAGGAAGTTTAAGCCTTTGCTCAATCCACCGATTCCCATCTCCTTCATGTCGGCGAGACCTTTTTCCAGGTTCTCCTTCTTCACATTCTTCATTCCGAACGCGGACTTCATCGTCCTACAGACGCGAGGACGACGAGGGAGGTGTGTCGTCGCCTCAGTATAAAACGCACTTAAGCCCCTCCGCACATTACCTAACAACGTATATTTCTCAAAATCAAAGATATTATAATAGAATTGGTTACTACGTATTATTAATAGTATTCAAAACTATCCAGCTCAATAGTATTACTACCGAATACTATTAATAGTATTAGTATTAATAGTACCTTACAGTAGTAAGTACTAGTACTTACAGTTAGATAACGTTAGGTACGGTAGTTGGTTGATAAGAGCGTAGTTACACATGTACAGTACAATTAATTAACTACCAGTAGGTGCGTCCAAGGTGAAGGTCATCAAATGCATCCGGCTGCTTTAGGTAGAATTGCCTAGAGAGCACGGATCATCCGTCCTTCTTGCGACAAGGCTGGGGTCGATGACTTTGTGCAAGTTGACGTTCGTGCTCGTGCACCACGGCATGGTGTGGTCCACTCGACCCGTGTCGGGACGCATGGGGCCACCGCCAGACCTCTGGGTCTTGGCATTCGACGGCGCCTGGCTCCACCCGATTGGATGCAACGTTGCAGCTAGCGTTCCAGAGTGCTTGCGGACGGCAGGGACATGGAGCATCCAGTTGATCCACCTGGCGGCGGTAGCTACGACGCGCCGAGCGTCGTGCTCCTGCTGCTCTGTGGGCGTTCGTTCGTGCATTTTCTTCGAGTGCAAGTTTGAACTGTACAGTAGTTCCATGCATGAGCATAGAGACCGAATTGCCACGCGACGTGTTCGCCGTTCCCTCGCTGGTGTGCGAGGACGTGGCAAAGTTGGTAGTACTAACACGTCGCGTGCTTTGCTGGGGGATAAAAGGACAAGTGTGTCGTTGCAGCAGCTCGTAGCACCTTGGCCACTCTGAAAAATCTCGACGCCATCCAACTCGGCACTCAAAGCGATATACTACTTTTTTACTAGTACTTACTAGTACATACTGTAGACGACACCAACACCAACAGGGCAACGTCATGTTCTCGTCAAGCCAATATACCCACTCCAACACTTTAGTAGACATCGACTAACGTGCATGACATTCCAGCGCAAAATGGGCTACAGACAAACGGCTCTACCAGCGTGGTTGCGTCCTCGACAACACCCCTCCTTCCTTGGCCAGTCCATAAAACACTGACCCACGCGAGTTCATGAGCGCAGACGGCGCGTCGCACTCGACGACTTGGCCTTTGTCCAGCACCACCACGCGGTCGCAGTGGAGGATCGTGTCGAGGCGGTGGGCGATCGTGAGCACCGTTTCCGTCGTGAACGCCCGCTGGATTGTCGACTGGATCAACGTGTCGGTGGCCAAGTCGACGTTGGCCGTGGCTTCGTCCATGACAATGATGCGACTTCGGCGAAGCAGCGCGCGGCCGATGCAGATCAACTGGCGCTGGCCCACCGACAGATTCGACCCGCTCTCCGCGACGATCGTGGACAAGGACAGGTCCAAGTGCGCCTGCGCGGCCACGGCCATCAAGTCGGCGTCGGACATTTCCCCAAATGGATCCAAATTATCGCGGAGGGTGCCGCTGAACAGCACCGGGTCCTGCGGGATGATTGACAGCGCGCGGCGGAGGGTCGCCAGCCCAATCGATGCAATGTCCACGCCGTCAATGTAGATGCTGCCAGTGTCAAACTCGGAGATACGGAAGAGCGCAATCATGAGCGAACTCTTCCCGGCGCCCGTCCGCCCTACGATCCCAACCTTTTCCCCGCCGTGAATGTTGAGCGAAATGCCTCTTAGCACCAGAGGCAGGTCGGGGCGATACCTCAAGTGGAGATTTCGGAACTCCACGGCGCCGAGCAATGGCCACGACGTGCGTGATGGATCGTGATGCGTCACGTCGATGGCTTCGGACGGGATCGTCTTGAAGTGCAAGAGCCGCTCCACTGCTGTCATGGCGCTCTCGATCATGTCCACGAGTCGAATCACCCACTGCACCGTCGACAGCAACGCCAACGAGTAGATGATGGTCAGACCGGCCACAGTGGGCGAAATCGTTCCCTTGACAGCCACCAACACGCACAAGATGACAGCAATGAGGCCCATGGACAGCGTGTCCATGCGCAGAGACAGCCACCGCCCCGCCCCCACAAGTGCAAACAAGTACTTGGCGTTCGAGTCCACCGCCTCGCGGTTCTGCAATGTGAAGCGGGTTTCCATCCGGAACGCCCGAATCGTTTGGATGCCGTCGAGGGTTTCCGCAAACGAACTAAAGATGGGCGACCGCGACACGCCTTCCAATCGCTTGAGTTCGCGCGAACTCTTTGTGAAGAACTGGCCGGCAACGTAAAACACGACGATCACTGGCACATAACTCAGCGCCACGAAGACAGATGACGTGGCGCACACGACGAGCGCCCCCACCAGCACGCATGACGTTTCTAGGACGTCTAGAAACAAATTGGGCAGCAAACTGTCGAGGATGTCCACATCGCGCGCAAACCGGTTCAGGATGCGACCCACGGGGGTCACGTCAAAGTACAAATTGACTGGCGCGCGGAGTACACACTGCAGCAGTTGGTTATGCATGTTTTCCGAACATCTCGACGTGTACAGCACCAGGACGAGGCAGCGCGCAACGAAGAAGGCCGTGGCCGCTATCACGAGGATATAGAAGATGCCATGGTACAAGGGCGTGGGGGATGTGGCGAACGACGCTGCCCAGTGGCCCTGCCACCAGTCCACACCAATGCGCACGGCTTGGCCAAACCCAAACATAAACACGAGCGAGAACGCCACGAACCACCCGTTGATCCCGACGTGGCTAAAGTAATCCAAGTACGTTTTCCTGGCCACCGTGCCCATCGTTCGATCTTCGTCCATGATCAACACGGCATCATCGTCGGCGATGCTGGCGTCGCTCTTGCGACGAGATACTCCGTCCACCTCGACCGCCGGAGAAGCAGTAGCAACAGCAGCAGGGAGGGTCGGCGGCGCCGTCCCCCACGGGACTTGAGCCTCTTCTTCGACGTCATCTTCTTCGTCGTGTCGGTTGAGAAATTGAGGAAACACAGGTAGAAGCTCGGCGAACGTGCCGTCGCCGACGATCTGACCGCCCTCCATGACCAAAATGCGGTCGGCCTGTCGGAGGAACTGGTAGTGGCTGTTCATGACCATGATGCGGGTGGTGTGCCGCGCCAGGCCGCAGATCGCTTGGTCAAATATCGCCTTGGCCACATGCACGTCCACGGCGCTCAGAGGGTCGTCCAGCAAGAGGACGTTGGACTGGGCGGTCTTGTACATCGCCCGCGCCAAATTCACGCGAGCTTTCTGGCCGCCACTCAAGTTGATGCCTTGCTCGCCAATCTCGGTTCGATCCCCCGCCGGCAGTAGCTTCATATCGACGTGCAACTGCACGGCGTCCAGCACGGCCTTGTACCAGTCGCCATCGTACGCGCCTTCAAAGAGAATGTTGTCTTGCACAGTGGCGTTCCGAATCCACGGCTCTTGACTCACCAGGGCCAGCGTGCCATCCACAGAAACGGAACCACAGACCAAGTGCATTTCCCCGAGCAGCGCACTGAGCAAACTCGACTTGCCAGCCCCCACCGACCCCACCACCATGACGAGGGACTCAGGGGCGATGGTAATGTTGATGCTCGCCAAACAAGGGGGGCTGTCCGCCTTCCACGACAGCGTCGCATTTTGAATACAAACGGCCCCTTCCGAAGCAGCCGACAGCACGGGTCTAGTGGTGTGTTGTTCTTCAAGGTTCAAATACTCGTCCAAGCGCCGGCCCGCGCCCAGACCTTCGGAAATCCCCGCGATCGCCCGTGGAAAGTTGTACAAGGCTTGCCGACTCATGTTGACAAACGCAATCAGCGTGAAGACGCGCGTCGAGTTGATGTCGTTTCCCAGCGCAATGTACGTCGACAAGATGGCGGCCCCGACAAAGATGGGCGACAAGAACAAAAACTCGACGTTGAGCACACGAAACAAGTTGAGGCGACGGAGCAGCGTCGTCTCTTGCTGCCGGAGGGTTTCTAGGCGCAGGGTGATGGCGGGCTCCCACGCGTAGAACTTCATGACACGAATGCCTTGGAGGACCTCGGACGTGACCTTGACCCGCTCCTCGGTTACAGATGTGACTTGCAACCGAGTGCGTCCAATGGACGATGCAAACTGGGACGACACGAGCAGGACGAGGACGGTGGTGCCGCTGCCCGCGAGAGCCGGCGCCGCGCCAAAGTAGTTGCCCACCAGCACCATGGAGCAGACAAACGTGAACGGTGACATGAGGATCCACAGACCGTCGTTCGCGGCTTCGCTGAGCCGTTCCGAGTCGGAGCTCATGAGGGTTACGATTTCGCCCGACGTGGTCAACTGACGGGCGGATGAGCTCAGCTTGAGTGCCTTTTGGTACACCATGTCCATCGTGATGGAGCGCATGTTGACGCCCATCTTCGATTGCACGAAGAAGCCAAAGTTGAGCGCAATGCCTTGTAGGAATGTGGCCATGGCCAAGAGCGCCATAAGGGCGTAGCCATTCGTCACACCTAGAGAGATTGGCTGGTCTTGAAGATACTGCAAAATGCTTTGGATGACCAGTGGTTGCAAAACTTGGGTGCATGTGAGGAACATGAGCGAGCCCAGGCCGACGAGTAGGTCGCGCCGAAAGCAGCGCACGAGGGCGAGGTTGAAGCGAGGCACTCGCGTCGTGGGCTGCGCGGACATCCAGTGCTCGAGGAAGCGGCTGTGGATCCCAGCACACGTTTCTTCATGCGAGAGATCCGCGACGTCGTGCGCCATCAAGGGTTGCTTGGCGCCAAGTACCAACAAGGACGTGATCCAGCCGTAGGAAACCAGAGACAGCCACCCTGCCGTCGTGTACGGGTGTGGCTCTCTGCCTTCACCCACCGTCTCTTTGTCCGCCAAGAGCGAGTACGGCTTCTTCTCGCCATGGTCAAGGTCGTCCATTTTACACGTGAATTCGAATGAAGGTAACTTTGAAAGGTTGGCCATATGATACCCGTTCAAAATATTCGTGTTTCCATGGACTATTAATATTTGGATTCGACTTGAAGTGCTCGCTTGATTGGCGACTGGGATTGCCAAAAGCCAACGATTTCTAAGAACATCAAATTGACCAGCACCTTTTTCGAGCGTACTGCTGTGCTTTACAGGTTGTAGCTATGGGACGACATAACAACTGATACCCCAATCGACAGGAACTACGCTTGTCGTCCCCACGAGGCCCCTAGACCATGACATACCGCAACGTTTAGCCAAGGCGCGCAGGATTTCCCGTAATCACCAGCTCCAGTGCTGTCTACAGTAATGCTGAGCAGTGTGGTGGTTACCATCAATACATGAAAGGTGATGTGGACAGCCGCATCAATTTGGTACCTGCTCTCAGCAATTAGTACTCGCAGAATTAGGACTTACTGTACTTGTATTTACGTTGCTTGGAGCATCATACGATTCCACGCGAAGTGTTTAGAGTGTGTATTGCAAGCAGCGACGATTGATTGGACATTGAAGGCGCATCGAAGGCGCAGGATGTGGCTAACATGTAGTGTTCGAGCTGATGGGATTAGATCAAGCTTAGTGACATCAATTTGCAAGTACGGAATGTGTGTATTTATATGGGTTGTGTGACGACAGCCTGCAGTTCGGAATTTGCCACGTCTTGTGCACAGTACCGGTAGTTCTTGTTCCAGCCACATTGGTCGTCATGCCATCTGAAAAGACTCGGCTCCTCAAGCCGTCATCGACGTCACCGCCTCTTGTGGTGCGCTCGACGTGCACGTCCACATTGTTCTTCACTTGGCTCACCCCGCTGCTCACTCTGGGGTCTCAAAAGACGTTGGGCTTCGACGATTTGCATCCGCTGTCCGTTGTGCACCAGGCCACGCACGTGTCGGAGCAATACCACGCGACTTGGCATGCCTTCAAAACTACTTCGGTCGCTCCCGCCAAGCCAAGTTTGACCTTGGCGCTATTTCAAACGTTTGGATGGCGCTTCGCCGTCGCCGGGCTCCTCCGCGGTATTCGGGCGACGTTGTTGTTCACGGCGCCACTGGTGCTCAAGGCCATGATCGGTTTCCTCAACGACTCATCCGCGCCCATCTCGGACGGCTACGTCCTCGTCGCCATCATCTTTGTCTCTGGCATCGTGCAATCCCTATGCATTCGGCAATACACGTACCTCGCCAGCGAAGTGGGCATGTGTTTTCGCACGGCGATCCAGTCGGCGTTGTACCATAAACTACTGGTCATCGCGCCGTCGTCCACGAGATCGTCAGGCCAAGTGACCAACCTCATGAGCGTCGACGCCACCCGCGTTCAAAAGCTGACAATTGACCTACATTCGATCTGGGTCGTGCCATACTTGATCTTGCTGTCGTGTGTGTTGCTGTGGCGAGAAATCGGTGTCTCGTTCATCGCGGGGCTCGTCATGATTGTGCTGTACATTCCGCTAACGTTGTATATGGCCAAACACATGAAAGCCATCCAAAAGCAAGTCATGCAGTTCAAGGATTCCCGGACCAAGCTGTGCAACGAGGTGTGGGGCGGCATCAAAGTCGTCAAGTGCCAAGCTTGGGAAGACAACTTTGTCGACATCATCCAAGCCAAACGCGTGGTGGACAACTCTCGTCGTTCCTTCGAACGCGGTCGCTCTCCTCCGCGCTCTCCAACGGCCTCCCCGCCCTCGTGGCCATTGCATCGTTTGCCACCTACGTCTTCCTCGGCAACAACCTCGACGTCGGCACTGCATTAACGACACTAGCACTTTTCAACATCCTCCGTCTTCCGTTACTAAAAATGCCCGATATGGTAAATGCCATCGTCGAAGCCCAGCTCAGTCTCGACCGTCTGCGCGACTTTTTGCTGGACGACGAGCTGTCGGTGGTCGGCTCGGGACCGCTGACTTCTGCCGGCATTCGCTTGACCAACGTCACATTACAATACCCCCACACATCTGCGACAGTGTTGAAAGACGTGACGCTGGCCGCGTCCGACGGCGCGCTCGTGGCGCTCGTAGGGGCCACCGGATGTGGCAAGTCGTCACTGCTGCGTGGCGTCCTCGGGGAAGCCCACGCCGTAGACGGATCGATCTACAAGTACGGCACGATTGCGTACGTGGCCCAACAGCCGTTTATCCTGAACGCCACCGTGCGCGACAACATCCTCTTTGGGCTCCCATTTGACCATGCCCGGTACACCGAAGCCATCGACGTGTGCTGCTTGGAATCGGACTTGGCTACCTTGGGGGCCGGCGACGCCACAGAGATCGGAGAAAAGGGCATCACGTTGAGCGGCGGCCAAAGGACGCGCGTCGCCCTCGCCCGCGCCGTGTACCAGAACGCTGACGTGTACTTGCTGGACGACGTCTTGGCTGCCGTCGACAACGACGTCGGTCGCCGCCTCTTTACCCAATGCATCCAGGGGGTGTTGAAGCGTAAGGTGGTCGTGCTGGCAACCAACTCCCCCGCCGTCCTCCACGGCTGCGACCAAGTGGTCGTGCTGGGTGACAACCGCGTGGTAGCCTCCGGGTCTCTTCTGGGCGTACAAGACGTACCGTACATGGCGGCCATGCTACAGCACCATGGGGCGTCGGTTGCAGAACCATCGTCCGTCGAGGCGACGACGTCAACTGTCAGCGACTTGGCCGCGGGGGACACTGAAATCCAACTCAACGTCGTTCCCAAGGCCATCATTCCTGCCAAATCCAGTGGTGGAAAACTCGTCGAGAAGGAAGAGCGTGGTCGCGGCAACGTGGGCGCTGTGGTGTACAATGTGTGGCTCCAAGCGTGCGGTGGGTGGCCGATGGTGTCGCTGGTGGTACTCGTGTACGTGCTCTGCGAAGGGATGAGTGTGGCTGCGAAGGTGTGGCTGTCGTACTGGTCCGAACACGTCGATCCAGCTGCCATGCGCGTGGACTTGCTCATCTTTGTGGTGCTCCAGCTGGTATCGGTCGTGTTCATCTACTTGCGCGCGTACGTGCTGTACATGGGCACTGTCCAAGGCAGCACGCGACTGTTTCGGCAGCTCCTGCTTCGCGTGCTGCACGCCCCCATGGCGTTCTTCGAGTCGACGCCGCTGGGTCGCCTCGCCAACCGATTTACGAGCGACGTGTATGTGGCGGATGAGACGCTGCCCACGACATGGGGGGCGCTCTTGGTCACGGCCATCACGGTTCTGTACACGGTGGGCACGATTGTGGGTGTCACGCCGTTGTTTGCTGTTATTTTGGTGCCCATCGCCATGGGGTACATTCAATCCCAACGGTACTACATCCAAACGTCGCGGGAGCTGCAGCGCCTCGAGTCCATCTCCAAGTCGCCCGTGCTGTCGTTGTTTGGGGAAACCGTCGAAGGGATCAGCAGGATTCGGGCTGGGGACGGCGCTGCCGGAGCGTTCAAAGAGCGCATGCATATGTTGGTGGACCGCAACGTCCAAGCGCTATTCCTCAACTTTAGTGTCAACTGCTGGCTGTCGGTTCGTCTCGAGTTTGCCGGCACTGCCGTCGCGTCGTTTGCTGGCTTGTGTGCCGTGTGGCAGCATGGGTCGGCAACGTCTAGTCTGTTTGCAGGACTCGCTGGCGTGTCCCTTTCATATGCGTTTACTATGACCAAGTACCTGTCCCAGTCTGTGACCAACTACAGCAGCCTGCAGACGCAAATGATCTCGATCGAGCGCATCGACGAATATATTCAATTGCCCCTGGAACAAAGTCAACTACTAGCCGTGTCAGCCCCTCCATCTTCGTGGCCACAAACCGGCACGATCGAGTTTATGGACGTCAACTTGCGGTACCAACCGCACATGCCCCGTGTGCTGGACCGTTTGTCCTTTACAATCCCGTCGCAAGCCAAGATTGGAGTCGTGGGGCGCACGGGGGCTGGCAAGTCGAGTGTGATGGCGGCGCTGCTGCGCCTCGTCGAGTTGGAAAGCGGCCGCATCCTGCTTGACAAGGTAGACATTGCGTCCCTTCCGCTTCATACGCTGCGGCGGGCCGTGTCGATCATTCCGCAAGAACCGGTGCTGTTTTCCGGCTCCATTCGCTCAAACTTGGACCCGTTTGCCTTGTACGACGACGCTGCGTTGTGGGCAGCGGTCAAGCAAGTGAACGTGGCGTCCGTCACGTCCCTGGACGACTTCGTGAACGAACGGGGCGGGAACTTTAGCGTCGGCGAGCGGCAGTTGCTGTGCATCGCCCGCGCCCTTGTCAAGCAATCCAAGGTCGTCTTGATGGACGAAGCCACGGCGTCCGTCGACGTCAACACGGACCGCCTCGTCCAAGCGCGGTTCCGCGAAGCGTTTTCGACCTGCACGACGATCACCATTGCCCACCGCCTCGATACGATCATGGATGCCGATCGGGTGTTAGTCATGGACCAAGGCAATGTCGCTGAATTCGACGCCCCCGCTATCCTGTTGCAGAACCCACAAGGCATTTTCTACCAATTGAGCCGACAAGGCACTACGAGCCATATGATTGCGTAGTGTACTAGCAAGTACATATTATGAAGTACCTTGAACTAACATATCATTCCAACGGCATGGTTACAATGATGTAAGCTTACTAATGTTAGTAGTAAAGTTAGGGCAAAGTGCATTATTATTAGTGTATGTGAACCTCAACAAGGGGTAGCTGAAACCGTGGCGAGTTCATTCGTTGGCTACGCCAGTCGGCGGCGACACTACAGACACCGTTTTAATGTGCGTGAGCAGAGGAAACTCGCGGCGGAGGTACGTGTCTCCATAAGCTTTGATCTTGGACTGTTGTGGCCGTTCGCGATACGCAGCATACACGTGGTCCACGAGGATGTCCAAGCCCGACGTGACGACGGCGAACGGGGTAAAGCCAAGGCTGTCGAGGCGAGAGTTGTTTCGGAAGTTGACAAACAGCTGGGTCGTGCGGGTGTCCTGGCCCGACGTGGCAAAGGAGACGGTGCCGACGGTGTTGGAGATGGTTGGGACCGCCGTGTCGTCCGGAATCGGGGCGTATGTGTTGCGTGCGGGGTCGCTGGCAAGCCCCCACTGGACGACGAAGTTGGGAACGTAGCGAAAGAACGCAGCGTTCGTGAAGAACCCATCGTCAACCAACTGCGAGAAACGAGCGGCACCACGAGGAGCCCACTCGGGGTGGACCTAGGAAGCCATGTTAATAACATGAGAGGTTGGTTGAGTGTGTATGACGACGTCGATACCTCCAAAGTTACATTTCCAGCTTCGGTTTGGTACAGCACCGAGTACACGTCCGTATCGCGCACGGCGGCGGCGGCAACCGCCACCCATGCCGCGACGGTTCGTTTCATCGTGTGGTTTCAATGGAAACTACTGCACTATCAAATTTTCATCATGGTTCCTTCAACCGAGCACAAACCTATCTGAGACATCTGATTGGCTAATATCCACTTCGCCCTTTCCGTAGAAAATCGAAATGGATTGTAGCCAATCAGCGACAAGTAATTTCAACGGAGTCCGGAAATTCGTACCGAAACTATAGATCCATTAATAAGCTGTTATTTTCTGAAATTCAAGAAATACTGTGTGGAGTTAGCCGCCCAACTTACGCGTTTAACTGCTTACAGTTAGACTCTTTCAAATGTCACGATGGAGACGCATTGAAGTGTACATTCAGTGGACGTTTTGGCTAGTGTTTTGTTTGGCCCTTTCACTATGCTTCTTTAGAAACGGAAATGGGTATCGTTATAGGACAGGTGAGATGTGCCGCCTCGACGAGCTCCGGTCCAACGTCAGTTGCGTGACCAGGGAGGACGCTGCTCCAGTTGCCATCCCGGCGTCGCCGCTAGTCTGGCCGGGCAACGCCGTACCAGAGCCGTTGTGGAGACTTGGCTTGGAAATCGATGCTCGCATGATGGACAGGCTGGGGGGCGCGGCTAGAAGCGCCGACACGGAAGGCTGGCGTGCCACCATTCCCCGCTGGATTGACGTCTGGCGCGACATGTGGCTTTGGGACGGCGACGCCGACATGCCTGGTGAGTGTTTTGCCGCCATGGATTGGAAGTGCTGCTGCATACGAAATCTGGATTCCAAATCCATGACCAGGGTCTCGACTTGAATAACGCGCTCCGTCAGCTTGCGAATGCACTCGACGACTGCGTCATCGTGACTGCTGGCGTCGCTGCCGTGGTTCTGGTCGTGCTGGGCCACCGCCTGCTTGAGGACATCTGGGTCGTACTTTTCCGTGATAAATTTTTCAATGACCGCGCGGTCTTCCGTGTACTTGCTCGTCACATCTTCAAACATTTCGCGAGAGAGCACACACAGTTCGGAAAACTCGACCGCTTGTACGTTGGCGGTCCGTTTGCAGTTGAGCAGCAACGCTATCTCACCTAAACCCCCATATATCACTCTTCCGAGAACGGGGCCCCTTTGATCAAGGAAAGGGGGGGGGGCATACCAAAGTAGTCGCCTTGGCCCATTCGCTTGGGCGCGGTGTCGCCATCCTTGGGGCACAACCGCATCGAATTGCGCTTGATCACGGCCTTGGTGACCTGGCACGCGCCGTCCTGGATAAAGTACATCTCGTAGCCGACTTCGCCCCGGACAATCACAAAGTCGTCGGGGAGGTACACTTGAAACCGGAGCTTCATCACGAGTTCCCTAACCACTTCGTTGCTGCACGCGCGGAACAGTGGCGTCCGCACGATCATGGCCATGCGCAGGAACAGCTCGACTTCCACGCGGAGGTTCTTGGACAGCTCGTCCTTGAAGTTTTCCGGATTCCCATCCAGCGTGCCGTAGCGTTCGTACATGGCCTGGTAGTATTCATGGATGCGCATTTGAAGCTCCCGCGGCAATCGCAGCAATTGCATTCCTGAAAACAGCGTTTCCATCTACGTCGTAGGGTCGAGTAGTTGGACTCGATGTGCTGCCACGTCTGTCCAACTCGTACGCACCTTTCCTTTGTACCGGTTCTGGTCGTTGTAGAAGTTGGAGATCAAGATAGCGACGTTCCCAAACACCACAGCCATGACCACGGCGCCAACTAGGATCACGATGCTCGAGAACGAGTACTCGTGGTCGCTTTGGAACAGCTGGTTCTGGCCCAAGATGGTCTGCAGCGACATGTAAAAGCTCAGCAAGTACGGGTCGACGTCTTCAAAGTTGGCGTTGTAAATCACCATCGCCCAGTCGTCATCGGCCACCATGCCGAACCACACGCACGCAAACAAGTGCACAGTGACGCCAAACGCCAGTACCAGCGTCATGAGGCGAATCAAATGCGCGTATCGAGAGTAGAGGAACCACCGCTTCCATTCCAGCGGCAACCGGAGAAACTCTAAAATGCGCGACAGCCGCGAGATCTTGATCAGGCGTGGCAACCGCGCCACCTTGAGCACTGCCAACACGTGCAAGTGGCGTTCGCTACTCTGCTGTTCGATTAAGTATGTGACAAAGTCCACAGGGATGCTCGAGAGGAGATCCATGAGGAACCTACAACGCGTCCGATCCTCATCACTGAGCATACACGACGAGATGAGGGATTGGTCGCACCATCCGGTAACGTATTGCTTGGCGATGGCCTGACGGTCTGTGATAAACGTATTTGGAATGCGTGGGTGGCTCAGCGCTGTGTTGAACTGCAGCACCACGTCGAGGCAGAACACAAGGGATGTGGCAATGTTGACGAAGTCGTTGGTCGGGTTGGTGTCTGTCGACTCGAACGCCAGTGAATACGGCACCGCCAGCATTTGATAGTACACCAACACTAGCAGCAGCTACGTCCATGCACCGTACACATACATATATGTATCAGTGCCACAACAGACAGGACGCACGCACCAGTTGCCACAGCTTGAACACGTTGGACGTCGGGTACAGCATCATCCACGCCTTTTTCTTGTCGGCTGCTAGCCGATTACGTGGCAGCACCGTGTGCGTTGTTCGGATCTGATACGTATCCAGCACGTGCTGGTGCCGCGTGGCGTAGCTCATGATTTCCAGTCGCTTTCGCTCGGCCTCCTCGGCCCGTTCTTGCAACTTTTTCTTGAAGCGAATGACTCCCGCGGCTGTCGTGAGCATGTTGGGCTTCAATTTCTACAAACACAAAAATGAGGCTTGGACAACCTAGGATGGGCTGCACCGCCGACGAATCCAAGCCCGACAATGTTGTCGGCAACGACCCCAAGAGACGCGATGTGCCTCGTAGAATCGCGTTGGGGAGAGTGGCTGTTACGCTGCTGATAGCGTTGTTTCCTGACATCGAGCGACCGGTAGATGTACCCTTGCCATCGGGAAACTGTATTGGCAGCGGCGGGGAGCTCTCTCCTGGCTGACCCTCGTCCATACTCGTCATGCAATCAATACAAGGTGAACCTGAGTTGGTATGTTACACCGCCTAAAAATATAGTGTTGGGTCAGCCGTTAGGTGAAACAGTTTTCAACAAATTGCAGGCCTGTTTGATGGTCGATGCAAACACAGCAGCAACAACATCACGATACCATAGAACTGGTGGGCTCTTGGCTCGACACAGCTGCCGACAAGGCGCCCTCCACGATTGCCATGGAAATTAGTAGTCCGATCAAGTCGCTCGTTGTTGCACCATGTCACAACCTTACAAAGCAGCCGCTTCCGTTGGAGCCACCTCCTACTACCCCCGCTTCAATCCAACACAACTCTACGGTTGCCGACCTTCAGCGACCTTCCATGGTGGCCACGATATTGAGCCCAGCCGTCGGATCCGCCATGACCAACGATGGCCACGTGAGTGGACCTGAACACTCGATGCTCAGTCGAGCCAGTGCTAGTATCACTAGCGCTTCCAATATACTCCAAGGACAACCACCATTAGGTAGGTCGAACAATAGCAGCGGTTCCAGCCGGCACACGCTTCGGAATCAAAGCAGCCATCACAGCAGCGCCGCGTTGCAGTGGACGGAAGGGTTCATGCGTCAAAGCACTCGAAACGTTCGTGAACGAAAGAACCAAGTGGTAGAGCCGGTGGTCGACGGGGGGGACTCGCCTTCAGGCACCCCTTCCGTTGATGGATTAGGCGGATTGACCCTCCCCCAGCAGAGTTCAAAGGTACCCGAGGGTTCTACGCGTCGCACGCTATCGCACGTGTGGCCGACGCCTGATGAGCACACACCACCAGACGACCACGGAGCTTCCATGGTTCATCGAGCAAGCATGAGTTTGAAGAATATAGCAGGAGGGTTGGCACCCCGTCAACCAAGCGGCGCGAGTGGCACCAGCGAGGTCAGCTCCAACTTCGGCATGTCGTCTCGACGTCTCACGCACGTGACCTCGGACGGCACGGAGATGCAACCCGACGACGCACTAAGTTCCCGTAACGCCCCTCAAACCCGTGGGTCCGTCATCGTTCGGGCGCGGTCGTCCATCATGACTCAAATCAACACGATCGCAGCCACGCCGAGGGTGGTACCGTTCGCCCCCGAAGTGATGAATGCGCCAGGGCCTGCGAAACCTTCCAGCAGGGTACTACGATGCATTGTCGTGGCAATTATTGTTCATCGTGCTGACGTTTGTGTGTTCTTGTTGCAGCGAAAGTCGTCTGGCACAAACAAGCGCCCCCGCAAGCATTCGCGATTTCAAGCCATCGGCACTAAGCTTCTCATGCACATGACCACGGCGCACGTGATCGACCATCGTCGCATCTCCGCCTCGTCGTCCATCGAGCGCCATCGCCAAGTGTTGGAACAGTATCACATTCGATCCCGGAATGAAGTAACAACCGAAGCCCAAGTGTCCATCCCGAAGTATCTCGTGTCGCCAAACTCAAAACTGTACAAAGTGTGGCAACTCGTACGTGTCCTGTGAAATTACTCGTGTATCAGGCTCTCATTGCTGACAGTGTGTGCTCCTGCACTTGTAGTGGCTCGTGGCCATCATCTACTACCAAGTGGTCGCGGTGCCGTATTCGCTCGTGTTTGGTCCGGCCGACAACAACCCTACCCACGACGAGTTTGGCTTGGTCACGTCGGCCATGTTTGCACTGGACATTGTCCTCAACTTTATGACCGCCCTCACCGACGACGACAATGGCGGGATCATCACGAACCACAAAGTCATTGCGCTTAACTATCTTCAAGGGTGGTCAGTGTCATAATACACTAGTTCTAGCGCTCAACCAAGCTAACTTGTTGTTTGTTTGCAAAGGTTCTTGATTGATGCGCTGTCTGCCATTCCCATTGACGCCATCGTATACTACCTATCGACTGACCACAGCGGCACGTTTAAGTTTATCGGTGTGCTCAAGACGTCGCGGCTACCACGCCTCGCGAGGGTGCTAAGCTTGGCGCGGATTTTGCAGTTCCTTCGCCTTCCGCACGAGTGGAAACACTGGCTGCTGTACTCTCGCTACGCCCACTTGATCCGCCTCTGCACGACCATCACAGCGTTCGCGTACATCATTCACGTCATGGCGTGTGTGTGGTATGGGGCGGTGGCGTCGCCGCAGTGGCTCGCGTGGATTGAGACCAACTACAAGGACAAAGCGGCGACGAATCCGTACGTGTTGAGTTACTTTTCAATGCTCACAACCACTATGGGCCAAAGCAACAACTTGTACACCAACACTGAGTACGCGTTCTCGTGTTGCTGCATGATCCAGGGCTGCCTGCTCATGGCAGTGGTGTTTGGGGACGTCGGCGACTTGATCTCGAACTATTACGAAGACCAAAACAACTACCATCATAAGATGGAGTCGCTTCTCGCGAGTATGGCGTTGATGCACATTCCGTCCGACTTGCAAACTCGGATCAGCGACTACTATGAAACCATGTACGACCGATACGGGACGTTGAACGGCGACACGGTGTTGTTCACGAAGGAACTGTCCAAGAACCTGAGCAATGAGGTCGAGCTGTACCTTCGCATGGGCATGATCACACGGTGCCCCATGTTTCGGCTCTGCAGCCCCGAGTTTGTGCAGGAGCTGGTCATGCAACTCCAGTTTAACGTGTTTTTGGCCGACGACTTTGTGGTGGGCCGAGGCGAAATCGGGTACGAAATGTACTTCATCCAGTCCGGGTCGTGCGACGTGATGCAGAGCTCGGTCAAGTACGACGACCATGCGCGCAAGAAGAACAAGCCGATCCACGAGGCCACGGGCACGCTGGTGCGCACGCTGCTGGAGGGCGACTTTTTCGGCGAGATTGCCCTGTTGATGAACTGCAAACAAAGCGTGACGCTCAAGGCCACGACGTTCACCGAAGTGTGCGTGCTCACACGCGATGTGTTTCATGCCATCACGGCTAAGTACGTCGACGACCACGCAGTGATCGAGTCCTTCATTCGCGAAAAGTACGACCCCCAAGTGCTCAATGCGGCCATGGAAATGCAAATCGACCCGATTCAAGCCAAGCGCAAGGCCATCGTTGGTTGTCTCAACGACCTCACCGAGCGGCTCGAGTATTTGGAGGCCCGTCTCATTCGCTTGGAAACCCCCGACCACAATGCATTTTTTGGTCATGACAGTCATCACGATGGTCGAGGAGACGGTAGCGAGAAGTCTGCGTCCCACGATTTGCGATGACAATATAGAAAGAGAGTAGTAGGAAGCAACAATCGATGTACAGTAGTTGGCACGTTGTGTGTTTCGAATTGTTGCTAGCGCGATGTGGGTGGTATCGCCGTGACGTACGCGTGCGCGGCTTGTTCGCCCCATACGACAAATTGATCCAGCATGTCGTCGGGGGGCGGCAGCAAAACCCACCGCGTGAGTTGGGCCATGGAGATGGGAAATCCGCGAATCCACCGGGGGCTGATGGTCGTGGCCTTGTCGACCCAGGGCACCGGAAACACATTCACGGGGATGTGGTCGGGGACGTCAGGCACGAAGCGAAGGAGGCCCCCGTCCGTGTGCCATGTGCCGGCAAGACGACGCGCGGGGGTGCCGTCGAAGTACCACGGTACATGGCACGATGTCAGGAGGACGTTGGCTAGCTCCCCCTTGGTTACAAAGCCCGACCAGTGGACTGTGCGCAGCCGCGGGAACACTTCGGTAGTGGCCACCACTAGTCGCGGCGGCGAGCCGGAGAGTTTAGGAGACATACATGGAAGGGGATCAGGGAACAACGCGTCAATGTGGCGGTGAACGTAGCCTGATAGGCTTCGTGTGGCCAGCATGCTGCCGCGCTTGGAGGCACGAATGTCGTCGTGCAATGCTGCGGCCGTGGTTTTGGTTTCGGCCAGCACACGGGACATTGGCACGTCGTATGCCAAGGACGCAGCCACTAGCGACCCCCCCGAGGCACCAACGAAGGAACTGGATGCGGTGAGCAAGCCACGACGACGCATGTACTTGGCTACGCCAATATGGAACGCCAGGAGAAAGCCACATCCACCAAAACTCAAGTGGACGGCAGGCGGCGGCATGGGCACTTTCAGCCAGCACGACGAGTTCCGGGAAGCAAAATAATCTGAATCTATGGAATGGATTATCGCATTTCTGACATGTCGTTGCAACCGACCTTGGAGAGAGCGATTACCGGTAGGAATATTGAGCTGGTTGTGGGGGGTAATGGAATGTCGACGCGAGAAGTTGACAGAAACGAGGTGGTGGCCTGTGACAACGACTACGGTGACAGGGGGAAGGATGCGATGTTAGCATCGCGTATTATCAATGAAAACATTCAAAACGTTTATACCTTTCTTATCCCACCGTTCTCAACCAATCCAAATTCAATCAGATTAATACTGTATCTTGGATTGGATATAGTCGATAGTGCGCTCAGATTCAAAACGCGTTTAAAACGTCGGCAACTTCCATGGAAACGTTGAAGAAAGGGATTTGCGAAAGATACTTGAATGCCATTGGTTGAAATATTTAAGGTGGCACCAATGGCCTCATCGGATCAGTAATCCCCATCCAATGGCATCGCGTCGTTGGCTTTCGTCAACTCTGACGACGCAACGGTACCAAATTCCACCCTCAGACCTCACTTTTCAATTCGCTCCGATGGCATCTCCTATCCTCAAGAACAAGCGCGGCATCACCCTTGGCGACAAGATCCAAGACTTCAGCTTCGAGTCGACTCACGGCCCTCTGACCCTCTCCGAGCACTTCAACGGCGGGTGGGGTATCTTGTTCTCGCATCCTGACGACTTCACCCCCATTTGCACGACCGAGCTCGGCGAGTTGGCGCGCTTGGACAACTTGGGCGAATTCAGCCGCCGCAACGTCAAGGTAATTGGCTTGTCGTGCAATGACGTGGAGAGCCATAAGCGCTGGATTGAAGACATCAAGGCGTACTCTGGTGAGGACGTGCACTACCCTATCATCGCCGACAAGTCGCGTGAAATCGCCGTCGAGCTTGGCATGTTGTCCTCGGACGACCTGGACAAAGCCGGTTTGCCATTGACTGTGCGCTCGGTATTTGTGATCGGACCGGATCTTGCTATCAAGCTCACTTTGACGTACCCTGCGTCCACCGGCCGCAACTTTGTGGAAATTCTGCGCGTCGTCGACTCTCTCCAGCTGACGTCGTACCAGTCCCTCGCCACCCCTGTGAACTGGGTCAAGGGCGAAAAGGCGTGCATTGTGCCGTCCGTGTCCAACGAAGCTGCGACGGAAAAGTTCCCCAAAGGGTTCAAAATTGTCGATTTGCCGTCGGGCAAGGGCTACCTTCGCTTCACCCCCGACCCGTCGGCGTAAATACTAATGTCATGCAACTTATCTGTGTCATTCTTCTTCGACCGCATGCGAGGTCTATCATGGATCCCTCCGTGAGGAAGTAGCCACGAAGGTTTGGATCTCGATGCATTGAATGCAAACTACTCCCTCCAATAACCCCTCCATACCTCACGGTGCCTTGCCCATCATTCCAAACACATGACGATATCCTCGACGAATTTCTTGTTTCATGGAGGGGTCCATGTGTTCGGACGAGAGCGGAGACTCATGGCTCCATCATATCTTTGCGTCCCGACCCCTCTGCGTCGAAACTGCAGTGCTTCACGATGGTCCCCATGATGCCACCGTACAATCAAGGAGCAAATCGCACCGTCGATTGTGTCTGAATCTGGAGATTACGACGGTTACAAAAGTATGAAACGCCGGAAGTGGTAGCGACACCGTGTAACCGATTCAATACATCATATCACCTCCAGTGTAAGTTTGATCAGTCAGGTACTAGCCCGATAAGTTGTGTTGTTGTAGTTCCTGAGCCTCAGCTGGGAGTATGGGGTGTATCACCGTATGCAGACGTATACAGCGTAGCCATTTGGACGTTATATACACGGTGGTACATCGGTCTCGTTGCCGCGTCCTTCCAGCGACAAAAGTGTGTGAGTGTGGCTCAAGACGACGTGTCCTTGTTGTATATTCGTTCTTGGTGCTCCAGAACCGACGACACGTCTTGAATCGCCTTTCGCATCTCGTCGTTGCTTTCAATCGTCCCCCGATGCCGCCCCGAATACGACTCCTTTCGCATCGATGCCTGGGACGCGTTGGCGTGGAGGTTGGACGTGGACGACGCCCCCCTTCCGAGCATCGACTCGATCATCCACTCTAATCGCTCCATGCGGATCGCCGAGTCTTCCATAAAGTCAAAGATCTCGGCCATTTGCTTGGTCAGCCGCGCATGGAACGTCTTTTCGGGATTGTCCAGCGACTGCTGCTTCATGATGGCTTCAAGCACCTTGGGGTCGTACATTTCGGTGATGAACGTTTCGATCTTTTCGCGGTCTTCAGCGTACTTGTCTGTGATTTGCTCAAACACGGAGCGGCTAAGCACACACAGCTCGGCAAACGTGATCGCGCGGACATTCGCCGTGCGCTTGCAGTTCATGAGCAGCGCAATCTCGCCAAAGTAGTCGCCCTGGAACAGCTTCTTGAGCACTTCGTCGTTGCCGAGCCGCGTCGCGGGGGGCTTGGTCACTTCGCACTCGCCGTTTTGGACAAAATACATGTCCATCCCGACCTCGCCCTTGACGACAATGTAGTCGCCCGGCAAGTACACTTGCAACTCCAAGTTCATGACCAGGTCTTGGACTACTTTTTTCGAGCACTGCTGAAACACCGGCACGCGGTTGATCATGTCCATGCGCACAAACAGCTCGACTTCCACGGCCAAGTTTTTGGATAGTTCGTTTGTAAACACAAGCGGCTGGCCGTCGAGGGTGCCGTGGCGCTCCCACATGACTTGGTAGTACTCGTTGATGCGATTCTGCAAGTCCAGGGGGAGCCGCATGAGGTTCATGCTTGACAGCAGTTGTTCCATCTATACCACCACACCATATATTATCTATCACCAACGGTGGAAAAGTGAAGTTTCAAAGCACAAATCCACATTGAAGTTTGACATTGCCGTTTCGAAATGTACTACCTTTTTCCTGTAGTTGTTGGGGCTTTCGTTGAAATTCGAAATCAAGTCGGACACGTTCCCAAACACCATGGCCATGAGCAGGGCCCCCACAACAATCACAAGACACGAAAACGTGTACTGCGTCTCCGTGCGCAACGGAATACTCTGCCCCATGAGCGTTGTGAGGGTGTAGTAGAAACCCAGTACGTAGATGTTGGACACCGTGTTGGACGGAAATACGTCGTGCACCCAGTCTGTGTTGAGTGCATTCCACACGCAGTTGAGGATGTGGGTGCAGTATACGAACGACGCGATGAGCTGCACCACCCGGATCAAGTGCGCGTATCGAGAGTAGAGCAGCCATCGTTTAAGTTCTGGGGGGATACGCAGCAGCCGCAAGATCCGAACAAACCGCGCGAGCCGAAATAGCCGCGGCAGACGCAGGACCTTGAGCAGGGCAAACACGTTCAAGTTGCTCGAAAACGACGACGACGCCGATGTGGATAGTGCCGAGATGTCTTGGTTGTTGTGGAGTAAGAAGTCGACAATCATGTCGATGGGTAAACACGCCAAGAGGTCCAAGATGAACCTATACGAATGTGTTTAAAGTAAAGCTCGGGGGGGGGCAGTACGTACCATCCGGTGAGGTACCTCCTGGTAATAATCCATCGATTTGTGATGAGGATGTCGGGGGCATCAGGATCGGAAATCGCCGTATTGAAATTAAATAGCATGTCCAGGCCAAACACAATGTTGACAAAGTTTGTCAGCGGTGTGCCTGTGACGGGGGTATCGTTGGACGATTCAAACGATAGCGAGTACGGGATGTACACGCTTTGATGTAACACAATCACGAGCGTCATCTACCCATGCCCCCGTGGTTTACATACGCAAATGGGATACGTATATGAAGTGGGGAACGACGCACCAGTTGCCAGCCCTTGTACCACCCGTACGTGGGCAAAATGAGGAAGCGGTTCGAGCCAGTGAGCGTTGGTTTTGCCTCATGGAGCTCCTCGCGCCGCACCGTGCGAATATTGTACTGCTCCAGCACCTTTTTATGCCGGAGGAGGATGCCCTGCGCTTCCACTTGCTTTTTTTGCCACGTTTCCCGCCTCGTGGTGCGAATGTGCTGGGCTTTTTTCCGCAGCTTGGTGCTGATCATAAACGATTTCGCGGCAACGTCAATGCTGTGCGGGTTGCTGCCAATCTACCGGGTGTTCATAAAGGAATGACTTGGAGGATCGATCGTTCAGACCTGGGGAAGCACACTCGCCCGATTGGTCATGGTTTTTCGAGTTGAGGGAATGTCGACGCGGTCGGGGGCGTCTGGGACCACAACCGCAGATTTGTGGTTAAAATTGTACGAATCTATCCGCACGAATGCATGGCTGGGCCGGCGAAGACGTCGTGCCGACACGGTTGGCTCGTTCACGTTGTTGATGCTCTCACCCCCGAGGACAGCATGGGTGACTGCATTTCGCATCGTCGCCATCTTGACGAGGTGGCGGCGCGTGCTGCCTTCGCCATGCTTGCCACTCGACGACGGGGGCCGCGTCAACGTCACCGGTTTCACAGATGCGGGCGCCTCTACCGGTTGTTGGCCTGACAATTCCAGCCTCCTGCCCACGGGCTCCCGCACCGGTGTGAACGCGCCACGCGCGTGACCCGACGAGCCCCCATGCCCGAACCCCTTGACCATGATGGATTTTAGCAAGGACGAACCTCGGTGAGAAAGAGAGCGGGGCGACTGAGGTGACTGATTCGACCCCGACGGCTGCACCTCCAGAGGTGGTGTCGCGACCGGTTGGAGAATCGAATGGGACGTTTGGTGAGCCTCGCTAGTGTCGAGGGAGGCGTCGGCAAGCCCGTTTTTTGTGAGGGAACGAGCGAGCTCCCTTGTATCGGGGTTGATTTTGGCAGGATGATGTGGTTGGTCGGTCATTGCAGTGGAAGCTGGAGGCGCGTGAGCTATTGTGGCCATGGGGGGTCCATGTATCCGAAGACGCGATGGAGAGGCGGCCGTGTCGGATATGATGGCGGCGGCGCTGTTGAGCAAGACACGGCGCTGCTATTTTGGTACTCTCTGAAACGACTGCAACGGTTTCATCATGAGCTGAAACCCAATGAGGCAGTGGACAGCCTGATTCCACAAGCGGTGCAGATTACTCGACAATTTCTTGCGAGGGAGTACCGTGAATTGAAAATACTACAGTATAACTGTTAGCGTTAGGCCCAGTTCGAAGTAAAACTATATACTAGTATATTGATGAAAAGGAGTGCGAAGTACTCGTCGTCTCCGGGCCGTCCTCGGAGGTAAATTTAAACTCCAATCTTATTGGTCAGAAGAAAAAGGCAAATTTTTTTTGTCACCGGATGATAGACCAGTAATGAGACCCATGATTGGACGTAGATTCGCCAATGGCGACATTCGTCGTGATAAACCACCACTTTTGAAGATGACTCGCCCGACCAAGACGCTCAAGGCAAAGACACCCAAGAAAAAAGACCTTCA